AGTAGTAAGTGTTGATTCATCGATGATCGATGTTGGTGGATATCGATAAGATGCCGGACTGTAAGATGTTGACGTTATGTATTTATTAGGATATTTTTGTGATGGCGATGATGATTGTTGTTGATGAGAAGAAAGATTTGTTGAAGGTGAAAACTGATTCGTACTTCCTTCGCCATTACACGCCGAGAGATATTCGTACGATGCATGCTGATAACTTTCAGGTAAAACATGTTCAAAATTTGATTCGTCCTTTATCATATGTTGTTCTTGTAAAGGACCATTTAGTGATCGAGACAACGAAGAAAATGATGATTGATCGATATTCATAATCTCGGGTGTGTCGTCTAAAATAGAAAATTAAGTATTTTTATATGATCTTTTTCATTACCTATCAATATTATAAAAAAAAAGCTTTATATGTAAAAGACTTATTGACTTATGACATAATATTTTATTTAATAATATTCTTCTAAACGAGGTTGACGAACTTGTTGTTCTTGTCTCCTAACTGAGATTTGCGACGCATAAAATAAACATTTATCTTTAGTTACACTAAATGAGAAAGATGTGGAAGACGAATATGCATCCATTCCGATAGTAAAGAAAACAGAGAGAATATTTGTTCCTGTCATTGTACAATTCCATCTTGTTCCTTTCTTTTGTTCCATATCTTTTCCTCGTTCCTATTACATACATAACTATGTTGAATGCAAGAGATGTACAAAGGAAAATGAGAGAAAAAGAGAAAGAAAGAATGAATGAAGATGAGGCAACATCGACTTCTTGTACCCATTACTACTATTATAATAAAAACAACAACAACAGCAGCAGCAAAAAAGGAAGGACAATAGGAGAACACAAACACTCTTGTAACGTATACAATACGTGCGTGCGATGGCAAAGTGATCGATTGCAATCATATTAAACGAAGTGACGAATGCTATCTGCATAGCAGCAACTTTATTCGGCTGCCTAGAAAAGATGACGTTGATGACGATCATATGACTAATATAAAACGAGGATTACTTAGAAAGAGAGGCAAGGATTATACAGGCATAGAGCAAAAGAAAGACAAGACAGTCAACAGTAGAACATTCACTTACACTATGAAACACTTGTCTTTCTCCTATACGTAGTAATCATTGCTTAGACATGCATTTGTAGTGAGCCTGTTCTCAAATGACTATGTCTACTCAAAAGGATTAGATTATAATTAAAACCTTGATATTAATTTTTTTTCGTGTAACATAAGAGATCGACAATCCTTCGACTTTTGTGAGTTTTTGTTTTTCGTTTTGTTTAGCTAGTAGAAAATCGAACCTACCAGTTGATAACAGATCATTATCATTGTTATTTTCATCTCTGTCATAGGTATACGTTGTTTCTTCTCGTAGAATATAAAAAATTTTCGTTGGACTTGTTGAATGTATCAATCTATCATAGATCACCATTTTCCGACAAGTGTTTAGGTGTACGCAAAATTTGAAAATAGACGATGAGGAGGAAAAAAACGAGGAGTAAAGAAGACAGGTAATGAAACGAAATCAATCACCTCATATCTTTCTTTGCTCGTTTTATGAACTTAAAACCATATAATAGGCTCTTTTTCATTCTGTTACACTTAAGTATGTGCGTGTGTTTATAAGCGAGAAACAAAAGATGACGACTACGACGACGAAAAGGAAGGATAAATGACGACGAAAAAGATGACGGGAGTATTATTACAGATTGTCATTCTTTTTCGTAGTCGACTTGTAGGAATAGAGCATCATCATATGCATAGACAGACAATCAAGAGAATAGATATATATATATATATATATATAGATATATATATATATATATATGTATGTATGTATGTGTAGAGGCTGAATGAACATAAGAACTATCGTTTATTCCTTTTTGTGTTCTTCTATAACTTATTCTTTATCGCAGTATTTTCCATTATCAAGCGAAGATGTAATAGAAATGCGGATTGGCCCATTTGACTCAGCTGGATGCTGAATAGACTAAATGGTACAAAGAGTAGCAAATCCATCGATAATAAATGATGTAATATCAAGAAACGATGGGTTTTGTCTACGAGAATAATTATATCTAATAGATCATACTAATACCAAAAAACCCTTTGTTCTTAATTTCTATTTGTAATATAAATTAAGAAGCTACCTTTTGTATAAGAAGAAAAAAATTCAGCCAATTGATAAGCACATCCGATGGGCGTGAGAAACCTTCACTTCAATACTGTCGAAATAAATTGATCCGGCAATTCTATTCTATTCTTTTTTCTTCTCAAAATTTTTGCTTACGTTATAGTTCGTTCTCTTTCAATTCAGCACTTTACATCCATGGCTTTTTTTTTTCGTTTATATACTGAAACCACATGTGAATTCGATGCAAAGGTAGTAGTAATAGTAATATTAGTAGTAATACAAGTATACATGTATATTTACATATATGTACAGAGAGTCTGCTTACCTTGATATTCAGCAGGCTGGTGCCAAGTTGAATGTTAAATTTAGAATATAAATCTATTATCGCCGGTTTTGAAATAAGCATACATATAAGTGGCAATAATAATAGTCGAATAAAATGGAAAATTTAATTTGATTTGACATATGTGATTTGTATTAATGTATCAATGGTCATTTATTAAAGAAGAATTAGAAGGAAGAAAAACGAAACTGAGAAATCCAAGTCATTCATAGAATCGATGCGTGAATGAATAGGACTAATTCTTCTACCTATTCCTTGCTTTCTCTATGTGTTACACTAAAAAAAGTCTTAGTACAAGAAAAAGAAACGGTTATATCACGTATGCATTTTTTCTTTCTTTCTTTTTGATGCAGTTATTGTTTTCTTCGATGTTGTAACCGTACAACCGAGCAGCAAAACTATTCCGCAGATGAATGTAAAAATAGAACATAGGAAAGAAGGAGAACACGAAGAAGAGCAGCCATGAAGCTTTCATCATAGGGCTCGCGCTTTAGTAATCATACGTATTCTTATCCATAGCAGTCATCCATCAAGAATGTTGACTGTCGATTACTTTACTAGTTGTTGTTGTCGTCGCTATCATCATCTTCTACAAGGAGCTGTAGACATATCGACCTCGCTAAACTGAAGTCAATGCTGTTGACATATACAAACGTTGCATACATTATCATTACAAAGAGCCAGATGTATCATCAAACCAGAGAAATACTGAGAAGCAGTAATAAAAAGAAAAGTCAAGCTTAATTGATTTTCTTTTTGTTATAAAAATGTTATTTAATTATATCAAGAATGTTCTTCCCTAGAAATTTTGGTAGGCATTTTTTTCTTCTTTCTCTCTATTATAAACATTCCGTATATTACAAAATTTCATGATTTCTATTTCTTTTTTCTTTTCTTTTTTTTATAAAGAAAAATATTTATTTAATGCAATTGAATAAACGAATATGATCACCAAATACATGTGATAGAATAATCTCTTGTCGATATTCATTAACTTTTTTCACCTCTGTGGTACAACGTGTGTTTCTTTTTTTGTAAAGTAACAAGTGCGTGCATATGCAATTCTCTCTCTGCTTCTTCTGCTGTTTTTTTATACAACCATTGTATTGAATTTGCATATAAGTTCATAATAAAACAAAAGCGAAAAGAGCAAAGTCTTGCTTTTGAATCATGAATAATATCGAATATACATTTAACGTGCGTTATCACGAATATGTATGTGCTATAATCGTACAACTCTAGGATAACATTGACGTAATACGTTAAATAGAAGAAGAAAAAAGAGGATTAAAAAGAGATATTCGATCCGTACGAATCCGGTAATTGCTTGTCGATGATAAATATATACGTGAGGATGAAAGCTGATCCAATGTCTAAGTATAGATAGATATATACGTATATGCGTATTGAATGTGAGGCATATAAATTCTTTTGAATTTTGCAAGTGTTTCGAATTTTATTATTATATTATTATTATTCACTTTCTCTTTCTCTCTTAATCTAATCAACTCAACTAAAACTGAATGAAAGAAGTAAACAGAACTCATCAACAAATAGAAAAAAAGAAACGAAAGAAATGTGACACTGTGTGTGATGAATAAGTGAATAACAGACAGGGTTGAAAAAAAAAGAAAACAATTGACAAATACATTGTACATATGAATAATGATTCGCATGTAACATACACGAGTAAAAAACAAAAAACACTATTGAAAGAATTACACGAGACTAATTGTTCATCTAAAAAACAAAGAAAGTGGTCAGTTTTGCAATACGTATTATAATAACTTCTTCTTGTTTGCGTGTCATTGAATAATTGTGATAATGTAATTATTGCTCAGTAACATGAAAAACATACTCTTATCAGCAGAATACAAATAATTATAATTGTTAACAAATAATAAAACAAAAACTACTTTGTAAAGTGGCCATATCCGTATGATGAATGTATATAGACGATATACATGCCCTTGCTTGTTTAACGAAGAACAATTCACGCCTTCGCATTTGTAGAAAAATATAATAAAAACAATAATGTCACCGATTTCAATAATAGAAAACAGTTGAAATAATTAATAATGAAACATCAATATAACACTTGCTATTAATAAAGCAAACATATGAAGAATACTATTCAGTGTTCTTCAACTATATATATATGTAATGTTTGAATTAGAATTGACACGTTAAAAATCGGATGGGAATGTCAAGATAATATTTATCCGTTTGCGTTTTGATTTTTCCATATATGATTGAAGTAGTTAAGAAGAAGTATTTTTTTTTGTTATTGCATATGATAATGTCTGTTAAAATGTGAAGGAATCTGTTGATCGACTAGATTAAAGAGCGATATGAGAAAGAAAATAGAAGATAGAAATAGAGTGAGTAAGAATCGAAATGAAAAACTGATAACGAAAGAAGCAAAAAAAGAAAAGGAAAAGAAAAATACTGATGCGGTGAAAAGGTAGCAAGAAACAGGAAAATAAAGGTGAGCAATAACTACATTATTGTGTTGGTCTCACTCGTCGACTAAGACCGCCGTCTGTATGTGATACAAATATTTCATCGTCATTTTGATCTTCTGTTGATATGGTTGTTACGCGTGAATCCGATTCGTCTCGATCACGATTTGATTGATTTCGCCATCTCTGAAATGTTTCTGAGGGTCTCGGTATATTTGAATTTGTCAATATTGAAGAAGGATTAGTCATCGATTGTGTCACACTAGAATCATCGCTTGTACACGCAAAATCACCATAGCGTTGTCGTTCATGTTCATATGAATGCTGAGTATAGTCTATTAAATGTGAACGATCAGCGTCAGTTACAAGTGTATCATCATCTAATTCTCGTGCATATGAACATTCATAGGATGTTAATACACGTGGTTGAAGAATTCTCGATGATGTCGATTCAGATGATAGAATTATGTTTTGTTCATCATCATAGTCAAGAAAATGCCCCCATTCATCGAAATTATTTGAAGTATTATTATTATTATTATTTTTATTGTTTTCATTACTTTGACTATCATCATCGATATCATCGTCATCATTGTCTGTTTCTTCTAATTGCTGAGTTGGCTTTAAAACAAGATCACTTAAACTTGCTAGTGCTCGTTTTTCAGCATGAAGTGGATCTACAGCTAATGATTCTCGATAGAAATCTTCGCCTAAACATCGTTGTACGTCATCATCGGTAAAATTTGTCTGCAGTGGAACAGTTTCATCAGTACGTATTGGTGTTTCATTCCATTTGACTGCTGATGATAATGATGATGATGTCGAAGAAGATAAAGTATTGGTAGTTGCTTGAAATGTTAAGTCAGCTAAACTATTTAGATGTATTTGTCGTTCTTCTTTTGTCGAAAATTGTGTATTAATTGGATGAGATAGCTGCAATCTATCGGATGCATCATTTATCGAATCTTCTTCATCATCGGGATCATATTTTGATGAGTCATTTGGATCATACTTCGATGAATCATCTTGATATGTATTATCGTTTGATTTTGGCATTAGCCAAGGTGAAATAGCGACTGATCGTGGATGATTTACATTATATCCACTAGATGTATGAATTCGTTTTTCGGCTCGTGCACCTGTTGTATACGTTGGCTTTTTAGCTCGTGGTCCGTTCCATGAATCATCTTCATCATCTTCTTCTTCATCGTTGTCACTTTCAACTGGTTGAATAATGAGACTCTGCATTGCACGAGTTAAACCACTAACTGCTTCTGGTTGCTGTTGTGATGGCTCTTCTGTTTCGTCTTTCTTTACTGTTGAACTTGATTCATTGTCATTGTTTTGTTTTAACCATAGATTAAAACCACGGGCAAAAACTTCATCTTTATTTTCTGTAGTAGCTGTCGTACTTGCCGTTGAAGTTACTGTTTGTTCAGTTGGAGCTGCTGGTACTTCTTCATATTGATTGTATTGATATTTATTCGGTGTAAATGAATGAAAACCTTGAACTGGTCGTAATTGTTCATTAGGTGATTCTGGTTGTTCTTCTGATACTGATGTATCATCTTTATCAGATTTTAATTCATCGGGTATTTTTGCAATGAATTCAACTTCTTCAGTTGCATTTTTCTTCTTTTGTCGTTTCTTTTTCGATGTTGTTATTGCTGTTGTTGTTGCTGTTGCTGTTGCCGATGAATCGTGTTGTTCAATAGCCGATTCAGTTGGTGTTTGAACATTTGTACCGGCACCAGTTCCATGTAATACGATAGGTTTGACAGCAAAGTCGTCATCTTCTTCATCGTCAGCTAATATAGCTTGTTGTTCATTATCTTCTTGGCTATTTATGATTTGTCGACCCGATGATGTTCGTTGTCGTGATTGATGCTTATGAGTTTCAACTCTAATAAAATCTGTTTGATCATTATCAACGGCTGTTGTCATCACTCGATCATCAGCAAATGCTTGTTCGACATCGTCCAATGTTGGAGTTATTACATTTTCATAATCAGGACCACTGTCTCGTTTTGAACGTTTACGAGGCGAACGAGTTGATGCTTTTTTTCTCATTATTATGGTTGTTGTTGGTTCTGTAATTGTTAAAATAGAACTAGTTGGCGGTTCTTCAATTGATGACAGTGGCTCATCCGATTGAAGAGTCTTTTGTTCATTAGTGGGAGTTTGTTTATGAGCAGATAATGAAGATGATATCACCGAATCCGTGATCGCTGAAATAGATTGACTAGTTGTTGAAGATAAAAATGATTCATCGTCTTGTGTTGTTGCTGTTGTTGTTGTTGTTGACGCTGCTTGAATTTCAGTGATAGTCAATGGTGTATCATCAAATTCATGCGTTAATAATGTTGTAGCTTCAATATCTTTTTTTAACATTTTAGGCCGTTGTTTTTTTTTAGGTGCAGCAGCAGATGAAATGGATGAAGATGACGTTATGATTGTATCATGTTCAATTTGATTCGATGTCGACAGAGAACGTGAATCTTCTGTTGAATGATTTTCTTCTTCATGAGGTTCACCTACAAATTTTCGACTTTCATTTTCCGATGTATCCGTACTTGTTGATTGATGTGATGTTGATGGAAATTCAGCACGCGTTGTACGTGTATGTACATCAGGCATGGTTGGTTCATTCGATGATGATTTTGAACGATGACCAGGTAAAGATGATGAACGTGCTGATGATTCAGCTTTGATTTGCTGACGAATATATTCAGGTAGAAATGAGTCTAATTTACTACTTGTTTCACTGCTGTCTTCATCTTCAGTTGGTTTTTCTTGTTGAATTAGTTTAGCTTGAACTTTCTCTTCGTCATCTGTATTCGATATTGGAGCGTCTAAAACAATAGCCCAATGTTCGCTGGTAGTTTTACGGTCAAATTTAGTTTCTTCAGATGATTCTGGCTCAGTATTTGTAGTAGCAGCAGCAGCAGCAGCAGCAGCAGCAGCAGTAGTTGGTGGTGATTGTAGATCTTCAGGTTTACTACTTAGACTAGTTGTATGTTTGCGTGGTTTCTTTCGACGAAGACGACCAGTTTGATCACGATAAGCATCTAAATCAGCTTCACCACTGGTTTCACTACTTTCGATTGCTTGTGGCGATGATTCTATTTTAGTTTCATCATCAGTTTGAGAAATTATGTCGACTATTTGTTCAATGATCGGTTGCTGTTCAATGACCACCGATGGTTGTTGTGAACTAATATCTTCAGTTGTTACCGTAATTTCATCTTTTTGTGAAATATTTGGTTGTTCATCGGATAGAAATATAACTGTACCCCATTCAGTTGGTGAATGTTCTATTGGTACTTGACTTGTAACGACTAGTTCACCACTTTTTTTAAATTTAAATTGAACATCAGTCACTTTTTCTGGTGGACTTTTCGTTGTTGTTGCTGGCTGTAGTGTTGAATGAGGATAGAGTGATAGTTTTGGTTCACTCGATTCAGGTGTAGTGGGCGATTCGACTGCTTTTGATTTTCTCTTTTTACTTTGAGCTACTATCCATTCGGACTCGTGCTTATCATCATCAGTTCTTAAACGGCTTTGAGTTGTAGACTCAATTGCAGTAGGTTTCGTAGATGTTGCTCTAGTTGCACTACTACTATCTTTGTCTGTTGTACTGCTTGCTGAAGAAGTTAAGCTATTGTCGTTTTGATCGTGTTTTTCACTAGACTGTGATTTTTTCTTTCGTTGCTTCGGATGTTTTTTACTGGCCTCTATTTTACTTTCATCATCTTCAATATGTATCGTTGGTTGTGATAGAAGAGTTTGTTCTTTTAATAGAACTTGATCAGATTTCTCCTCGATTGGACTGGATGTCAATGAAATTTCGACAGCTGGTTTTGGAGATGGAATTGAAGGTGTTAGCGTTTTTTTCCATGGAATATTGCCAGTTGTACTAGAGACTTCATCGGATGTTGTCGATATGTCTACTCTAGCGGATTCTTGTTTTGGACGTTTATGTTTTCTCTTCGTTTTCTTTGATGAATCCTCACTCGTATCAGCACTTGCTACTGATAGTAATGTTGCTGATTCAGTTGGTTGTATTTGATATTGAGTATCATCGGATGTTTTTTGTACAAGTCCAGGAAGACGTATTGGTTTATGATCTTCTTTTGTTGATTTAGATTGGTTGTCTGAATGAAGAGGAGAAGAAACATCTTTGGTTATTATTTGAGATTCGACAACTTTTTCAATATGTTTAGTTATTGTTCTTGTGATAGGTTCATCTTTTGATGACGAAACAAGATCAGTATCGGTAGTTGGCGGTGAACGAACATCAGCATGTAAAGCTGTATCAGCTGCAGCAGATTTTTCTTCAGTTTTCTTTGGTTTTTTCTTAAGAGTCATACTTTGCGAAGTAGTTCCTATAGAAGCCACTGTAGATGGTGACGAAATTTGTTTCCTAGAACTTCTTGATTGGCTCTTTTCACTATCCGAACTGTGACTATATGGCTTAGAAAATGGCGTTGTCGTTGTTGTTGCCATCGTTGCTGTTGGCGAAGAAGGTACATGCTTACGATAACGTACTACACGAAAACCATCTTCATCTTCGTCTTCAATTGATGAACGTTTTTGAAATTCAGTTGTAATTGTACTAGCTATGACTGGTAGAATGTTTTCTTTCGTTGGAGCTACTTGTCGAACTTGACTTTTGGTCTCGACTTTTGTTGACGTAAGATATTCTTCAACAACTTTCTGAACAGATTGATTTACATGAGCCGAAATTTTCGAAGTTAATGGTTCATCTTTTATTTCGGTTTCCTTTTTTTGTTGATCTTGATCAGATGATTTTGGGTGCACAGTAACAAGAACAGCTGGATGTTCAACATTTATTATTTCTTGTTGAATCGAATCTGATGGTTTGGATTTTACGACTGGAAGAATAGTTTGATGTTCAATGCTCGGTGCTTGTGGTGGCTCATAAATAATTGTTGGTTGTACATATAAAATTTCTTCCGGTGACTTTTGATCGATCGATGGTGATTGAATTGCAACATCACTCATTTTTTCACATATATCGTTCATTAGTGGTTTTATTAATTCAACTGTTCGAGTTTCCGTGCCAAATAATGGCGTTATACGTGACTCTTGTGAAGCAGGTGAACGTGGAGGATGGGTTGGTGGAAATTGATGTCGATCATGTTTTGGTCTAATTTGTTGACGTCTGTGATAGGGCATTTGGTTACCAGCATTTGAACGTGGTATTGAACTTGATCCTGATCCATGACGTCCATGAATAATTACCGATTTAGGATCCATACTACGACCCATATTTTGTATATTTCCTTGTGGTGGCAATGTTGGTGATGTTTTCTCTGATCTCGGTGCCGAAGATATACGTTTTCGATAATGAACTACTCGAAATCCTTCGTTATCTTCCTCTTCTTCTTCTGGTGAAGTTAATGCTTTTACACGAAGTGTTGTTGTCGTTGTTTTCGTTGGTGTTGATACGATTGGCTCAGATTTGATTTCAGGTTCTTCGACAGTAGTTATTATTAATGATGGAGCTTGAGATTCTAGAATTGTTTGTTCACTTTTTGGAAGTGGTTTGCTCTTGATTTCTGCCGTTAGTAAAGGACCAGTACTAGTTGTCAAGAATGTTGAAGATATAGACTTCGATTCTGTTGTAATACTACTCGTTGTAGGTTGATCCATCGGTTTTTGTTTCATGTCCTTCGATCGGCTCTTGCCGATACTGGACGAAGAAGTGATATCATTATCAGTCGATGCTGATGATAATGGAGCGTCTGATAATGTTGTTTCTTTTCTATATATTTTCTGTTTTGTTGTTGTACTGGTGTGTGAAACAGGACGAGTAGTGGAAGTAGTAGCAACAGGTATTGATGAACCTTGAGTTCTTCGAGGGGCTGCTTGTTTACGATCATTATCAGAACCAGATCGTTTTTTAGATATAAGTGTTGGTGATTGTGGTAGAACTTTTTCATGCGTTGCTGTCGATGGTACATGTTTACGATAAGTAACAACTTGAAAACCTTCATTATCATCGATATTTTCTTCTTCCTTCTGTTCTGGTTTTGGAACAGTCATTTTAGTAAGAACAGGTATTGTTGTAGTCTTTACAGGTATCAATGAAGTTGGTTTGGATACTACCTTTGGTTCTTCAATAACTACCGTTGATGATATAACTTCGGCTTCCTGATGTTTTTCTTGATCCGCCGACCGTACTTTAATTTTCTTCTTCTTAATAGATGATGAACTTGACAATACTTCTGATTTCGCCGACTCATGTTCACTTAACACAGCTGTCGAAACAACTTGCGTAACAATATTTTGTTCAGTGGCATGTGTATCAAGTTTAGCATCTTCTGGAAAAGTTACAAATGAGGATGACAACCACTGTGAAGCATCCGAAGACGTCGAGTCGTTATTATCATCATCTACTTGTTCAGGTGCTGCGATATCAGAAGCGACTGATGCTGACAAAATTTCACCACGCTGTTCGTCACTGTTTGTATCTGTTAAAGTTTGTTTCAGCTCATCAACTGTTCGATGTAATAACTCAATCGCATGTTTAATGTTTTCAGATGGATGATCTATTTCATGTCCAATATCGCCTGACGGTTGGTCTTGCTGAGAATCTATTTTGTTCGATGGTTCATCTTGTTGAGATTTTACTTCAACTGATGGTTCACCTTCTTGCAATTTGATTTCTTCCAACGGTTGGTCTTCTTGAGATTTCACTTCTACTGATCGCTCATCTTCTTGATCTTTTATTTCTTCCGGTGGTCGATCTTGTTGAAGTTTAATTTCTTCTGAGGTCTGATCCAACTCATGCTTGATTTCTTCGAATAATTGGTCTTGTTGAAACTGTATTTCTGCTGGTGATTCAAGTTGTTGAGGTTTTGTTTCCTCCGATGGTTCACCTTGTTGAAGCTTGACTTCTTCAAGTTTTTTGTCTTCCGATAGTTCACCCTGTTGAGGTTTGATTTCTTCCAACGGTTGGTCTTGCTGAGATTTCATTTCTACTGATGGCTCAACTTGTTGAAATTGAACTTCTTCGAATGATTGACGTTTTTTAGGTTTGATTTCTACCAATGGCTCGTCTGGTTGCGATTTCACTTCCACTGGCGGTTCACCTTGTTCAAGTTTGAATTCTTCCAACGGTTGGTCTTCTTGAGGTTTCACTTCTACTGATGGGTCAACTTGTTGCAGTTTTATTTCTTCCAACGGTTGGTCTGGTTGCGATTTCACTTCGACTGGTGGCTCATCTTGCTGAGATTTTACTTCCAATGTTGGTTCATCTTGTTGAAGTTTGATTTCGGTTGATGAGTGATCGAGCTCATGCTTAATGTTGTCTGATGGATGGTCGATTTCATGTTTTACTGTTGATAATGATTGATTGATTTCCGTGGAGTCATCTGTATGAACGAACGATAATACTTGTGGTTCAAGGATTTCCATATGTTCTTCAACTGCTTCTGATTTGGCAGTATCTGACTCGTGTTTATCCGTATCAGATATGGATGGTACAGGAGCATCAAAGAAAATAATTTCTTCATCTTTCTTTATTTTGTGATGCTTCTTCTTACTAGTTGTACTGCTAGTTATTGCACTATTTTCTGAGACACTTGTTGACATAGAACTAGTTGGTGAAACCGGATGTCCGTGAATAACTACTGGAATGAGATCTATATCTGGACTGGGAGTTGTTTCACTTGGAATTTTTGTATTCGTTGATGGCTCTTCTTGTGCTGTTGATGATGGTGCACGTTTTCGACGATGTACAACTTGAAATCCGTTTTCATCGTTGATTTGCTCGTCTTGTGTTGGTGTCATCGATGATGTAAGTGTTGCACTTAGTTGAGCTAATTCATGAACTTTTTCTCTTGTATCTTGTGTCTCAGTCAATGTTTGATGATCATAGTCTGGTATAACAACTCTTTCATGTGGTTCAGGTTGAACTTCGACTATCGTTGGAGGTGGTCTTTGTTCGAGTTGTTTGATAGTATTTGTTAGAGTTTCGTATAATGGACCTAATTTTCCATCTGCATCAGCAATCGTATAATAGTTTGAATACCATGGATAATCATCACCAATAACTTGAAGTTGTTGTGATGGTTGCTGTTCTATTTGTTCTTGTGTTGTTATTTCATCTTGTGCGATGTTAGTAATCGTAGTTAACGTTTCTTGTTCATCAACCGTTTGAACAGTCGTTGTTGATGTTGGCTGCTCTTGTTCAGCAATAATTTTTTCATATTTGTCAACAGCAGATTGAAGTGGAGCCGCGAGGATTTCTTTAGCAATTTCAATCAGTGATCCTTTATCTTCAGTAATGCCAAAATTTTCTAATTGTTCTGCAGTCAATTCTTGTTCTACTGTAGAGGAAACTTCAGGAGCAATTGATTTCTCATTGGAAGATACCATATTTGAGATCATTTCTGTGTTAACTGATGAATCTTGTTCAACAGAATCAATGTTATCTTGGTGCTTGATTTCATCAGCTACTGATGTTTGTAACTATATCAGAAAAAAAAAGTTATATTCAAATAAAAACATTATTTATTGACTTACGGTGGTGGTTAAAATTTCTGGTTCGTCATCCTTAGAAATTGGTTTTTCTTCTTGGATATCAGTATGTGAAGTAACTGATGTCGGTAAAATATCTTGGACTGCATGAATCGCATCCATAATAGCAGACTTATCTTGACCACTTTCACTTGTTAAACCTTTTTCTTCAACAACCGGTTCTTCTACATGGGAGATATCAAACTGGCTAGCAACAATTTCTTGCTGATCTGAGACTTCTTGCTCTTGTTGTGGTTGTTGAATATCCATCAACGGTAGAGCACGTTCTATTTGGGGTTCTTCTTTACTAATGTCTATAGTGGATGTATCAGGTAGAGTAGTCGTTGTGACAATGCTCGTGGTAATTTCAGATACAACCGGCGATGATTCTTGTTGTTGCTGTTCTTCTTTCGAAACTTCCAATGGTTTTGAAACAATCATTTCTTGAACTTCTTCAGTTGATGGAACGACACTTTCAACAGATTTTGGAGCGTCTACTTTAACTTTGTCTTCATTCAGTGAACTTGAAACATCGGGTACGACATCTTCTACAGGACTTGCCATCAATTCGTTTTCTGTCTTTTCAATTTGTTCTGTAGTGGCTGTAGTAGCTACGGTGTCTGTACTAGATGAAGGCACAGTTACTTCCACAGCCTTAGTATATTCAGTTGGTGTTTCGGAAGTGATTTCTGCTGATAGAAGAGATGCTGGTAAATAGCTCTTCAATGTTTCTAATAGACCAGTGGAAGATGTATCGTCATCGGCAATCACTTTTTCTTCTGAAGTTGATTTTTCTCCATCAATGATTGGTGCTTGACTGACTTCTTCGTGAGATTGTAAGGTTGGTAAATGACTTGTGAAATCAGTGATAATATGACTAACAATGTTTGTGACTTGTTCAACAAGACTGGATGAGTCGGACTCTTTTTCAAAGACTGGTTCAATTGGTTGTTTATAAGCATGATAAACATCACTACTACTGAAATAACCTGCTACTGGACTTGAGATGGATGATTTTTCGCTTTCTGCTCCTTCTGTCAAATGTTCTTCTGACACTGAAGTGACTACTGCAGGAGTACTAGAAGATGCCACAGTTTCTTCATCAATCTTTGTTGACTCAGCTGGTAATTCAGAAATGATTTCTTCTAGTTCTGTTGATCGCATTGATGCTGGTAAATAACTTTTCAATGTTTCTAATAGGCCTGTTGAAGATGCTTCCTCTGGCGCAGTCTCTTGTTCATCTAGAGTTGATTTTAGTGCGATTATTTCTTCATCGACTGCAATTGGAGCTGACATCTCTATTTCAGTGATCGATGGTTCGCTGGTGAGTTCTGTTTCAGTTGTTGATAATGTTGGCAAATGACTTGTGAAATCAGTGATAATATGACTAACAATGTTTGTGACTTGTTCAACAAGACTGGGTGATTCCGGTTCTTTTTCCAAGATGGGCTCAATGGGTTGTTTGTATGCATGGTAAACATCATTACTGGTGAAGTAACCAGTCACTGGTGATGAAATTTCTACCGGTTTCATCGTTTCAATTTTTTGTTGCTCTGATTTACTAAGATCTTCATCAGGAACATCCGCTACTACGACTTCTTCTAACGGCGATGATACTACTGGTTCTTCAGAAGTAATTTGATCTGTTGCTGTTAACGAAATATCGGATGGTAATACAGTTTTAACCTCTTCTAACATGATTGGTGACGATAACGATTCTTGCTGGATATTTTGTTCGTCGGGTAATGGTTTCAAAATTTTAGTTTCATCTTCTACTACAGCTGAATGTGAAAGTGTTTCATCAACAGTAGAAATCGAATCTTGTGTACTGTCTGTTGTTGTTACAGCACTTGTGAGACTAGAAATGATACTACTAACAATTGTTGTGGCTTTTTCAATCAGACTGGATGATTCTGGTTCTTCTTCAAAGACCGGTTCAATTGGTTGTTTATAAGCATGATAAACATCACTACTACTGAAATAACCTGCTACTGGACTGGACATTGATGATTTTTCGGATGCTTCAATTAATGGTTCTACACTTTCAGTCAAATGTTCTTCTGATACTGAAGCTACCATCGAGCCAGTCATTGACGACGTAGTAGTATCTTCGTCTGTCGTATTTGATACGCTAGGCGTTTCAGAAGTGGTCTCTTCTATTTCTGTTGATCGAATTGATGCTGGTAAATAACTTTTTAATGTTTCCAATAGTCCAACGGATGATGTATCTTCATCGACACTCTCTTTTTCTTCTGAAACTGATTTTAAAACGTCAACTTCTTGTTCGACTACGACTGGAGCTGATTTTTCTTCATCGATGATTGGTACTTGACTGGCTAAAGTGACTTCATCGTGAGTTTCCGTTGTTGGTTCTTTTTCAATTACAGGTTCAATTGGTTGTTTGTATGCATGATAAACATCACTACTACTAAAGTAACCTGCTGCTGGGCTCGATGCGATTTCTGAGTTCTCAACATGTTTTTCTGTATCATTTACTTCTGTTGTTGTCGATGGAATCATACTTGATGATAAAATAGCTGAACTTGATAATACATCTGTTGCCAATGTTTGTATTTGTTTGTCTTCTGGTTTTATTTCATTGTCGTTCAATGATGTCTGAACGATATGTTCATCTTTTGTTTCAGGTGAGCTTATTACTTCTTCAGATGTAATTACTGGTTGAGTAGTTGTGGTTGTCTCCGTAATAGTTGCTATAAATTTTGCTTGAAGATCACTGTTGTCGTGGAAACTCGAATCTGCCGAACTAGTTATCTCATCAGTTGTACTCGATTGTAGGGTAGCATCAGTAAGTAGTGTCAGAGCATCGGTAATGGCTGATCTACCTTTTTCAAAAATGCTTGATGGTTGTATTTTTTCTGTCTCCGGTAAATCGTCTTGATTCAATATTTCTTTTTGATCGATGGATGTTGAAGTAAGTATTTCATTGTGAGATTCTACTACTTGTGTTTCTTCTTGTTGTTTTTGTTCCAGTTCATTTGAAGATAAAGTTAAGTCAGTTGGTGCTGCTAGTTTGGTGAATTTTGTTGGATATTGCGTTTGTGCGATCATTTGTTCGAGAGTCACTGCAAGATTTGAATAGTTGATTCCTTCTTCACTGGCTATTTTTTCATATGGATTAATAACTGAACAGACAGGTGAAGCAAATATTTCTTCGACTGTTTTAACTAGATCATCACTGGTCATATTATCGTCAACTGATTTATCATCTTGTGGTAATAGAACAACCTCTTGATTAGTATCAGGAATAAGACTTTCATGTGTAGCTTCTTCAAGTTTTGTAATATGGTCAATAAGCGTATCATATCGATCTTCTAGATGATAATCATCATCCGTCTTTTCTTCAATGTCTGTTGTTATTGATTGGTGTTCAACAATTGATGATGAAGATGATTGTAAATCGTCCAATGGTTCTTTTAAACTATCAATTAGATCTTGTAATTTCGAATATTGTGAATCTAATTCAACCGTTGATGTAATTTCACCGACATTTTCGCTTTTTATTTCTGCTGGTAATAAATCTTCATTACTGAACTCCTTTTCAGGTGAAAAAACAGGTGGATGATCTTTCAATGTTTGTTCGATATCATCAGTTAGTGCTGCTGCAAGTTTAGAAGATACTATATTGTTTTCATCGACTACATGTTCATCTGTTTCTAGAAATGAACTTTCATGTAATTGTATATTATCTTGCTGCGCGCGTAGATCGAATTCAAGTGCTGCAAGTGCTTCTGTGATTCTTTTTACACTCTCGGAAACAGGTGCATCTGTAGAGAACAATGCAGATTGAATATCTTCGGATGCTAAGTTTTCATTCGATTCAGAGAGTAGACTTGATATTTCATCTGAAGTAACCGGTTGTTGATTTTGTTCTAGTTCTGTTGAGAGTGCTTGTTGAACATGATCTGTCATATCATCAACTGTTTTAATGATATCTTCGGATACACCGAATACTTGATGATATTCTCTTGAAGGCAAATGTGATACAACTGAAGGAGATTCTAAATCAAATTTTCGAGCATATTCATAGGAACGATCATCAAGATTAATATCTGATATGTCTGGTTTCTTTTGTTGTTCTTCATTAGCAATAAACGGTTCCATTGTTGTCCATGTGGTTAAAGAAGAAGTAGATTGTTCTGTTTTATCAGATTCAGTTGATTTTTCAGGAGACATTAATGTATGACGTTTTTCTTGTAGCTCAAAATATGCCAAAGGCGAATCTGATACATATGTTTTCTCTTCTAGTTGAGTCACTGATTCAAGTGATGTTTGACTATCTGCAGGAGTGAACGGTGACGATGATTCTTCGTCTGCATTTGATACGAAATGTCGATGTTCGTATAGTGCTATAAAGTTTGCTTCTGAATTTGTTGGAGTATCCGGCACAAAAAATGTTGGTGGTTCTTCATCTGTAATATCTTGATCTAGATCACCAATTACAAAAGTTGGTTTAACGGCACTGGCTCGTTGTAAAGGTGTATCTTCTGAGATATCGAATTGTTCCGGAAAACTTGTTTGAATATTCAATGTTTTTGTAGTTGCATCAGCAATATTCGGAAGTTCAGTTGTTTGAATTTGTTCATGAAAATCTGATTTTGGAGAAACAATAACTTTATTATCTTCATTTGAAATAGACGATTCTGGAGATGCTTCATTTGAAATTTTAACTAAATCATTGACGATATTTGTTAGACCAGATATTGAAGAATAATCATCCACCGCTTTAGTTTCAAGATCATTTATTAAATTTATATCAGGAGTAACTTCTTTAGGATATTCATCTGATACGGTATATGTCGAGGTTAGTGATTGATCGGTGATTTGATCAGGAACTGTTTGTTCAAGCATACAACATGCATCAACAATGGCATCATCAACAAGATTTTTTATTGTGCCATATAATGCTGGCGAAATAATTTCGTTATCATGTTGAGATGACAATTCCTCTTTCGAAGAAGCAGATAGCGTAAAATCCAATGGATGAACTGGTGACTCTGATTCACTGGACACAATTTTCATTTCAGAACTTGAAACATTATCTTGAAGAGAAGTTTCTTGATCTGGTTGTTCACTAATAACTGTAGGAGTTGATTGAACTGGAACTGGTTCCATTTCAGACGATGTAATTATATTTGGAAGAGACATAACTTCGTCAGATTCACGTAGCTGAGTTTGAACGTATGATATTTCTTTCTTGTCCGAATCCACTTCGGGTGTTACTGTAATAGTTTCATGAACGACTTCAATTGACGTATATGTTGGCTGTTTTACTTCTTCAACCGGAGTTACAATTTCGATTCTATCATTAGCGGTTGGTATTGTTACAATGTCATGAGTTGTGTCTTCGAAATACATTGCATTCGCACCTGTAACATGTTTTTCAACATGTTCAGTTACGCTTGCTGCTGTAATTGAATCTAATTGTTTTTCAACATTTTTCTCAATATTTACATCTATTGTATCAGCAGAAATTATAAAACTAGTTTCAACCAACGATATATCAGTTTGTATTGGTGCAGTTGAAACTTGGTTGACGCCTTCTCGTGATAGATCTGTTGACAAAGTTTCTTCGTCTTCTTCTTCTTCTATTTCCTTTTGGTCGTTAGATGGACTTTGTTTTTCAGCTGGTGTTTGTTCCGTGTGAGCTGTGGTAGTTATTGTTGTAATAGAAATAACATTTTCCGGAATAGCCTCACTTTTTTCCATGGCACTACTTTCAGAAAGTATGACTGGTTGTTCGATCTGTTCAGTAGTTTTTGATTTATCATCAACAAAAGACAAATTTGCATTAACTGATGTATCCGTCGTTTCTGGAACAATTTCATTTGATGATTTCAATGGCAATGATTCAACTTCATGTTCAGTCATTGCATCTTTTGTTGCTGTTGGTTCGGCCTTAATTTCCATAACTGACGCAGGCGCACTTAACTGTGGTTCTTCAGTTAACGTCGTATCTGTTAGTTGAAGTTTTTCTTCTGTTACTACTTCAGCTGGTAGAACAACTGGTACTTCTTGTTCTAGAACTGAAGATATTGTTTCATCGGATGTTTTGTCCGCTTCTCCTTCAATAGTTGTAATTTTGCTGTCGGGTATAATATCAATCGCTGGAATCTCAACAGTTGCAGGTGTAGAAATAATTTCACGGACAACATCATTCAACACTTCCGAAGAAATACGTTCAGCGACTTCTTCTGTTTTCGTGTCAGCGTTTGATGATGATTGATCTTCTGTTGTTCTTACCTCTATTTCCTGTGTAGTAAATGATGTTATCGTTGGTTGTTGTACTTCATCATGCTTTCTCACTTCGACTTCCGTTATTTTTTCTACAGCTAAACTATCTGTTGAAGACAATAACTTATCGAGTTGATCAGAAGCCTCATCAAGAGATGCTGATAATGTTCTTTCCAGTGATGGTTCATGTTCAGTAGCTTCTTGTATCGAGTGTTCTACAGTTGGAAGATGAACAGTTACTGGTGTTGCAAGAATTTGACGAACTGTTTCACTTAATGTTTCGGAAGCGATTCGTTCAGCTTCTTGTTCTTCTGTACTACTTTCTACTGCAATTTCAGTAATAGATGGTATCAAACTTGATTCTTGTAATTCTTGTTGTTTAGTATCCGATGGTTCTGTTCGTTCTTCTTCTTCTAGTGTAGTTTTCTCCAATGGTGACATTGTTTTGAGTTCATCTTTACTTTCAGAAAGCGATGACAACAAAGGTGTTTCTGGTATTGCTTCAGTTTGAGGTGTTTGTTGAAGGTTATCCTCGACTACTGGAAGATCAGCAATAACTGTTGTACTGAGAATTTCACGAACTGCTCCAGTTAATGCATCCCAAGACATTTCTTCAGCAACGTCTTCGTTCGGCTTGTCTGCAACTACTGATTGATCGTCTTCTGTTTTGATTTCTTCTGTACTGACCATAGCAACTACTGGTACACTTGTTGATTGCTCTACTTCTTTTTGTATACGATCCAAGGATTTATTCATTTCTTCCTCTGCTGCAATTATATCTGCAAATGTAACTGATTCCATCTGATCAGGAGCTTCATGAAAATATGGCAATGACGTCGTTTCGAATCTTTCCTGTACCGTATTCTCGACTTGCTGGGACTCAACAATAACTGGTGTTCCAACAATCTCACAAACAGCGTCGACAACTGCGTCGGAAGAAACACGTTCAGCTACTTCTTTCGTCGCCTCTAAGACTTCTGTTTGATGACACTCTTCTGTAACGTTTTCCACACTATCAGCATCAGCCGATGAGACAATTAATTGTGGTAACTCTAATTCTTTTGCGCCCGCTCGTTGAGTTCTCTCCTCGTCTGTTGTAGTAGCTTCTGTAAATATTACCGTTTCGACAATCGATGCATTTTCAACAGTTGCTTCTAAAGCACGTTCCTCTGTTGGTAATTGAACAGAAACTGCAGTTCCAATTATTTCACGATCATCTACTTCTGTTATCGTCTCTACAACAGGTGGTTGCTGATCTTCTGTACTGATATCCATTGAAGTTTCAATATTGCTTCGTGTCATGCTCAATTGCGCTTCAACATCAAGTTGCATATCCATTGATTCTGGCTTATCTTCATGAGGTGTTCCTAATAATGACAATTCCATTTCTTCAAGTTCTTTGTTCAGCTCAACGACAGTTTCTGATGATGGCTTTTCCGTCATTGTCTCAGCTTCAATCGTTCGCTCTTCAACATGTTGCTGTGCCAGTATATCAGCAATAACTAATGTTGGGATTATTTCACTAACAGCTTCAGCGAGTGCCTGTGTAGAAACACGATCAGCTAATTCTGTTGAGGGCTCCACAACTAGCGGTTGATGATCTTCCTTTGCGGTTACTTCAACAATTTCAGAAGGCGGTGACATGGCGACTGGTTCGTGGGATTCTTCTTCTTTCACGGCGACTGGTTCCATTTTCTCCTCATCTGTTGTCGCAACTTCTCCTGGTGCTCGTATTTCGACAGTCAATGGAGTTTCAATTGTTCGGCCTTCAATATGTTCTTCTTTTGGTATATCGACAATAACTGGCGTAGCAATAATTTCATGAACAGCTTCAATGGGTGCCTCAGTAGAAACATCCTCAGCTGCTTCTGTGGTAGGCTCTACGACTGCTGGCTGCTGATCCTCCTTTGTAATTTCTTCAACAATTCCACTATCAGATGATGTCGCAATTGCCTGTTGTAATTCTTCTTCTTTGAGAGCGGCAGCTTCGATTTTCTCCTCAGATGTTGTAGTCAATTCTACAGATATTGGTATTTCAACAATCGATGGAGTTTCAAATACTGGTTGTTCAACATGGCCTTCTTTCGGTATATCAGTAATAACCTGCGTTACAATTATTTCATGAACAGGTTCAGTGACTGCCTCTGTTGAAACATAATCAGTTGCTGCCGTTGTGGGCTCTGTGACTGCTGGTTGTTGATCTTCCTTCGTGATTTCTGCCACAAATTCAGGAGCCACTGATGTGACGGAAACTTGTTGTGATTCGTCTTCTTTCGCAGCAACAAGTTCGATTTTCTCTTCATGCGTTGCAGTGACTTCTACCGGTGCAGGTATCTCGACAATCATTGGCGGTTCAATTATTCGTTCTTCAACGTGTTCTTCTGTTGGTACATCTGCAATAACTGACCTTGCAATTATTTCACGAACAGCTTTAGTGAGTGCCTCGGTAGAAACATGATCCTCTACTTCCGTAGTAGGCTCTGTGACTGCTGGTTGTTGATCATGCTTCCTGATTTCTTCAACAAATTCAGGAGCCGCGGATGTGAGGGAAGCTTCTGGTAATTGCTCTTCTTTGACAGCGGTAGGTTCGGTTTTCGTTTCATCTGTTGTACTAACTTCTGCCGGTGCAGGTATTTCGACAATCAACGGAGTTTCAAATGTTGGTTGTTCAACATGCTCTTCTTTTGGTATATCTACAATAACTGGTGAGCCAATAATTTCACGAACAGCTTCAGTGAGTGCCTCAGTAGAAACATGATCCTCTACTTCCGTAGTAGGCTTTGCCAATACCGGTTGTTGATCTTCATTTGTGATTTCGGGAACAATTTCAGAAACGGGCGATGTCACGCTTGCCTGTTGTAATTCGTTTTCTTTCACAGCGGCAGGTTCGAATTTTTCCTCAGATGTTGTATTCAATTCTACAGATGCTGGTATTTCGACAATCAATGGAGTTTCGAATGCTGGTTGTTGAACATGCTCTTCTTTTGGTATATCAACAATAATCTGCGTCGCAATTATTTCACGAACAGCTTCAGTTAGTGCCTCTGTAGAAACATGTTCCGCTAATTCTGTTGTAGGCTCTGTGATTGCTGGTTGTTGAACTTGTGTAGTGATATCTTCTGTGGTTTCAATATTAGTTGGTGTTGTGTGCAATTGTTGTTTATCATCATGTTGAATATCGACTGATTCTGGCTTCTCTTCATCAGGTGTTCCAATCAATGAGGATTCAATTTCTTCAATTTCTGTTTTAATTTCAGCAATAGTTTCGGATGGTGGCTCTTCAGTTATTGTCTCAGCTGCAATCGTTCGCTCTTCAACATGTTGCTGTGCCAGTATATCTGCAATAACTAGTGTTGGGATTATTTCGCTAACAGCTTCAGTGAGCGCCTGTGTAGAAACACGATCAGCTAATTCTGTTGAAGGGTCCACAACTAGCGTTTGATGATCTTCCTTTGCGATTACTTCAATAATTTCAGAAGGCGGTGACATGGCGACTGGTTCGTGGGATTCTTCTTTTTTCACAGCGGCAGGTTCGAGCTTCTCTCCATGTGTTGTAGTAAGTTCTCCTGGTGCAGGCATTTCGAGAATCAACGGAGTTTCAAATGTTGTTAGTTCAACGTGTTCTTCTTTCGGTATATCAGCAATAAGTGGCGTTTTAATTATTTCACGAAGAGCTTCAGTGAGTGCCTCTGCAGAAACATGATCAGCTAAGTCTGTTGTAGGCTGTGTGAGTGGTGCTTGTTGTGATTCGTCTTCTTTGGCAGCAACAAGTTCGATTTTCTCTTCATGCGTTGTAGTGACTTCTACCGATGCAGGTATTTCGACAATCGTTGGTGTTCCAATAGTTCGTTCTTCAACATGTTCTTCTTTTGGTAAATCAGCAATGACTGGCGTTGCGGTTACTGCACGCACAGCTTCAGTGAGTACCTCTGTATAAGCGTGATCCGCTGCTTCGGCTGTTGGCTCTTTGAATGATGGTTGTTGATCGTCCTTCGTGATTTCTTCAACAATATCAGGAGTCGCTAATGTTATAGGTGCTTGGAGTAATTGCTCTTCTTTGACAGCGACAGGTTCTATTATTTCTTCATGCGTTGTAATGATTTCTGCCGGTGCTGGTATTTCGACAATCGTAGGACTTTCAACTGTTTTTTGTTCGACGTTTTCTTCTGTTGGTATATCTGCAATAGCTGACCTTGCTATAATTTCACGAACAACTTCGGTGAGTGCCTCTGTAGAAACATCGTCAGCTAATTCTGTTGGAGGCTCTGTGATTCCTGGTTGTTGAACTTGTGTAGTGATATCTTCTGTGGTTTCAAGATTGGTTGGTATTGTGCTCAATTGTTGTTCATCGTCATGTTGGATATGCATTGATTCTGGCTTCCCTTCATCAGGTGTTTGAAATAATGAGGATTCAATTTCTGTTTTAAGTTCACCGATAGTTTCGGATGATGACTTTTTCGTTATTGCCTCAGTTTCAATTGTTCGTTCTTCAACGTGTTCTTTTGTTGGTATTTTGGCAATAAGTGGTGTTGCAATTATTTCACGAACCGCTTCAGTGAGTGCCTGTGTAGAAACACGATCAGCTACTTCTGTTGTAGGCTCTACAAACACCGGTTGTTGTTTTTCCATTGTGATTTGGTCAACAATTCCACTATGCGGTGATGTTGCAATTGCCTGTTGTAATTGTTGTTGTTTCACATCGACAGGTTGAATTGTTTCCTCAGGTGTCGTAGTCAGTTCTGTAAATGTTGGTATTTCGATGATGGATGACAACGATGATGCTTGAGTTGTTTGCTGTTGCTCTGTTGGCATATCAGCAATAAGTGGCTTTGCAATTATTTCACGAACAGCTTCAGTGAGTGCGTCTGTTGAAACATGATCAGCTAATTCTGTTGTAGGCTCTGTTATTGCTGGTTGTTGAACTTGTGTAGTGATATCTTCTGTGGTTTCAATATTAGTTGGTGTTGTGTGCAATTGTTGTTTATCATCATGTTGGATATCGACTGGTGCTGGCTTCTCTTCATCAGGTGTTCCAAATAATGAGGATTCAATTTCTTGAAGTTGTTTGTTAAGTTCAATGATAGTTTCTGATGATGGCTCTTCCACTATTGTTTGATTTTCAATAGCTTGTACTTCCTCGCGTGTGTCAATTGGCTGATGTAGAGTGACTGGAATTGCAATTATTTCACGAGGTGCTTCAGTGAGTGCCTCTGTAGAAACATGATCAGCTGGTTTTGTTGTAGACTCTGTGACTGGTTTTTGTGGATCGTCCTGGATGATTTCGTCACTAATTTGAATGTTTGATGATGTGACGATCGGATGTTGTAATTCTTCATCTTTCAGATCGGCTGGTTTAATTTTCTCTTCTTCGAGTACAGTAAGTTCTGTCGGTGTTACTATCAGGATTGTTTTTGTTGTTTCGGTGATCGATGGGATTGTTGGTGTTTCCAATATATGTTCATTTTTAGTTGCTTCCAGTAGGATTTGTTCTACAGTGGGTTGATGTGGTGCAGCTGATGTAGTAAGAATTTCAGGAAGAGCTTCTGTTAATGGTTGCATTGAAATTTGTTCATCGTGTCGCTTTTGTTCTTCGTTTTTGTCTTCTGGGTTTTCTTCTGACGGTGTTGTTTTCAGGGAAGTTTGAAGTTTGTCAAATGGTTCATTTAATTCAGCGACAATATCGGACGAGGGTGCTTGAATCACTGTTGTTGATTTCACGTGTTCAACTTCATCTCTATTTGTGACGTCTCCAGGAGATGTTGGTGGTGATTCTGTAGTTGCATCTTCTTTAATATGCGAATGTAGTGTTTCTTCAGCATAGGATTTCCTTTCTGCGGATTCAATTGTGGTAGCTTGTTTAATAATTTGAGTAAGTGATTCTATAGATGGCTTTGGAACTAATAGCTCCGGCTCAATTGTTGAGTCTAGTTTGTGATCAGCTGTTGGAACATCCAAAGTAATGGGTGTAGCGAGAGCTGCTGAACACACTTCACTCAACACTTTCAATGAATCTTGTCCAAGGTTGTTATCTTTGATTGATTCTTGTTGATTATCTGATGTCGAAATTTCGACCGATTCGACTAAAGATGATGTGCTAAGTGATTGTTGTGCTTCTAGATTAATATCTGTTTTTTCTATTAAGTTTTCTTCGGTTTTTAGTGCTGTACCAGAAAGTGTTCTTACGAATGCTCCAGTAATTTGACCAAATGAATCGATTAATGTTTTTGGAATTGTTTGTTCCTTCTCGAGTTTCGGGCTTACAGTAGGATCGACTATTGGAAGATCAGCAGCAATTGGCAGAACTAGAGTTTCTGGAGCATTTTTTCCCGAATTTAGAGATGAAAGACTTGTTGTTTCTGGCTGTTCATTAGTGCTTTCAACTGCAGTAGTAAATGTTGTTCTTGTTGGTTCATCTAAATCTATATGTTCCGAGCTTGTTTCTGCTTTGATTTGCGAATCAGATGTTTGTTGAACATTATCTGGTATGATAACATTTTCCGCGGCAATTTCATGTTTTTCTATATGAGTTTCTGGTTGAAATTCATCGGTAACTGTTTGAATGATTTCTTGAATTTGAGGTTGATCAAATTTCGGTGTTTCGTGTTGTTGAACAGACTCTTCGACAGTTTCTAAAACATATTGCTCTTGATCTTGCTGAGTAGTTGGCAAATCTTCATGGATAATTGTCGCAAGATTTTCGATCAATGGTTTCTCTTCGTACTTATCAACAAATGTGTTTTGTTCTGCTGTTGTTGTTTTTGTTAGTATTTCAAAAGATATTTCTTTTTCATCTAAAGGTATTGCTACTTTGTTAATTTTTTCTAATGTTGTTGATGGAGATGGAACAAAATCGACACTTTCAACGGCATCTGTTTTTATTATAACTGATGGCTGATCAATAGAAGTAGTTGTTGTTGTGGTTATTATTTCACGAGCAGCTTCTGTTAACACATCCAAAGAGGGACGATCGGTTTCACCTGTTTTTTCAAGATCGTCAGCAGTCAGTTGATAATCTTCAGAAACTGTTTGGTCTGTAATTTGCGAAGTAGTTGTAAGAGTGTTTGTAGTAAGTTGTTCGTTAACATGATCTTCAACTCTTTTAGGACAAGTAGTTTCTGTGGCAGGTAAATCGAGTGATGTTGACGATGTACTATTAAGAAAAATTGAAATTTTCAATTATGAAAAAAAAATGATCATATCAAATAACTTACGTTTGCACTTCAGGAACATGTTCATCTTGTTGTTGTTGCATAGTAATGTCACATGTTTGTTCTGAAGGAGTTGTAATTTCTGTGATAATTTCACGAATAGATTCTGTCATAGTTTCGTATGAAATATGTTCTGGTTGATCTTCTTTCGTTGTCACTAGTTCACTGGGAATGCTTTCACTGGTTGATACGATATCTACATGAGAGTCAACTAATGACTTTTCAATGTCTTGTTGCAAAATATGCGTAGTTTCGGTTTTATTATCAGTCGATGGAAGACGAATAATTTGCAGTGCAGGACCCATCTGACGAACAATATCTACTGAAGATTCGAATGGTTTTTGCTCATCGACTTCTTGTTTTGATTGAGATTCAACTGATGATTGATCATCGTGCGATGTTGATTTTTCGATGGTTTCATCAGTTCCAGATAAAGTACTAGATACTGGTTGTTGTTGTGGTACTTCGTCTAGCTTGATGACATATTGATTACTTTCAATTGTTGATTCAACTGATAGTAATGTATCGTGTTGTGTTATCGGTTCGATGAATTCCTGAGTATCTGTAAGTATTTTTTCTTTCTCAAGAGGAGATTGAAAATAATTCGTTTCATTAGTAACTTGAGCAACATCATTAACAGTTAGTGGCTGCTTTTGTGTTACGTCTTCTGTATCATAAATTAGTATTGGTTTTGGTTGTAATTGAGTTGCAAATATTTCAGTTGTTGTAGTCGAAGAATCCTGAGAAAAACTATCAGGTTCATCTTGATCTAAATGTTGTTTATCTTGAGATTTCATTTGTTCAACAACATTGACTAGAGAATCTTTCGATAAAATTATTGCTTCGTGTGTTGTTGAACTTTGTTTATCTAAATCTGATTGTTCAAATGTTGAAGTTTTAGTTTCCATTGTAGGAATTAACGAAGAAGATGGTTCGCTTTTGTCTTGCTGTTCATCAATTTCCGTTCTTAATAACAATTTAAAAAAAAACACAATAGCTCATTGAAAAAATTAAGTTATTTTAAAATTTACTTGATTTCATCATTTTTCTCTAAGGAAAATTCCTCGAATGATTGATCGAATATGTCTTTAGTATCTTCAATCGATTTTCGTGGAATATAATTAAGAACTTGCTCATCTTGTGTTACTAGTTCTTCAGATGATTTTGTTTCAGACACAAACGAATGTTCATCTTCGGTTTCATCATCAAATGATGTTGGTAATCCAGGCATAAGATGAGTTGTAAGTGTGTTCATGAAGGCTCGAAGATCTTGATTACTTTCATCAATTGAGTCACTTGTTTTGCCCTTCGACGATGATGATAATGATGATGATATCTTTTCATCTTCAGAAACACTAATTTCAATAGGTTGCGTGTCAATGTTTTCCAATAAAGTTCTACACAAGAGGCATGCAAAACATAATTTGCATAAGAAAAAAAATGTTCTTTTTACTTCGTTGTTACAATCGAAATTCTAGGTAAAGCAATGTCGGTTGTTTGTATTTGTTCAATGTCCTGGAAAGGAAAGAAAGAAAGAAAAAAAAACCATAATAAGCATATAACAAAAAAAAGAAGAATTTTACAAATTTACCTCTCGATGAATAGTTGTCTCGGATGGTTCTACAATTGAATATGTCGATTGCGACTTTGATTCTAAATCATTGATTGATGACTCGGCTGTTGTCGGTTGAATTTCGTGATCATCTTGTTTTTCATTTGTTGTTGATGATGATAACAACAATGATGGATGAGAATCTTCAGTTGTTTTTTGTTGTTCATCTGATTTGAAAGATTCTGATGGTATTTGTTCATTTTCAGAAAATGATGCATCCTCATCTGTATCTCTTCCTGATATTTCTTTTATTGTTTGTTCAGTTGTACTCGATGGTTCTTCATCATCTTTTTCTAGTTCATCATCGGTTGACATAATTGTTTTATTGATTTGTTTTTCTCTATCATGAGAATAATCCAGTTCACCTTGAGAAAAACAAAAAAATAAGTAATTAATTATTCTGTTTCTTCAACGATATGATAAATAGTATTTTTAAAATAAAGACATATAGCTATACTGAGAACTAATATTGACATTCTTCTTGCAAAGTTCAATATTAAAGAATCGGTTTTATTTTTATTTTTTTTGGTTTCTATAATGTTACAATGATTAATTTTATTGTCCTAGGTCTATTATAATTCAGTGTTTTCTTTTTGTAAGAGACATTTATAATATGTTTATGTTATTTGATCTTTTATGATGAAACAAAGGCAAGCAAGAATAATAACTTACGGTCGTTGATTTCTCCCTGAGCAGATGTTTGATCGTTTATTGTTGTCCTTGATTGCTCGATATTGTCTGTTGTTCTAGTAGATGTTAACAAACCATCCGAAGAACTAATTTCATATGTAGTTGTATTTACATCAGCTCGACATCTTGACAATAAGTCGCTAGTTTGATATTCATTATTTGTTGGTGTGATATTTATTTTTGTTACTCCTCGTTCTTCACTAATTATTGGTACGAAGTCATCCGTATCATTTAAATTATTGTCAGGACGTGCAGAACCACGCTCATTATTGTATAAGTTTGTTTCTGCTATAACTTTTGTATCGATTGGAATCGATGGATAATGATAACCAGTTGTTATTCTTGTGTGTGAAACTTGTGGTTGTGAACGAAATAGATCAGTATCATTTAAATTGTCACCACGACGTGTAGAATCACGTTCATTTGTAGATAGATTTCTTCCTGATATAGGTTTTGTATCGATAGGAATCGATGGATAATGATAACCAGTTGCTATTCTCGTTTGTGGAACTTGTTGAACTTGAGTATGTGAACGAATAGGGTCACTTTCATTGACTCGTACGTAATTAACATAATTTTGATCATCAGAACGATTACGTACAGATACATCAAGTGATGATTTATCAGCTGCAAGAAATCCAGTTGATTGCCACGAATCAGATAGTGTCGATTGTATTGGTGTAGTTGAACGTTCAGGACTAATTATATTATCATTTTTATATGGTGAACGTGTACCACTCGTATCTCTTGAACTTGGTTGCGATGTTAATGTTGATGTACCATCTAATGTTTGACGTTTTCGTCTTGTACGACGTTTCTTTATTTTACGAAAGTTTCTTGATTCAGAACGTGAACGATGTATTTGTCGGCATGTTTTTAAATTATCACCAGAATAGACAAGTTCATAGAAAATTTCTTCCACAACAGTCGGATCAGTTTCTTCAAATTCAACAAAATCTTCAAATTTTAATTCACCTTCTTCTCTAACCACTGTTTTCGCGTCATCACCCCAACGTTCTATTAATGTTGGATAATGATTAATATCGGTGATTTCAAGTATTTCCTCATTGATTATTTCTTCATCCGAATCATCTAGGTAATGTGCCTTACGATATGGTGATGTAGAAGATGGCGTACGATAACGTGATATAGATGGATATGAAGGTTCATATTCGCGATGATGAAGAGTCAATGAATTAGTCGGACTCGTCGATGGTGGACAATACGTTTGTGATGAGACATAATATGAATGAAGAGTTCGAGGATCACCCGTTATCGGTGTTGTTGTATATGTTGGTTCTGTATTTACTGTATTTGTCGATGCATACGTGTGTGTTGTCAGTGTCGAACGACTTGAACGATTATTCGACGATGAAATATTTTGACGATTATTATTTTTATTAAATGAGGGCGCCGAGACACGGTTCGCCATTGAGTCGTCAACACTAAGACGGACGACGCTCGGGCAACTGTGCTGCTCGCTTGTAAACGAAGTAACTGAATCTATATATTTATTTGCTTGCTTTGCTCTTTCTCTCTCTGTTTTTTCTTGCGTTTTCGCCATCGTCGACGTTGGCGTTCTTCTATTCCCGTCTTCTCTTTTTTCTCTTTCACCCTTTTCTCCATCTCTTTCATTTTCGGCCCCACCGTCGACATTTGCTAATGCAGCCATTGATGCTCTTTCACCACCACTCAGCGTAGCATGTACATATTGCTCATCCCTTTTACTCGTGCTGCTGTTGTTGTTGTTGTTGTTGTTGGTCTCGTTTTCGATAGATGTTGTCGTAATATCATGAGTAGTTACAGCCGACATGCTAGTAGTATCATTCACAATAGGCATGCTAGATTCTGGTACATATGTCTGTCGTCGATTTATCATCAATAATGATGTTGTTGTATTTTTTCCTTTTAACAAAATCAGTATTATGTTCTATAGATTCATTCTCTTACATTGAAATAAAAATAAGTACGGACATTAGCAAATGGGAAAAAAAATAATGAATAGTATTTTGTATTTTTTTTGTTATTATTATTGCTATTTTCGTATCATAGCTATAGCTAGTGGTCTAGGTTCGATCCCATAAAAAAAGAAATCATTTTTTTTTGCGTCTTTGCCTTTTGTTCTGCGTCCTTCAGAATTATTGTACATATTTGTTCGTATTTATACTCGTTCTTTACTTATCCAATTTTCTTCTTCTGTTCGTAGATTTCCTTTTCTTTCTCTCTTTTGTTTTTTCTCATCACACCATCATCAATATTACTATGGAGAGTATCTGCGCTTGAAGGTCTCCTATTACTGTAAAACGTCATTTGTCATCTGCGATGGCGGGTACATTATGTTTTTCTTCTAGAATTACTCTTGATTTTTTTAGGTTTTGATAAAGTTATTTTGTTTTTCGAAGAGAATTCAAAATATTTACTTGGCTCAGACGAACGTGATGATGATGCAAGTGTAGAATTCGTCTGGTTCTGCTTGTGTTGATTTTCATCTGCAAGATTTTTTACCATATACCGAGTTTGATTACTGGATTTTTCTTTTTCTTGCTCTCCAGTAGAAAGTCCTGAATAAGAGAAAAAGAATAAAGAAACATACAACAAGTGTAGACAAATATATGCATACACAACAAAATTGTTTTCTAGATAGTAAAAAGAACAGGCAGTAGTAAAAAAAATAATAATAAAAATTTATGAATGTAACGCGATACTGATGGATAAAAGTGAAGCGATTGATGTGTCTATTTTATAATTAGTTTTGACTCGAAGTGTATTTTTAATATTACGTACTACAGTTTGCCTAAGAGTTAATAATAAATAAGAAGCGAAAATAAAAGTTATGTGTGCATACACCCATGTATGTGTTAGCGTCAATTCAATTAGTTCTTCGAACAGCAGGCATACCTGGGAGAGTATTAGGCGTAGGCTTTATCGATTCTTTCGCATCGGTAATATCATAAAATGTTGACGACGTATTTACTATGCTTTTTTCATTTGTATCATTCGACATCGATGATGATATTTTTTTTTGTTGATTATTGTCAAGATTTGCCGACAAGGTTTCATTCTCGCCAAGCATAGCTAAAACAGAAAAATATGCATGTAATTTTTCATTAAATTTTTCTTTCTGATATTCAATATTCAAGAGTCCATTCGGGTCTGATCGATAAAAAGAAAAAGGGACGAAATAGATCTTTATCGAAATATTCACTCGATCGATGATAAAAATATTTGAAGTATCAAATGAAGAAAACTAATTTCTAGTGTTGTGTGCATACAAACATTTAATGATTTCTATCATTAAATAGTTACTTTTTTCGTTTTTCTTCTTGTACAAGAAGAAAAAATGATATCTATCATTTTCATATTTCACTAATAAGTATGACAAAGGTTATACAACCGTACACAGACCAACAGCGCAAAAAGACATTATTCAAAGTAAAGAATCCGTCAGCTAAAATTACAAATGACAGGCTATTGTACAGACACCTTTACTTCTATGAGTAACATCTTTCTATACGCTTCAGTGCATTCTTTTATTGACTCTCACGCATTTTTCAACGTCGTTGCCTTTTGATATAATATCCAAAATGCAAATATTTCAATCTAATACATAGCTACACACTAGTTTGATAGTTAAATACAGTATCTATTGTTGTCATATGAGTTTTAATTCGTTTAATGTTTTCGAAGACAATCGTAATGAACTATGCGAACATAAAACGATTGATGATACAATCAAGTAACGAACCTATATTTCATCAATATTCATTCTTCAATGACAAAAGAATTGCTTTACATAAGAGTTTGAATGGGGATTCTATCTGTCAACGATCGTCTCTGATTGCGTGTACAGATATATACATATATATATATATAAAGTTCAATTATGTTCGATATACAGAGATTATTTTTTGTTATTATATCAAATCTTAATCTATGTAACTATGTTCATTTATATTAAACTCGGCCTTTTCCTATACAAATAAAGAAATTTGATAGTTCATCAAAAAGAAGAGAAAATTCGTTGTACAGATTAATCTGGGTCATATAAGAATCGAATGAGATCTGTACTCCGTTGCCTTAATGAAAAAGAAAGCTAATTTTAAGTAGTCATAAGCGTGCAGTGAAACATATTTTTAGCTTCCTTTTGTTTTCCGCCTGCTTAACATTAATGAGAAAGAAAAAGAAAAGAAAAAGAAAAAGAAAAAGAAAAAGAAAAAATAAATAAATATATATATTTATGTCGATAATGTATTCCAATAGTCAAGTGTTACGTATTCTTCCGATACAGTGAAGTGCGGTAGTTTTGTTTTTTTTCTCGTCAAGTATTCTTAATAATCGCCATCATCATCATCCATAAAAAAATTAAGACGCTATTTTTCTTTCTTAAATGTAATGCAAAATCAATGATACAGGCATTTTCTGTTCTGTGTTTTTGTCTCGCTATTCTATTCGCTTTTCACCTTCACCCTGAGTAGATGAAGCAGAAACGAACTAATCACCATAAAAAATACCTGTGGCTTTATCGACCAGTAATGGCAATAACGGCGAAGCTTTCGTAGACATATGGTAATCAACTAGGTCATTTTCTGTTTCATCAGATTTCTGACTTTTCTCTTCGTTTTCGAAGTAAAACCGATCAGAATGACTAGAAGGCTGTTGATATTTGTTTTGAGTTAGCGAATGTGCAATTGAATTTGTTGATGACATTGATGCGTATTTTTGTTTTTGTTCGTCGGAGACTTGATTAATGTTTCGTAATATATCAACCATAATTCTTGTTAAAGAATGGATACCATCAAGATGCTCCGATGACGATAACAACAATGATGATTGCAAAGATGTTTCAGGGCCGGAAAGAGAACGTTGTCGCTTTATAGGTTTTGTTTGATTTGTATGAACCAAAGCACGGCCAGAAAAAGTGCACGTTCGCTTTCTTGCGTGTTTATTTTGATGCTGATTATGCAAATGATTGACGTCGCTTAATGACTGTTGTTGTTGTTGTTGCATTAACGGAGAATAAATTTGACAAGTCGGTCTTGAACAATATGATGACGCTGTATTTGATACATCGTTATAGGCATGTGGACGCCATACATTTTCTGATGATGGCAACTGAGTTATTGCACTCCATGATTGTGGATCATATGGAATATATTGTGGTACAATTGATAATAATGGTCTTATCGTTGATGTATCTATTGAACTTGAAGATTCTGGATAATGATATGTGTCTGAATAATAGCGTGTACGCGGATGACGAATACTATGCGAATCTACATGTGCTGCGTGTCTTTGTGAATGTCTAGGTATCAATTCAGAATGATACGTTGAAGAAGTATCACTTGGTTTAAAATCTGGTGCATCAGGATTCAAATGAGTTCCGATTGGTTTATTAATATTTTCGATGTGTAACAAATGACTTCCTTCATGATGTGTTGCTTCGGTTAAATCTGTGTGTGATTGCTTTTTATTGGTGATTGTTAAGTTTTCTGTTACATTCTCAGCGTCGGATAACGAAGATCGTGATGTTGCATGACAATGTTCGTCTTTGCGACTGTTAACAGATGCGTGACTGTCTTTCGTTGATAAATCATCACTGATGGCTATATCAGCTGGCGTTGTTGTTGACTGTGATCGTTCAGAATTATCTTCTATCGTCGTTGACATTGAGTTATTTGATGACAATTGATTGCGAACTTTATTCAAACATGACTCAGTCGTTGATCGTTCATCATTCATATCGAATTTCTTCTTAGAACAAGATATCTCGTTAATATCAGATGTTCGCGGTGTATTGACGTTCTAGAATAGAAATCGAGCACAGAATAGAAATAGGAACAGATGTGTTAAATAAAAATATGTTTTGTGTAAGTTTTACTCATATTCGTAGACTATTTTTAGTCTATAACAAAAAAACTCATTTAACTTCTGTTTTTTGCTTCATTTTTTCTTTTGTTTTCAAGAAATGAAGCGTGCAATAGATTATTTTATGATGTATAATATTAAATCAAAAGGGTAACGACCTGTTTTAAATATTCGTAAAACATACGAAAAGGAACTATATGCATTAGCGATAATTTCTCTACGTGACAAATATACTGATGAATTATATTTCCTTTTTGAATACATAACAGGAATTGCATGTGTGATATGAACTCAGTATGAATATAAAATTACTGAGGGCAATGATCAATGCGATGATGAATATACAGTTATATAACCTGAAGACTATCGTTGCTTAATTGCTAATCAAAGAATGTTTATTTGTTTTTATAATATCGTCTGTATCTATTTGATTGATTGATTAGCGTAGATATTCTTTTGTTTTGCGTCAATAATTATTGTTTCTTAGTCTGATCAATACAAATTCATGAAGGCATTATTACGATTCTATTTGATAGTATCGAAAAAACAAAGCTTTTTTTTGAAAATTACTTTCTTATTTGTATGTTCGTTATTAAGATAAAAATCGTTAAATGATGCAGAACGATGTTTTATTTTTGAAAAATGTTGTTTATGGGTTTTTAAAGTTTTTCTGTGCGTGTGCGGTCATATAAATCCTTATCTTGTAAAAAGCAATACGATGGATACGATTGTCTATTTGGCAATTGAATACAACTTAAACTTGACATGAAAACAAGAAAATATTGTTTCTTATTTGACTCTTCTTTCGTAAATAGTCATGATTAAATGAGAATTAGTTGAGATTAGGGAACTGTTTTCATTTTTTTACCTTGAAAGTATATTAATAACTCTTACGAGACGAAAAAAGATATGACTGAAAACACATTCTTGCAATTTTTATGTGGGTTTTAAAACTAAGCATGCTTTAATCAATCATTTTTCTAACTAACGATAAGTAGTTTGCATGTTTAGTAGCTCTATCATAAAAAAAAGATCAAGGTCAATATAAAAATATTATTTATTATTATTTTTGTATGAAATGAATGATAAAAGTAAAGCATTAATCATATCGTTAATGTCTTGTTTTTGTCCTTCGAGAAATATGAACGAAGAGATGTTTGCCTCTATTTAGTCTATAGAAAATCAACTGAAGAAGAACAAAAAAGAAAAATATACAATACTCACTTCACTGTGATCCGATAATGATTGTTTTTGACTATTTGATAATTTTATTTTTTGTTGATCATTAAACTTATTTTTGCTTCTGTTTTTCTGCACAGAAACATTTTGATTGAATGGTTTGTTTTCATGTTCGCTGATAATTATTGCTGATGGGTTTTGATTTTTCGAAACATTTGATATCACTTCATTGTTCGCGATAGGTAATGAATTTTTTATGGGTATATCATTGTTTTTATGTATGTCAACAATATTTGTACTGTCACTAATGTTTGAAGTCCAGTCATCATAACTGATGTCAGTAGTTGTTCGTGAAGAATTTCTTGGTCGCAGTTCTTCTTTTTCTTTTCTTTTTCCTTTCTTTTTTCTTTTATTTAGAACGTTCGTAACATGCTCAGTAGAAGTATTTCTATTCGCATGTTTGACGCACTCCGTTGACATTAATCGCGGCTGCTTCACAGACTCAACCCGTAAAGAATCTTGTTCAGTAAATTGAATAGGCGGCAGCGGCGGTGATGATGATGATGACAAAACGACTTCGTTATTTAGTTCAGGTTGTTCATTATTAATAGAAGTTTCTATTTTTACACCGGTTTCAGAAGAAATGGGAAGAGATTTTTTTGGCTTTCGTATTCTTCGTCGTTTATTTTTCGTTAGTTTTTCTGTTGTGATATTTTCATGCTCGAGATGTTCAATTGGCTTATCAATGATTATTTCATCTTCTTGAGTAGTAGTAGTAGGAGGAGGAGGTGGCGGTGCAGTTAATGATGATTGTTCAGATGTTTTCTGTTGGTGCTTATGTCGACGTCTTCGTCTTTTTGATTTTGTTGATACTGGATTTGGCTCGTTTTCTTCTTTTCCTTTTTCTTTTTCTTCTTCATCTTCTGATTTTTCATTAACATCACCATATATTTGGCGAATATTATTCGTATAACTATCATAAGAATTATATCCATATGGATAATATTGATAAGGTGTATAATTCAAATAGTGATGAGATGGTTGAGAATAAAATTGACGCTGTTGTAAACCAGTAAAATAATTTGATGCATTTGCAGTTTTTATTGCATGTGTTGCTGATGGTATTGATTCAGAATAGAATTCAGCTTTTAAGCTATCAAGATTACCAAATAAATATTCAGAGGATGCTGAATCAAGATCATTAATATTATATGTTTGTACACCTGTTTCCGATGAATCTATCTCATGTAGGGTCATTGGCCGTGTTGAATGTATACGAACTTGCTTTTGTACATCAACATGACCATCTTCATATAGAATTGTAATATCACATAATTCTTGTTGATCATATAATTGGTATTGTGCACGGAATGGTTTTAATTTAGTTTCTAGAGTTCGTGCAGCCACTAATGCTGCATAATTATTATTATTACTTAGTCGACGTGTTTTACGGCGAGGTGTTCCACGGCCGCCTAATTTTCTTGTTGGTTGAATCGCTGTGGTGAAACTGGAATTAATATTAATATTTCCTGCTGATGTTTCCGATGGTTCAGCCATGAAAACCTGGAAAGAAAATAGAACAAAATTAATAATCTACATTATCGGCCAGGTCTAATTTTAATCATCCACTTAATTCGTGTTTGTAAAAAGACGAAGAAAAATCTTTGACAATATTGTCCTCGATATCTCCATCTCTCTCTCTCTCTCTCTCTCTCTCTCTCTCTGTTTTTTCCATTAAAATAAAAACAATATTTAGTGAATATGAAATGAATAGAGAGAAAAATGATTATTCTTTATAGGATACCTTATCAATCTAATACTTTCAAGTGGCTGTCGCTCTATTGCTTTCACATATATACGTGCGCAGAATGTATATACGTTGGAAGATGAATAGAAACCAACATTATCTTTCTATTGTCTTCATGTATATTGCATGACCATTTATTGTGTCATCTGATATCATCATGATGACAACGATCAATAGCATCAATAATTCAAGGCTCAAAATACTTTCTTTACAAATTATACACATATACACGCACACACATGTAAAAGTGTAGATGTGTTTGCATATTAGTTGTATGATCTATTATACCTACTTCAAGCAATTAAATGATCAATTGCTGCTTATTGCCGTCGCCTCTTACGTTTCATATATATATATGCACTCTAGAGTACGTTAGTAAAATTGTGACGCAGACAACCACTACAAACTGCATCGATCAATTGCAGTGTCGACTGCGTATCGAAAGTCGGTCAAAATTGTATTTCTTACCGTAGAAGAGCAAGAGAAAGCAAGAAAAGAAGTATCGTCAATAGTATTCGATTGTTTGATTTATGAGATTGTCTCTTTTTATTGAAACGTACTTTACGTCTCAAATAATGAGAATCAGTGCACGCGTACGAGATAGATATGAAACAGTCTCTCTTATATTTTCATTACTTATTTTCGACAATACTTTTCTTTTCAAATAATTTTATGGTCGACTAGACGACATATCGATATCAATCATCAACCACTAGAGAGAACTATTGGACGAAATCAATGTGTAGATTAATATACAAGATAAATGCCATAAGAAATAGTATCAAACGTATAAACGATGATTATAGGGTAGGCGCTTGTATATATAAAAAAAGGTTTTGTTATTTTTCTCTTGTTATTACCTTCACTGGAGTATATTTTGATTTCTAATATACGAATTCACAATGAATATGAGATGGAGAAGTATTGAGAATCTTCTCCTTTCGCTTGATACAAATAACCGATTGTATACTTTCAAGAATATGATAATTGAATATAAGATTGCTCAACGTGAACCAAGCTCATTCAAATAAATGAGAAGATAATACGTGGGCTTGACCAAGAATACATCTGAAATAAGTTTCACAAAAAAAAAATATACATATAAATAATTCTACAATAAATCAAATAGACAAAACAGCTCTTGTCTATTGAAAGCATTTCAATAAGATTGACTACCTATTGCGTATATTTTCATCAAAATAGAATAAAGAGAACATACGAATATACAAATAATTTTGCGCATAGAACAGTAGCCAATTTTGATTGTTCAATCGTCACTATACTGAAGTATTCTATTATTTCGTCTGCTCTTAATTTCATATGGTGACACTTGTGCTATAGTTTGAATTAAATTGAAAACTGATAAGGATCCAGCGTCCATAGTTGCACATTTATTTCATCTCACCTAAGGCGAAACGCGTGCATATACTTTTATTTATATACATGGATAAGTTACATATACGAGCTCTCCATAAAATAGGTCGCAAGGCGATGAAAAAGACGCCTAAGTGTGTCCATCTATGCGTACATACACACACGCTCAAAGTGCCTAGTAATATCATTGTAACACTCATATGTATTCTAAGGCAAAACGCGTTTTATTCTGAGCAGAGAGAGAGAGAGCTCTGGTGGGGAAAAAATAGATAATTTGTTGGGTGTTTCAATATAATCCTCTTTGCTTTTGAATGAAACAAAAAACGATAAGATCATGATTTATGAGGAAAAAGTATAATAAGTAGTGTTTTTTTGATTCTGGCTTGAACCATTTTACAATGCTTTAGTCGATATTTAAGATGACTCATTTACTGAATTTCATATAGGTAAAACTGAAAAAAATGAAAATTGATAAATACACTGCTTCTTTTGTTTTGTTTGGTTTTTATACTTATCTTGGATTGAGCAAAAGTATACAGTAGATCAGATGAACTTGTTAATTTGATCATAAATACTTTTATGTATAATACTTATTCAAAAGCAAATAAAAAAGATTATTCATCCAATCAATCATCAATTTATATATATATATATATAATTGCTTGAATTACTTCGCACGCATATGAGTGCACGAGGGAAAAAACGAAAGTAAAAACAAAAGCCAGACAACACCTTTTAGTTGTGCTCGTTCATTCATTGACTAGTTGTATGACGTAAAATTGTTGTGATGTTCACAATAGTCGAGCAAGACCATCCTCTTTTGGTTTAAGAGGGGCTCTCTTCATACCTCTCTCTCTCTCTCTCATTCTCTCTACACATTTGTTTATATGGCTCATCTAAACGCGTGTACGTTCGTACGTTGTTCAATATATTCAATAGGCTAGTACAAGACGAATGTACACAAAAAAAGAGAAGAAAAGAATATTCGTCCCACTTTCGTTTTTATTATAAATTTAATAGACAGTCTACTTCTATTTTACTGGTCGATTACAACTTAAAGAGGCGGAGTGATGTGGTCGAACGACACAAATAAGCTACTCCGTATGCGTGTAATAACTACGTGTGTATAGAAACCCATTTTTAGTTTTATAATGAGCAAACACCTCTTGTGTTGATAGATATAATCAGATGAATATGAACGTATTTGAAAATATTTCTTCCTATGAATTTGCAGTTTCTTTCTTTTTTCTTCGTCTGATTAAAATCTTCTCGCGCGCACATGTGTATCGACCATGAAAGCGCTACGTATGTCAGTATATGTGAGAATATGCGGGTTTCTTTGCATTTGACGGCCGATTTAATGTTAAGCTGAAGTAGGCTGGAACATAAAAAAAAAATAATACGACAGGAAAAAAGAAAAAAAAGCCTTTTTTTGCATTTATAATACTCTTTTATTTGTTCATGTCGAGAGTGTTACACATGACGACTTGTAGAAGACTGTATTAATACTTTTTAGCAAAGATTATGCTGTAGTTCAATTGATATAGGATAGAATTTATTAGATTAAAATAACTCTTTATGAAACCAAAAAAGTAATCGTAGTTGTATTGTCTTTTATGCACTATTTATTGATACTTGAATGGAAACTATCGAAACTAATAATATTATGCAACGTGCATTAGCTATTGTTTCACGTCGTAAACGAATTTCAGCTACCAATGCTCTTCATTCACAATTACGGCGATGTTTAACAGTATTCGATTTAACTACGCTTGGCATTGGCAGTACACTAGGTGCTGGAATTTACATATTGGCGGGTACAGTTGCACGAGATTTAGCTGGTCCTGGGGTTCTTTTATCGTTCATTATTGCTGGCATAGCTTCGTTACTTTCTGGCCTTTGTTATGCTGAACTTGGTTCAAAATATCCGCGCGCTGGATCAGCTTATGTTTATTCCTATATAGTCATTGGTGAACTAGCAGCTTTTGTTACAGGTTTATTTGATAATCAAAACTAGAAATCGAAAAAAATGCATAGTAGTTTTTTGAATTTTTAGGTTGGAATCTAATTCTTGAGTATGTTGTTGGAGCTGGTAAGCAATAAGATAGTTTTATTTTTTTGATCAGAAGAGAAACACAGTCATTTGGCATAGATAGCTTCGGCAGCACGTGCCTGGACAAGTACCGTGGATTCGATGATTGGTTTTCGTATGAGTACTTTTTTTCAAAGCAATTTTCCATTTCCATTTTCTAATTCAATGGGAATGTTTGCATCATATATGGACATTGGAGCATTCGGATTAACACTAATCACAACCGTTCTATTAGCTATTGGAGTTAAAGAATCAAGTCGTATGAATAATTTCTGTACAACAATAAATTTAACTAGTGTAGCAAGTAAGATACAAAATAGGCGTTCTTATTTTGTAAAATTTTCTTTTGAATTGTTTAGTCATTGTTGTAAGCGGTCTTTTCAAGGCAGATATAAATAATTGGCATATACCCATTAGTCAAATTAGACAAAATCAATCGATAAGTCTAGCTGGATATGGTGGTTTTTTACCTTATTCATTCTCAGGTGTATTGTCGGGTGCAGCAACTTGTTTCTATGCATTTGTTGGATTCGATCTTGTTGCTACAACAGGCGAAGAAACAGAAAATCCTCGACGAGCAATACCAATAAGTATTTGTCTTGTACTATTAGTTTGTTCTATTGTTTATTGTGCTGTCGCTGCTGTGTTAACATTAATGGTACCTTATTATTCAATAAGAATTGATGCGTCCTTACCCGATGCATTCAATCGTGTTGGACTTCCGCATGTTAAAATTGCAAGTAAGATTAGTTTTATTCGTAGAACTAGTTAAATAGGATTTCTTTTTTAGTAACACTTGGTGCTATTACTGGTCTCACATCGAGTATTATAGGATCATTATTTCCGTTGCCTCGTGTATTATATTCTATGGCATCTGATGGTCTTTTATTTTCAATATTTGGTAAAGTATCAAATAGATCTCATACACCTATATATTCAACACTTATCGGCGGAATTTTTGCAAGTTTAATGGCATTAATATTTGATTTATTAACATTAGTTGAAATGTTAAGTATAGGAACATTAATTGCATATACACAGGTTGCTTTAGCTGTTTTGATATCACGTTATGAAACAATGGAAGACAATAATCATGATTTAAGTAAAAGTATACTATCGATAATAAGTATTATTTTAGCATTATGTTTTATTTCAATTTATTCATTTGAAAAAAGTGACTTTATAAATCCAATATCAATAATGATTTTTTCAATTCTATTATCTATTTTAATCTTGTTAATATATAAAACATTCTCTAAAAAAAAACAAAATATTTCCAATGAAACCGATAATATTTTTCTAACACCGTTGACACCTTGGTTGCCAATATTTAGTATTTTTTGTAATGTTTATTTAATGTTAAAGTTAAGTTTTGTAACATGGATACGTTTTATTATATGGATGATTATGGGATTTTCAATTTATTTTTTCTATGGAATTCACCAAGCTGAAAAACTTATTTTGCCTGTTTCTATTTTTATTTAATTATTAGATTAATGTTCATGATTCTATTTATATATATATATATATCATTTATTGCTTGTTTTCTATAAACAAAAAAAAAAGAACAACTAACGCGAAAATTTAAATAAATCAAAAAATTTGCTTCTTGTTGTTGTTGTTGTTGTTATATTTTTAGTTTGTGCTGGGTTCGATTTTTGTTGTTCAACACTCGATGCTCGTTTTTTATTAGTGACTTTTTGATCATTTGCTCGATGCCGATTTACAGCTGATTGAAAACGAGTCTGAGTGGTTGTTTTTTTAGATGGACGAGATTCTTCTTCTGCAGATGAACGTGCTGCCCATATTTCTGATGCAGACGAAAGTTCATCCGATGTTTGTCGAGCTTGTGGAGCACGACCTATGCGACCATTGAGTAATGGAAAAATCCGTGCGGGTGGTTGATTTGCAGCCGTAGTAGTTGTTGTTGTTGTTGCCGTTGCAGGAAGTGGGGGTTTACCGGTTGGAGGCATCTGTTGTTTAGGATAGTTTGTCGAATAAATTGTATTTGGCGAATAATTTCGTTGTGCTTGTAACTCTTGAAATTTTTGTTGGTGTTGTTGTTGTTGAATAATTGAAGCTCGTCGTCGAAAACAATCTTCTAATAGACAATTATTATGTCGATTATGTGGATCATGCGATGAATCACGTTTATTTATGTACGATTGCGAACGATTATCGGCAGGATTCGAAATCGAGTTTACAATTAAATGTGTTGGTTTTGGACGAAGTGAAGGTATAGTATTTGAATTAGCTGTATCATGTGTTCGAATAGGTGGTATCGGAGGACGGGAATTTATTGTACGATGATCAAATTTTTCTTTCCAAAATTCATGTTTTTCGCGTTGTTTATCGGCTGCAATTATAACATCGAATACACGATCGAGTGATTCAGGTGTTGGTTCAAATGCAGAAAAACGTTGTTTTCTATTCGTATTTATTGGTTTAAATGGCGATGATATTATTGTCGTTGTTAGATTATTATTTGATGCTAATCTTCCACCCATAGCCACTTTTTGTTCAGGTTTTTGCGATGATAGATTAGGAGGATATTTACGATTTTGCTGTTGTTGTTGTTGTTGTTGTTGTTGTTGCTGCTGCTGCTGCTGTTGCTGCTGCTGCTGCTGTTGATGAGAATGATGACGACGTTGACGATAACGTTTATCGCTTAATGTATCAACTGAGCTTGAACGTGATAATATTGTACTATGTACAGCACTTACATTACTGTCATGGTCATCGATAGATTTTTTTATTTCACTATAAAATGGTCGATCGACATAATAAACTTTTCCTGTTGGCATCAATTCATATTGTAATAAACGACGTTGTTTCTTTGGTAAAACTAAACGTCGTTGTCGTTTGACAACATTTGTATTAGAACGTGCAGTAAACGTCGGTTTGTCGTCCCAAGATTTTTCTTTAGGTTTTGGTAGACGAGGTGGATTAGGTGGTAGTCTAGTGGGGTTTGTTGGTAGAGAAAGTTCATTAGCGATACTCGATACTGAATTTGTTAATGTTTCATCATTTAATGAAGATATTGAGGCTGATGTTGTTGAATCTTGAGATGTTAAATCCTCTAATGTTGATGTCACTAGAAATAGATAATTAAATTAGAAAGCGTTCGAATAGGAAAAAAAAACAGAAATCAACTAGGAACTATTTTAAGGGGAAATCAATTATGAATCAATACACTAGACAACATCTATTTAATACCATTTCTTGAGTGTACTGAATGATCATCACTTGATTCATCTATATACGCAAAATTTGTATCGGGAATTGGCTTTTGAGTTCGAACTAGATAAGGACTTGATGAAGATTTTCCTACTACATTTGTTGTTGCTGTGGTTATTGTGGCTAGTGGTAGCGGTGGTAAATTAGGTTTCTCATTAGAACCTCCACTAGGAACAACAATGGTTTTTGTATTATCAGTTGTTGGCACCAAAATTAATTCATAATTTTTATTATTAATAGGAAAATTTTCAAAATTGCTATTATTAGTAATTGTGATTGTTTCAGATATAGTGATAGACAAACCTTTCTCAAGTGTTTTATATGTAACAGTCGTATATGATGTTTGTTTTGGTGGTTGTTCTTGTCCATCTGGTGAATTTTGTTCGTCCATTATAAATTTTCTCGATTGAATTGATTTAACTTCATTACTTTCAATACTTTCATTCGAAGAAATACCGATCTTATCATCTTTACCATTTATAGAAGTTCTATTATTATTATTATTATTATTTGTGTTGTTGTTGTTATTATTATTATTATTATTATTATTATTATTATTATGATGATTTGTGTTATTATTATTATTATTATTATTATTATTTGTGTTATTATTTCTATGATTAATAATATTGTTATTATTATTCGTATCGAATGCAGTTGGATCAAGATCTATGGATAAAATTGTTCCACCAAATAATGCATCATTAACTAATGTACGATTAAGAAACGAATTAAGACGTGTTACATTTTGAGGACTGGTAAAACCAAGAACAAAATCTGCAATAATACTTCCATTAGAAAAAGCAATTACACTGCAAGTTGAATAAAATTTAGCATATTTCGTGTTCCTATCAACGAGTGTTGTCCTAACCTAAATGAAAAATGTAGATATATATATATATGTATGAGAGAAAGAACGGCCTAAAGCAAAAAAGAAGCGACGAGTTTTTTAGGAAGAGAGGAAACTGGTCGAAACATGCACACGCTCGATCTAATTCAATTTTGTTACTTGTTGCATGCATACTCTATCTCGATAGTTTTAGATAGCAATCAAATTGGCTATACACTGGAATAAATAATCGAGAACCAACCGATCGATCGATTGATGACTATGAAAGAACGATAAACAAGTGAGAAAATAGAAAAAGAAGAATTTTCTCCTATGTCTCTTCCGCTCACCCGATCTTGTTCTAACAACCCTAATATATCTTGTCTCAATATTTCCTTTTTTTCTGCTTAACAGTATCTCGATCATAATCAAGCGTAAATGATATATTGGATAAGAATAGTCAATCAATGACAATGAATGGAAATCGACTAAATGATATCAGGGGAGTTACATGTAAAATAATTTTCTTTTTGTTTCTATATAATATGCATTAAGACATAAAATATTCCAAGTGTTTTTATCAACTTGGGATTTAAAAAAAACGACGAAAAAATGGCAAATAAATTTAGATTAATATTGTTTACAAACCAGATTTCTATAGCATATGCATGCGAAAGAAAATAATTTAATCGAAGAAAACGACGAACTATTGTACTTACTAATTGACAAAATTCTTTTTTATATTCTCTCGCGTATGTTGATGTTGGATCTAGAAGTGATGCATTAAAGTCTGCACGAACATAAACACTTCCTGCATAATAATCTGAAGTAGTCAGTTCCGATTGTTTAACTATAATCATGAAAATTAAACAAACATTTTGATTATAGATAAATTCTTTCGGATAATTCTTACTCAGTGCTACAGCAAGAATAACAGCAATAGCAGCAGCAATAAGAACAACAGCAGCCGATGAGCCGAAAATGATAGGACGACGTGGACTTCGCCATGATGATGGCACAATACATGGTATTTCGCTTTCGTTTTCGCTACGGCCTGGTCGCCGATAGGACCCTAATGGTTGCGGTACTTGTCCATCTTGTAATCCGATTGTTGATATTACTGTTGAATAATATTGACGGGATAATGGTGGTGATGCATGAGCTGTTCGACCAGCGATACGCTTCCAATGTTCTAATGAAATAGAAAAAATTACAAAACAAAAGAAAACTTTCCTTTCAAATGACAATGACCTGTATTGTGAAGACCAGGCATTTCATTAAGATGTACATCAGCAAGTGTTGTGTCCGGTATAAAATCATTGAACATATTAATTTCTTGTCGAACTGTATGTGGATTTCTCTGAATGATTCGAGTTTCTTTTTTTTGTATTATTAATGAATTGTTTCTTGTAAAAATCTATTTATACTTACACGATGAAGTTTATCCTCAGGAATAGGTTGTAAACGTCTTGGTGGATTTGCTCGTCGTTCATCTTCGACTGATATTGCAACATTTTCTTTTGCTGATATAACAGAATTTTGATCACATTGCAAATTACTATTAGTATCGGCACGACTGGAAGGACGTTCACTTAAACAAGATTAATAAAACATAAACAATAAAAAACAACAAGCTATTCTTCCTACACAAGTTCTTTTTCTGATAATGAAGGCATATCTGTAAAGAAATGTGTTGATAACAACATAACTAGTTCTCTATTGATGCTCTCGCATCGCTGAATAGTAAAGCTTTGATCTGATATAAATCTTCTTTTTCTTTTTTTTTTTTGTATATTGAGTCATTCCTATACACGAAGTACATGCGAATATCATATCAATTTGCGTTTTGTTCTTTTTTTCTTGTGCTTAGGATTAGTTCTTAACCTTTTCGGCAGAAAAAAACGAAAAATCTCTAAATAAAAAAAAGCGTCAACTTACGAATTGTTATTAACGGTATTCAAAATTTTTTGCCTTTTCCATCGTAGTATTGGTTTAGGACAACTATCATCATATTCTTCATCACTACTGCAACTACTTAGAACAGTCGGCGAACATGTACTTGTAGTTGAATGTCTATCAAGTCGAATATATGATATATTTCCAGCATGATCAATATTTAATTTTATATTCGAGTCACCGGTACCACTCATAGCTTAGCTATCAAAATTTATTTTTCATGATAAAAATGAAAACAATGAAATCGAAAAATACTTGCGCTGAAAGAGAAACCTATTTGATTGTACTATTTTTTTCTTTCTTATTTTTTTTAATCAGTGATTGTATCAATCATGACGAGTAGTGGTAAAACAAACAATAACGACAACAAGAGCACGTAAAAGAAGAAAAATTAAAAATTTCAACTTTTCACTAAGCAAGTAGAAAAGCATCATCTTGTGTAAAGCTTTCAATTATGAATTCGTAATTCAATTTTTTTTTATCATTAGAATTAAAATTTTAATAATATCCGATTTATCTTGTGTTGTGCCGTGAGACGAATTTACATTTATAAAAGCAAAAGTTGATTACGATGAATAGAAAACACTACTATCATATTGAAATCGCTCATCTGTTGGATTATATATTTAGTTGAATGAATTTGTACAATTAGAGCTCTACTGAAAATAACTCGAACAGCCCGTACAGATCAACTAAGATCTTTACATTTCTAGTCGTTTTTAATCCGTTAGTTGCTTGAGTGAGTTTAACACTTGACATATTGAGCAAAAGTACGTTGTCAAGAGAGGAAAAAAGAAATTATCAAGCCAATAACAGAACAAATGAAAACAGGAAAATATATATAGGGAGAGAGAGAAAGACATGTTCGGCTAGAGATGCGCTAAATCGAATTCCAATAAAATGCGACGTCTACATTTAACTAGTTTAGAAATTGATTGACTTTGACTGATATTGAATTTCTATTGTTAAACTTATTTGCATAAATTAATAGTTCGAGACGAATTTTCGAAAATTAAGTCTAGTTAGATAATTGGAATTGACGCATTCCAACGTTGAACAAAATAAAGTACAATGTAATTTTTACGATAAATCACTGGAGAAATTCCGTACATCATAATGTGAATCATTTATAATAGTTAAGAATGTTCTAGAACGCTGTCACATGAAAATTCGACACTACCGATATAGAATGCAAGAATTACAATATAAAATTCATAGATGATGTATATGTACGTTGAACGGCAACAAAATGTATGCAATAAAATATTTCCGTCGTTCAAAATTCATCTCGATGTTCCGATAAAACTATATACGAAAACATAGATCGTGCTGATCATTGATTATAACACGACTGTTCGGTTTTTTCATTGAAGGTAATCTTTCAAGTGCGAAATACGCCCAACAATTCTAGCAAAATTAAAATGAAATAAAAATAAAGAAAAAACATTTCACAGATTCTATTGCGTTATTGTAAATTCATATTTTTGTTGACGATATGAACTTGAGAAAAAATGATTGGATGTAAATTATTCGTATTGTATAATATTTTGCTGTTCAACTATGGGCATAATCAGTTATAGCAAGATCGTCGTCACGTAGTGATTCGAAAATACCAAAATGAATCAACTCATTGTATGATACAAATTATCACTAATCACTTTTCCGCACTCTCATACTACCAATTTCTACTGATCGAAGTTAAATTATTCTAATTGATGGATCATCACAGGCTAATACTCATCATAAGCAATGAGAATAATTTGAATACAAAAGAAGAAAAAGAACGAGATAGAGCTTATTTTATTTGAGAGGATCAGAAATATGAGAAATATTTATTTTTATAAAAATTACTAATCAATGATCAAATCGATTTATAAGAACTAATCATTCGAATAGAAAATATCAAACTTCATATAACACGTAGAGTACCCTGTGCAATTAAATGAAAGTTTGATGTAATTTTCAACTCTAGTTACGTACCGGAAATAACATAAACGTGATTAATTTTCAATGACATGTCATAAATCTAATCAACAGTAATTTTTTTTTCGCTTGTGAAGTTTATCTTATTATCGATAAAAACGGGATAATTTCGACTTACGTGCTTTCCCGATATAAATCTCAATCGGAAAAATTGACTACTGACGCGTAAAAATATTTTTCGAGTAGCGATTTGAAATAAAATTTTCTGAACAAGTTTACAATTTATTTTCACAAATACGATCTATAGATGAAAATACATGAATTTAGATTATTTGTTTTTCTGTGTAGCCATATTTAACAAGAGAATTATTTAAAGTTATGAACTATACACACACACACACCAACATATCGATAAGAGAAAACGAAAATGAAATGCACGAAATAGAAAAAAACATCATAATAATTATTTTCTAAACGATCTTCCAGGTGTAGCAAGTGTAGCTAATGTTTGTTGTTGTTGTTTTTTAATAGTGGTTGTTGTATTATTAACTGCTGTAAATTGTCCATAACCAGATGATTTAATATTTTTTAGAACAACTTTTTTATTTGATGATGTGGTTGTTGTTCGCATTGGCGTTGCATATTTAGTTGTTACAGATGACATTGCGGTTGTTTTACTTCGTAATGGTGTTAATACATTTCTATTGGCTGAATATGATGATACACTTCGTTGAACAATTGATGATTGCACTTGCTGAGGTTTACGAATACCAGTGGCTTTTGTATAACGTAAAGGTGTTGATACACCACCATCATCAGACATATGTCCATTATTAGCTGAACGATTAGCACTAGCACCACCACCACCACGGATCCATTTAGCATTATTGTCAGTACCACGAAAACCAGGTGAATCTAGAGATAGGAAAAGTTTAGATTGATTGAAGATACAAAGCATTTTGTTATGGTTACCTGTTGAAGTTGATCGACATTTAATAAAACGATTTTCGGATAAAACCTTCAATCAAAAATTGAAAAAAAGATTATGATAGCTGTTGATAAAATGACTTACAATCGATTTAAGACTTTGAATTTCACTTTTACATTCAGCCATTTCTTTAAAAAGTTCTTTCATATGAACTAAAAATGCAAGAAAAAATGTATTGCTATCTCGAGAAAACCGATGCTATTACAAACCTTGTTCAGACTCTTGTTCCATAGTTAAAATTGATTCATTATTTTCATCATCACTCGATAAAATTTCTTTGACATAAATAAGTCCACGATTTTCATCTATGATTGGAACTGCTCCATCAGTTGAAAATCCTGATTCGACGATATAATATTCCTATATGGAATTCAATTGTAATAACAATCAATTCAGTTTGCTCGGTTTCTTACTTTGCATGATAATGATGGTGGTAGTTCTTCGGTTCGCATTCTATTTAAAATTAATAAAGATATTTATTTATGAAAAATAGAAAATTTGTTTCATACGTTTTGGAATATGTTTCATCATTATGATATTGATATAAAGAAAGTGGACCATATGTATATTGGCCATCAGCAACTGCATAGACTAGTTTAGTGTTGGGATCGGAATAATGACGATGTTCTAGAAGAGAAAGGTAACATTAGGAAGAAGAAATTGAGTTGAAAACTTTTGATTACCCAAAATAGCAAATGGAAAATCAAATGGAATAATGATGTTAGTGGAATCCATAGTTCCGACGTTGAAAGAAAGAGTGAATACAGTGATTGAGAGGGAAAAAAATCACTTAACAATGACTGAACATGAAACAAAGACCCGCAGTTTTTCTTGTTGGACGAAGACAAAACAATTTTTTTCTAGGATTAATTTTTGTTTTGAAAAAAAAATTAGTTTGTGAAATTATTCTTAATGAACATTAAAGTCATTTTCAATGAAAAGTTTTAGATTTTAACGAAATATAGATGGCGGTAATTCGTATGAAACACAAGCTTTCAATTAAATTAAAGGCATCCGATAAAACTTGATAAATGTACAGAAAATCTTATTCAATTAATATGTCATATAAAAGCTATGGCAGAAGCATTACTGGAAATGAAATCTAATGCAAGAAAAATCCGCTGATTAATTGAAAAACAACATCGTCCCAGGTCGTGGACGTACGGCGGGAAACGGCCGGAAAGCACAGGAAAGCACTGGAAATGGAAACTGGAAGCAGTATTCCAGTTGGAAGTTACCGGATTTTCTTCCTGTAGATTCCGATCAACTTCCAGATGTAAAACACAGAAAACTGACCGGAAAACACAGGAAACTGACCGGAATCCACAGGAAAAAAATCCGGTAACTTCCAACTGGAATACTGCTTCCAGTTTCCAATGCTTTCCGGCCAGATACGGTGATTTTTCCGCATCTTTCCGGCCGGTTCCTACAGTATCCGTCCTCCGGAATCATTGACCTGGGGTCGACTTTACTTATCGAGTTTTCTTCTTGGATAAATAAAATTTGATTCAAATAAAAGAAGGTCATACAGTATTAAAAGAAATCAAAACATTCATTAAAACAAATAAATTTAGTTTTTTTGTTATCGGAGTATATCTTTATTTATTTATTTTCGCTTGGTTCCATACGAATTCGGTCGAAATACTCTACCTATAATAAAAACTATTCAACAATTAAAACATGAAATTGAATTACTTGAAGCACTTCATGCTGTTAAAATAACATTTACAACATCACATACAGGTACAAATACACGTTTGAATCCAATAGATTAACATTATGAGCAATTGAATTGAAATGTAAATTATATCCTATGGAAATCGAGCATAAAAACGAAGATAAAATGCTACTTTGCTATAGAATAGCTCTTGCTAAATACGTATATATAATTAATATCTTTAAGATATGGTTCTCGTTTGGCTAATATTGCCGATATTATGAGTCAAATTTTACGTATCGCACCACCAGAAGCACCTTTTGTAAGTAAAATCTATTCAGAACGAGGACGTTTTGGTGAACCTATTACTAGTATACTAATGATAAGATAAATACTTATTATATGACTGTTTCGGTAGTCCAATGAGTAGCTGTCTAATTCGAGTTCGAATATAAATGGAGAAAAGAAAAAGTTATACTAAAACTAAATCTATTCCTAGATTTAGTTTTAGTTTAACTTTCCGATAGATGCGACATATGAATACATATATACCCTTCACCCGCACCCACATTTGAGTACTCCTCCATGGTATCCATCATCCACACTCACATTTGAAGTATCCCGGATAGCCCGTGCACCGCTTCCGGATACCCTCCACCCACACCCATAGTTACCCCTTAGTCCCCCTCAACCTACACCCACTCCATCTTAAACTAAATATAAAACTAAATCTATTTCTATCACTTATTTTCGAATTGATACCATGCAGTTGGGTGTCCATTTATATTCGAATTCGAACTAGGCATGTCATGGTATCACGTGCTGAATGTTTGGCTTATGGAATAGTTTCATATTGCAAGTTGAAGTTCGATTAGGATAGTGTTAGTGTTAGTAATTGTTAACCATCCAATATAGTTCTTATATCGACAATTCTCTGGTTACTTCAAAGGATTAGATTGTCACATTCGAAATGAAAATTTTTCAATTATTTGCATTCAAAATCATCATTGAAAATATTATATGTAGTTGTCTGAAATGGATGAAGCTCATTCGGAGGCGTTGAAAAAAGCAAACGAAATGGATACTTTCAAAATTATTCTATAGTTTTATCAATTCTTCGAAGCACTAACGCTTCGATAAGAATCACTAGAGAAGCAGGAAAGATAACTCAATTGCATAATGCCCGAAAAGAAATTTTGCTATACATGAACAATTGCTACAACAACCTACTGATGCATGTAAAAGAAATAAGCAAACAAACACTGTGCCATTACATCTTTCAATACCTGATGTAGAGGCATATTTTTAATAATGATTGGACTGCACTAAGAGGAAATTCGTCGATCAACGAGCATCTACAAATAATCCAGTGACTATTGCTTTAGATGTAGGTACATATCATGATATCGAAGTGTACTCAGCAAAAACTCACAATTCATTAATCCTTCGAGACATGCGTTTAAAGACAAGATAATCTATACAGTAATGAATAACTGAAGATCAATAAATCAAGTCTAATTCAGACTGAAAAGACAGTTGTTTTGTAAATGATTGGGATTGTATATCAATACTAGGGGTGTCACATTTAAATTTTCAAAAATTGAAATTTAATTAAATTTAAAATTTTGTATCATTTAAATTTAACTAAATTTAAATATAAATTGTTTGAAATTTAAATTAGTTAAATTTTCAAGACTAGTAGATAAACATAGTTTTTGACTTGATTGCTACTATTTAAAATCGAATTTGAATATGTTTCCTGTTTTCTAAAGTTAAAGCTAGTCATTCTTCTACGAATTGTACTATTAAATATATTTTTATGAGTATCCCGGTATTTCGAAGAAGAAAGAGGACGGATCCTGGATGATCTGTAGAAAAATTTTGACTATTATGAACAAATATTAACTTAAAATACTAGATTCTCCTCTCATTTAGTATTTCCTACTGTTAAAGTCACGTGTTTTCCTCATAGCAATGATGTGTATTCATGCAAACAATTTATAAAATATAATTTAAAATTAAATTAACTGTTCTCGAAGTTAAATTTAAATTAAATAAGCTGTAAATTGGCATCCTTAATCAATAGTTTTTTTTGTAATTTTGATATAAATGTTCGAAATGTACTGCTTTTCTTTTCCTTACTATTAATAGATATTGATGATCGATTTGATGACAAGCTATTGCGTGGTTCAGACATATTAACCATTTGAATTATATATAGTATACTATCTTCACCTTGAATCTAAGAAAAAATAGAAACTAGATAACATCACGACGATCGATTGCATTGTTATAGAAACTGTTATTCATGAAGAATATCCGTTTTTCCTACACTACCTTCGTATTACTCAAGAGTCTTTGATAATGATATTGTTTTTTCGACTAGATTTTCTCGTGAGGAATATTTTTATTTGATAGGAGATATATAGGTTTTTCCTAATGAAGGAAGCTAGTCACTAGGGAAGAGAAGTTTAAGTTTGTAAAAAATTGTTTTGATTGTGACACTATTTTAATCAACTTTGAAAGACTATTTCAGGTTCTAGGTAGTCCCCAATGCCAGTAACATAATATGTCGCATTTTACCATGGCTCACGTGATAATCGCTTAACACAGTTTTGTTGGAGAATACGATAAACATACGAATGTTATATAAGTCATTTAAGAATGGAATAGAACTCGTTGTCGTACTGTAAATACGAAAAGTGTCAATCGTCATTTAGACAAGGCACTTAAAACGACAAGCTACGATACAGCTGCCATGTTTAGAATCATCGTAGTTTTCATATTATCTCGAATGCAATTAGTTGAGTTAGGTTAGGTTAATGTTTTCAGAAGAATATAACCTAACTGACTTGCCTGTTTTAATCGAGCAGAAGGAATGAATCAATCATAGTAGATTTATGCTTCTGCTAATCAAATTTATTTATCACTATTTTATTTCGTTGTTTTAACATCCTAACAATAAAATATTCTATGCATGCAATATGCAAATAATTTCCGACCGTTGTAAATTAGTATATTCCTAAATTCAACCTCAGTTTAGTCAATTGATTCATTTTAAAAAGAGAAAAATCTATCGTGCTATTTTTAATATAAATTATTCGAAAAAATGTTATTCTATAATGACGCGACCAAATAGTTTATCATGTTGATATATCCAGAGAAGGAAACATATTTTCTTTAAATTAGGGATAATTATTCATTAGTAGCATTTATGTAGCTGTCGTCTATGATCCGGATACGATATTATATCCGACTCTGACAAGGCATTTGTTTCAAATTATATTTGCACCGAAGTTTCAGTTGAATTGTAATACATCCTACTCAGGAAACACATGCAATGTAAATTCTATTTAATCAATGACTAAGATTCATAAGAAATTGTTCGTGTTATCCAGTATAAAATATAAGTCTAAATTTGTCATCGTCAAGCAAATCACTTTTCTCATCAATATATATTCTTGTATACTCTATTAATATCTAATTTGATTCTATCGATCATCTATTTCCAGTATTAGCTGTGGAATTCTTTACACAAACAATCGATCAAGTTGAACTAAAAATAAATGTGGAAACTTCGGATTTCATCCGAGAGTTATTTGTACTGCAAAAAGTGCATGGAACATATTAGTCATTCTAGAATGTCTGAACACCAAAATTATCATGAGAAACTAGGCAGTTTGATTTCTGGATGCAGTTTTTGTGCATTTTGAGACGTTTTTCAGGCGATGTTTCGTTAGGAAGCTACGGTTTAGTTCAAAACTAATATCAGATTCGGAAGCAGCGTTAAAAACTGAGCCGATTTATATATTTTGTGGATAATTCTGAGAAAAATATTTTGTTTGAAAAAATCCCTGTATTCCCCCTCAGGGATGGCTTCGTCAAAAATGAGCATTTTTTCGATAACTCAGCCATTTCTTGATGGATCCTTCTCATCTTCGAACTCGACCGAGATATTCATGAGATTGAACCGTGTGGAAAATTTCATCACGGTCTGACTCTCCTTTCGAAAGAGTTATCGTGCCTACGGCCGGCCGGACACACTGACCGATTCTAGAGTGTACTCACTTTTTGAGTACACAAAAAGGATCTATGAACATCGAAAGTGCTGGCATACTTTTTTTGCATGTAAATACTTCATATTCTTTTTCGACAAACCAAGAAAGTAAAACATACAACACTTTACTATAAAACATATTTTTAGCTACATTGTATGAACATTAGCAGAGAAAATAAAACAAAAGCATAAGTTAGGCAAAACTATTCTTTCTCATGTAGGCAGGATAAGAACATGTAAATATTTTTTATACACGCACGTACACACATATCTAAAAATATTGGAAATGGTAATGCCGTTATGTATCAAAATGATCGATAACGATAATGAATAGGTCGTATAGTAACAAAAAATATGTGTGAGCATGCCAATATGGAATGTTGTATGGTTTTGAAAATATTTTGATTATGGCTCCTCTTCGATAACCTTTAATTCTTTTCGACGTCTTTCTTCCTCTACAGAAGAAAAAGAAAATTGTTGATGAAGTCGTTTTATTTTTGAATAAAATTGGTGTCGTTTTCCGAACTAACCTGCTTCTTTTACCCATCGGTCTCGATTAGATTTGAGATAATCAGCCCATGGTCTTCGTACAGTGGTTGGTCGAGATATTGGTGTTGTCATTGATAATGGTAATTTTTTTTCGTGTCTAAAACGGATCAAAATTATTTATTTGAAAGAAAAAAAGATTTTTTGGCTACCCATTTTGTTCTTCAGGATGAGCATTTGATTCAGCCGATGATTCTCCCGAAGGCACAGGAGATGACACCAAACTTCTACTTGGAATCGACGGTGATAAAAGTTCAGAATCAGAAACAACGAGCGATTTAAGAACTTTGTCCAACATATCACCCATAACAACAAATGATGGTTCGACAATGTATTGAATAAAACCTTGAAGATGAAAAAATGAAATATGAAATGATGACTATAATCAATATGTTATTATAGTATGACAATTTTATTTTCTATGTAAATAAAGTTTAACAGGATCAAAGTGCATAATGAAACATCCAGGTTTCTTGCACAATATGTCCCTAATACAGACTGCCTGTAAGACGTCTATTGGGAAATGACAGTTTTGATAAGTGGTAAAATAATGTTTTTCCAGTTTGTTGCTTTCTTATCTCAAAAGAATCAAAACTTGAAAGGATAAAATTCATCCTAGTTGACGTTTTCACGACAAAAACAGAAGCAAACATACGAGATCGATTTTCTCCGACAGGATACAGTCGAATTCTCAACTGAGCTAAAAATATTCGATTCATCAAACAATAGAGAAATGACAAACTCAGATAGAACTGACTAATATAATATGCCGAGAGACGATAGACGTACGCTGAATAAGAAAATAGATAAATATTTACCAATTTGAGATTCGGCAATAAGTGTATTCTCTCGATCACACAATGGCGAACAAGGTAAGCCGAGATCTTTTTCTTTTTCACCTTGCTTGAAAAATTCTTCCATTAATGATTGAGTCCAGGTATGATGAATATCCCATGGTTTACCAGGATGACTTATATCAGCACAATGAAGAATAAGTGCCAATGCTTTAGCTTTCTCAACACTGTTTTAACGATGAATCGTTTAGTTTTATTAAAACGACTTTTTTCTGATAAACTTACTTTTCAGGTAAGCTTAAAAGGCTTTTCATCGTTTTCAATTGTGTAAAATGACAACTCATATCTGTGGCGAGCACCATTTCGATGACAAGGTGCCGAAAGTTTCTTGAAAATATTAGCAAATCAAGTTTGTGAAATTGAAAAAATAAACTCGTTATTGCTCATACTTATATTCTTCCGATGTAAATTCTGATACTATATTATATTCTTCCATTCGCATCAGCCGAAATGCTGCACTGACATGATGATTTTCCAGTACAGCACGATCATTGTATATTAAGGCAACGTCAGATCTAAATTTAGAATCATATTTCAACAGAAGTAGTTGTAGAAGAGGCTAAATGGTAGATAGTTTGATTCGAAACTCAACTATTGTTTTTCATCAATCTTTCTGAAAAAAACGTTTTCTATTCTAATCTCATGGCATGTTTGAGAATGGAAAAACATTATAGCTCGTAGGACCCTGTTGTCAATTCAACACAAGTTTTGGATGTTTCCTTTTCAAGTCTTTTCTAAGGATTTTGTGGCCTCGAAGAAACTGTTTTCATTGAATTCTTCAATATTCTATTTACCGAGAAATGCATTGAATTTATAGGTCACTGCATTCTAGCACTATATCGAAAAGCAGAGACTAGTCAGAGCTGTTCCAAACCCTTTTTTATTTTATTTCTACGATAAATAAAAGAAAATCTGATTTTACCTTGATTGGATATGGAAATTATTCGATGTTCCTGTATGTTCGAAATCATGTACAATAGCCGCAATAAACATGGCAAATAAGTCATGATCAGTCAACCAATTCTAATAATGACGACAGAGAAAAAAAATCAAACGACAAAGATTGTAATTTCAAAAGTGGAAAACAATCAAAAAGAAAAAAAAACGAATTAAATTCTACAAATGATTGTGCACAAAGCAGACGAGATAAAATGATTCGTTTTCTTTTTTTGGTATTGCAAACTAAGGGAAGGGGAGTAGAAGACAATGAAACTGTGTTAACCTCTACCATGAGACCAGAATTGTACACGATTTGATATGTTGTTTGTAAAACATCAGCAGCATGTATTAAATTATGATATGGATTTTTGTATTTACTGTAGCCATTTTCCATTTGTTCAAGAAAACTTTGTAGAGCAGTCATTGAAATCTTGAATAGAATAATATTGTATTCATTTTTAACAAAAACAAAACATAGATTTTTTATCTATTTTACGTGAAGTTTATTCGGTAAATTATAACGTTGCATTAGTTCAAAGCCAACATAGCGTAAAGATTGACCATTTGTAAATTCATTAACAGAAAATACATCAAATGTCCATTCGTTGATTGTCTAAGTTTAGACGAGAAGAAAGAAAAACAAACGAGACAAAACATCTGATCAATCAAATTTACTTCTATTATAAGCTAATATATATATTTAAACAACATAAAAAGCATGCACATTTAATTGCATTCGTGCACATGAAAACCATGAGGGATTAAAATACAAACGTTCGTCTCACTTTGCCTGACTATTGACCAACTTACTTGTTGCAATATATTACTTAAAATCGAAGTATTCTGTCGAAAAATTCTAAAGGGATTTTAGTCCTGGTTCGTTTTATTTCTTTATGCGTGTACAATATAGGCAGCTAGCGTGAATTATTAATAATACAAAAGATAATGGTAAGAACTACGAGAGAAATGTGTGAATAAGTATGTGTGTGATGGTGCGTGTTTATTTTTTGCGCAGATAATGCGTGAATGCCAAGTGTGCGTGACAAAGAAGCTCATACATTGAGTTTTTGTAAAAGAAAGAAAGAAAGAAAGAATGAAAGAATAGATTAAGAAGGATTTGATTTGATATAAGGATCTCATATGAAACAAAGAATAGTGTGGGATACTGGAATGCTATAAGTAATCATTGTGATTAAAATACCTTAAATTTAATGTCGATAGACAGGCGCCTCAGGTACCTAGAAAACATACACAAAACAATGGATGCCAATTCGAGCGATACACCCAAATAGGAAGGGATACATGCAGATAATCAATCCAAAATCGGCATATCATGCCCTTTTTTTTATAATTAGATATTCCTTGATGGATGATTGTTACTATTATATTCATACCTTGAATTTAGTGCATAGAGCCCATTTTTTTACAATCCTGATAAAGGGTGATTATAAGAAAAGTATGGTGAAAAATAGAAAAAGAAGGAAAAAGAGAAATATATAGCGATAGAAAGAGAATAAAAAATACATTTAAAGTATACGACAAAAAATGCGGGCTGCATCTAGAGTTAGAGCGACTGCTTAAGTCATACCTGGAACAGCTGCAACACACAATAAGAAAAAGAATCAATTTTTTTCTAGCATAGATATATGTATGAGTTGTTATCGATGAAAAACTCATTTTATCTTTTTTTTGCTACTTCTTTATTTTTTTTTTGGTCGTATAAAAATAAATATGAATATAAGACGAACCTGTCAACCATAATACCAGCACGTATTGCTTGTGCCACACTTCGAAATTTGGGTTTGTCTGATGGACGCCGTTTTAATGTTGACATTGATCGAGTAAATGTCATAGTTAACCAATCCCGTACTTCATTTGGTACAGTGTCTGGTTCAATTTCTGATAGTACACCATCATCTTCTTCCATAAGTCGTCTATATTGAACACAAAAATGAAAAAAAAAAGAAAAGTATGACATGCGCACAGCAAACAAGAAAATGAATGATACGGCTCTCAAGTTCTTTTTCTTTTTTTTATGCTACAAATTTTCTCGCTCTCTCCCGCTTTAAATTTATTGCTGACATGGCAATTATCGACGATGGCCTGTTATAATATATATATATATATATAAACGTCAGTGAAAAGATGCTTTTCCCCTCATTGATAATGATGATAGTAGGTGTCAAAAGACAAAATTACCATCAAAGTGTGCGTTTGTCTTTATGAGTAGCAGAAAAATGAAAGCATGTCAGAGTAACAGTATGAATTAAAAAGAGGAAAAAAAAATATAATGAAAGAATATAAATACCGAGAAACATCATGCAGTATCTATCTTTATTAAAAGTAAAAAGTAAAGCAAAGTAGCTTATCCAGATGTCATAGTCGTTCAGATGCTACTCTTTAGTATTTAGAAAGCAGTGCTTCAAAGTGAAAGAAATTTTTCTTATGATTTTTAAAATCAAAATATATTTATACATCTCAATTGAAAGTGCAGCTGATTGAAATAATAAAATTTTGTGCAAAAAAAACGTGATTATTAATAGATTCAAAAAAACAATACCTAAATAACAGGAAAGAAGTTTCGAATCATTATGATCATCAGTGCATAAAAGAAGAAAAATCAAAATTAAAAACATTCGTGTTAATAGTGTTTAGTAGAAGGTTTAAAGTGCTGTTAATGTGCTAATGAGCGAACATATCTCATGCGCTTACCGGCGTACGGGTACTTTTGGAGAGTGCCGCTGCTTTTTTCTGTGATAATACATAAGGATTTGCGCATTGTTTAAGAAAATGGGAGTTCTACAGAGTGAATAATTGAAGAGATAAAAATGACTTACCGAGTTTCATCTTGTTGAACAGCTTCAAGAACATTAGCAATATATTCTAAATTGCGTACAAGATCCAGTTTTCTTATTAGTATATTGCAATGAAGAGCAGCAATTATCGTTCTCAATCTAGATAATAAGAAGAACAAGAACATATAAATATAAGGCTTTCATTATTTGATACCAATCTATGCTTCATCGGCATAAATAAATTCAAAGGAATTAGTTTTTAAAAATAGACTATGAGTCAAAATAAGATTAACCAATAAATTTCGATAGATATACATTTCTACTATATTACATTATCTTATTTACACTCTGTATAGGTCATAAGATGATTATTTTCTTAGGTCATAATAATACAGTATTATCTATATCACAGTTGTACTAAGACAATTAATCATCTAATTTCCTTCGTCTGCTATTAACGACGAGAGAAGGTGAGAAAACGATATTTTTTTTTTCTTACTATTTAGTATAACTTAAATAAAAACTAACTTACCTATCATTACTAGTTTGCAATGCTTCCAACGCAGTTGGCGCTGGTAAATTATTCATATTTGATAAAGTTGTTACATCACGCTCGATTGCTGCGTGTGCACTGGCTGAAGCACTAAGTCCACCATTATCATTGCTATTATTTGATCTTGATTTGCTCGAGAAGACCGGTGACAGATTTTCTGATAATAACATGACGATATAATGATGATGATGATGATAATAATAATAATAATAATAATATATTTATATGGATATGCACGTGTGTATGTGTAAATTTATATACAAGTCGATTATAATCAAGCAAACAGATGTATATATGTACAATATTTTCAGAAGTTCTTTCTACTTATCAGCGCTTAATAACTAAACCAATCTGTATAGAAAAAGTTGTTTATCCGAAATGTCGCTGTTTTGTTTTAGGTGACTCACACGAAAGGAACCCCTCTTTCATGTAACGAGTAAGATTAACTAATGGACAACCAGCCGAAGGAAGAAAACAACTGACAGCAGAGATACTGCGAATACTCTATGTATAAGCTAACAAAAAAATAGAAGATAGCAAAACAACTCATCTTCGTATGCTAGATATCTAACATGAGAAGAGCAAGAGATAGAAGAAAAAGAAGAAAACATAGAAAATGTGGTTACTCTAAGAAAATATGAGACTAGTATGCTAATGTATATTTATATGTAAGCTATGTTATGAATTTTATCTTTGGCCATAAATGTCGTTGATGCGAATACAACATTCCTTTTTAGTTTTGACAGAGAAAAGCAATAATTCATATTTCTTACATTTCAGTCACCTCATTATTGTTCCTTAATGCTTACTCTTTAGTCTGACATAGAAAGCCATGCAATACACCAGATGTTGTCAATTGTTCACTGTTAGAAAAATGGCTGAGTACTTCGATTTTTAACTGCTGTTTATATATATATATATATATATATAAATATTTCTATTATTTTCATTTTTACTTTTTATCAAATGCAAAAAAAGCTTCTAGACCAACTGTTTTTTCTTTTTATATCTTTTCTCAAGTAAAATAAAATGTTCTTTTTTTATAACTAACTTGATTCATTGTTAGCCATTGCTGCTGCTACTGCAGCTGCTGTTTTGTTCGCTTTCGCTGAATGATGATGATGGTGATGATGATGTCGTTTGGTTCCTGTTGTTCCTGACACTAACAGGAAGAAAGTAAAAATACAATAAAAACATAGTAATTAAAGGAAAGACTAGTGTAAGGAAAAAGATAAAACAAAACAAATCACACCGTCAATCATTGTACCATCGGTTAGTTTGGCAAAAATATGGCCACTACTATTCTGATAAAATTTAATCTGACCAAAATCTTCACGGTGTTGTAACATCTTCTTTTTTCACTCAGATAAACATTCGCAGTTTTGTTGCAAATATTTATTTATTTCACTTTAAAACAAAAATCTGCTGAAGTAACGCCTGAAAAAGCCCGTTTCTGTTTATCTATTTGTCAATAGAATGCTTGAATACTCTAACATTTTTTCGGATATTAATGAAATGAAATTTATGTTCATCTTCATTAACATCGGATTTTCTAAAAGCAAATAAAAGCAGTTATATTTTTAGTAGATACACACATACACACTGTAGAGAGCAAAGAAAGAAACACAGGAGCAAATCAATTCTCTAAATTATCACTCTCGGAAGCATCATCCTTCTTCATTTTTTTTTCTCGTCGATTTCTTTTTCTTCCTCCGAAACGGGTATTTATATCACCGACTTCCGATGAATTGATCTATAATCTGTTCAAAAAAAAAAAAGAAAATTATAATTTCAATCGAATTTGCCCTACAGCTAATTCTTTGTAAAGCAGTATAAATATGATTAATTTTTAAACGAATACACGCACGCTGATATAAGTAAATTTAATTAGATTGAATTTACTTTGTTCTTCTACTTCTTCTTCTAATGAATTAAAATTATTCATCAAATTTGTTGTTTTATTTTTGAATATTTTATGTGCGAAAAAAGAACCCGTATGACCTTGAATGGTGTTGTTTGTCTAAAATAAGAGTCGTCATAGAATTGATTAGTTGTTCTATTCATGTGACCAATAATTGATTATTTGACAATAATGAAAGATTGATCGGTATAAAGCACGAAATAACAACAGATGCCTACGTCGAACTACAACGATGATAACAACAAAACAACCACGCCCTTCATTCTAATATTATTTGTTATCAGATTTATGACGCATTAATTTCACAACACTAGATTTATAAAAACGTAAATCAACAGAAAACAAGTATCAATTGTTTCTGTTTTTTTACTCTAAAAATTTGAACTTTCAGCAATTATTAATGATTCATATAGAACTAAATACAACCAGAAAGGTATTTGTTAGCTCTAATATGTATAGAATGAAAAGGATATATAAGGAATGAAAGAGAGATATATTTCGAGCGAAAGAGACAAGTAGTGTCACTGATGTTATGTGACAGAACGAAGAAAAAGTGAACTTTGTGGGACTCGAACCCACACCGTCCGCTATCCGGGCAGATGTCCTAGGCAGTTAGACTAGAAAAACATCTTGACCCTCGTTTAGCGCTAGTAACTTACATCGCTAACGCTAACAGTATATTGTGTGATCATGGCAACTGACGATGAATGACGTTGATTCTTTCAGAATATTCGAAGCGTAACCTAAGGCACTTTTCTTTTTCTATTCTAGAAAAGAAAAAGATCTGTCTTAGGCAATCTTTGATTAACTACAGATAGCTACATGTTTCCATTAACTTTTCAACAGGCTTGTCATTTAAAAGATAGCTAATTGAATCTGAAATATTTACAAGTTAACTTTTACATTCATACAAAAATTATTTTAAAATGCCACGCATAGTTTTCATCAACTTTTCACTTTTTACATATAATTAATTAATAAAGTTCTACTCTAAAACTTTTACCTTTCATAGTTTTTGATGTTGGGTTCGTCAGTGATGTACCAATGATGAATAACGATGAGCATGAGCTCATACGAACTTTTCGTCCAGGCATTTTTAATAAATATTGATTAACTAACTAATGTATAACTGACAACGAATATTATTCGTCTTTCTATGCAAAGAGCAGAAGAAAAAACAAATTTTCTTTTTAAATAAATAATTGCATGTTTTATAATAACAAATAAAGCTTACAGCTGATTTTATACACAAGATAATGATCAGTTATAGATAGGAAGACTAATAGGCGGTGCTGGAACACCGCTTTGCAAGAAATATTATCTCGTTTGTGTTTTGCTAGTGTCGTTGAAGTGAAATCTGTATAATAATCATAATTTTAATCATTCGGCTAGGATTCCACAAGAAAGAGAGAGAGAGAGAGAGAAAATGAAAGGGAAGAAAAGAAAAGAATAGAAAAAAGAAAATATGATTTTTATGCCCATCAGCATCCTAGTTGCACAAGCAGCGACAATGTCGGTTACCTGTGTTATTCGACGGTGGTTACTTTACCATGGACGCATTGATGCGTTCTCGTTTCTTATGCTCATGAAAAGTAGAGAAACATTCTAATTATCAAAGAAGATGAAGAAGAAGAAGAAGAAGAAGAAGAAGAAAAGAGACCTGAAAAGTGAAAAAAACAGAGCAAAGAAAGGAAAGCACAGTGCATGAAAGGCGGATGTACGGCATCACACATACGGATCGTGAAAAAACAAAAAAAGACGTCAGTGACCGACCGTGTGCATAGAAATGCAAACAGGATTTGCCATCTCCTTTTTTTTCATTTTTATTTATTTTTGAAGTATATGCACGCTCATCCTATTATTGTATTGAATGATCATATTAGTCACAACTAAATAATGAATAGATTTTGTTCACATAACCAGAAAATCTCATTTTCTTGCAAGTAAAGAAAACAGACAATTCTTATCATATTAATGACAATATTATTATTCATTTATTTATTATTATTTTTCTTCATACAAATCTCAAAAATAGGCAAAAGAAATGTTGAGCTTTGAAAAAAAGAAGAAGAAAAGCCAGTACAAACACACACACACACACACACACACAAGAAAACATGTTGCATACCAACAACAAGAGCCAAAAGAGATAAACTACACATACATTGAAGAAAAAACAGAAAACAACTGAGCTAGAACAGCACCAGCAAATATAAATATATATATGTATGCGGATGTTTTCGTCAAATGGGTGGCAAAAAAAAACGTCGAGAAATCAATCGAAGGACTATACATACAGATAAATTCTTAAATGCTAAGATTCCGCACTTGTTGATATAGATGAATAGGTTCGTGTATTTTTCGCTGTTTCTTTAGCTAATGACTGTTCATATTTAAATAGTTCAGCAAGTGTAACATCATTGGGTAAATAATTTGACGTTGGTGAAAAGCGGGATGCAGCCATGTTGGCTCTTGCCAACCGAATTGATGCTTCACTAGAACAAGAAAAGGATATTTAATCATTACCGGTCTTTATTTATTATTTCTTTAGAATTCATGCTAGCGAGCATATCTCATTCATTTACTCATTCATTCATGCATAAAAAGAAAGGAAAGTAAATACTAAATTACCTGCTTAGATTAGAAACTGAAAAATTCTTATTGCATGACAAATTTTATATAAAAAAAGAAGAAGTTCTCTTATTTACCTTGATAATAAGCTTTCTCTTGCACGTTCAAATTGTGACGCAGATTCATTATGAAATTCTTGTGAATCTTTTACTAATTTATCTGTTTCATCTAATATAGCTTGTTGACTTCTACTTAAACCTTGTAAGCCTGATAGATTTCCATTAGGTGTTACATAGGATGTTGTTCTATAACGTGGAAAGTCATAACGTTGATCAGTATTTAGTGCTACTGCTGATGGATAACGTGGCGTTGGACGATAAACAGTTCTATATGTGTCTGGCGATTGATATGGTTGAGGAAGTCGTGGCGAGCGAGGATAACGTGGTGGAAGTCCGATCGTTTGATTCGATGGTGTTGATGTTAGAAATGATACGTCAAGCAAATGTGGATGACTTGATACACTATCTTGTAGAGGTATATTGGATAAATTTTCAGCACTTGTACTTAGAAATGATTTTGCATGTCTTATAACTTCAGCACGTGGTGTAAATTCCAGAGTTGAATAATGTGATGTATGATGTTCTAGCGATGATTTCTTCAATTCTAATTCATCAATTTTAATATCTAATTGTTTTTTCGAATCTTCTAAACGTTGTCGATAGATAGCTAAACGTTGTCTTGTTAATTCTGCCATATCTTCTTCGTATTGGTGCATTTTAACTTTAACTCGTTCACTATCAACTGGATTAGCATCGAAAGATAACGAACGAAGTAAGGCATCTAAAGGTGAATAAAATTAGATTTAACGATCTATGCTTATTAGCTAACTTAAACAAATATATTTCTCGTATCGTATTTTTAATGAAAAATTTCAACTTCTTCAATGATGATATAAAATTTAAGTGGAAATGTAGTTTTAGAAATTTTTGATAATCTGCCCGTTGAAGATGAATTTTCAATTAGAATCTATGAGATATAATCAAATTATGAATATTAGCTCGAGAAGTGTTGAAAATTCGATTCTTTTTTGACAGTGAGATTAATTTACTGATTACTTAATCCATCTATAAATGTTTATTATTAGTTATCCGCTAGACATGGATAGTCTATTCATGTCTGCAGACGGCCTGTCTTTTTTAAGAAAATTAATATCTCTAGGAAAAAAGTTTCATGAAAAAAGTTGAAAGAAAAACTTATCATGAGTTAAGATAATGAACTTCCGGAATAAACTCGATTACTTCTTTGTTTAGCAGTTTAGGTCTTTTTTTTCTAATTTATATCATTCATAATTTAGTAGTCTTGTTTTTCGACATATCCACGTCCTACATCAGATATCATCTTTCTCATGTCATTGTTTCCTGTCATCTCATTTTTGAATAAATATCAATAGTTACAAAGAAACATCTTTTTTTCTTCAAAAAATACACGATAAGCTAGAATAGTTGTTATGCATGAGAGTGTTATTTTAAGTTGTGCTTGTTTGTACGGTTAAAAATAGGATTAGTTGATTTTTTGATTAGGAGATTTTAAAAATATATTATTTAAAGTGTAAAAACTGCAGTAAAAAAGAATAGAACTTTGCACGAACTGTTTCCTCCGGCGTTACTTAATATTAAAATCGGCTTTACTGGTTGAGTTGGCAAAATAATTAGTTCAGTACAATTTTCAATATTCTGCTATTTATCTACGCATTTAAAAAAAAAGAAAAGCTCAAGAAAACATCTGTGGTGAAAAAATGCTGCGTTCTTTGTTTCCTAATTTTAGAATAGAATTTAAACATTTTGAGCAATTAAAGAACTTTTCGAAACAATTTATTTAAAAACTAGAGAGCAAAAACTATTTCCAAATCATTGCTTTTCAAAGTAACTGCAATAACCTTTTTGTTCCTAATATTCTTTTTTCTGAAAACGAAGCTAATGAGAAGAACGTTGTTTTCTAAAAGAGTTTTTACTCGTTGCATATGAATTTCACATCAATAATTCTATTCTAGAGATAAATACAAGCAATATTTTGTATCGGTTCACAAAAATGTAGCTATTTGAATGTCTTGCATAACAGCCGGAATATCACTGGAGCATATGAAGAAGAAAAGACTATATAGAATTCAAGTCATTTGTATAGTTTGATAAAACATTCAATCCTCTGTGAACCGGATTCTTTACATTCTTTTGTTTCTTGTTTTATTATAATAGAAAGAACTTTCTTTTATATTATAATAGAAAGAATTTTCTTTTATTTAAACATGTAACTACAACAATGGCATCTCTGTGTAATCAAGTTCTAATAATGCCGTACTTGTTATCAATAACAACAAAATTTATTATTCAAGGACAACTGTAATATTAATTTTATCAAAATTTTGCGTGTAAATATATTGAAGACACAGAAAGATACTTCTGTTGATAATAAAATAGTACGCTGCTCTTGCCTAAAGTATGTTACAAGGCATATCAAAAGTACAAGGATCTTTTAAGATCAAATTTGACTTTTTTCTTGTGAAACAAAAAACAGGTACATTTTATTTCATTAACTTGCAGGTATGTTGAATACAACAATCTGATTATACAGGCTATTTGTTTAAATCTACTTTTTGTGGTTAGGATAGATTTTTATAAAAAATTTCGTTATTATTTTGAACAATGAATTGAAAGATATCGTTTGTTCAGTACATTATTAAGTTATTTTACTAAAACCTTCACGCCATTCGGCATGAAGCTGCTTTAGACCCGTCGTGTGATTGTCAGCTGGATTTTTTTAAGTTAGTGTACGCTGTGAGTACATAAGACTGAACGGAAGAACTTTCAGCTAGATTGGTCTGCATCCTAGTATTATCAAAAACATTTCCGGTTTTTGAGCTGATCTTCGAATCATTAATTCTTCAGTTCACAAAATACTCATTTAAATATAAATTAATCTATTGTTATTTTTTTTTTAATAATTAAATTTCTACCTGTTTCTCCAATAATATAATTTAATTTCGCTTCAGTCAATTCAACCCAAATATTTGATCGACTCCAATTCAATGAAAGTAAATCAAGTATATGTGCCCGTTCACGTCGTAATTGTAAAATTTGTTGCTCGATTTCTTTAGCTGATATAATCGAGTGTTCCGCTCCTCGTTTGTCATTTGTTGATGAATTTTGTCGAACTTCTCTTACATTATTAGGTTTTATCATTAGTTCACTATGATGTTCATAGACGTCATCATTTGTTAGGGATTTCATCCTATGTAATGGACGTTGTGTTACTTCGGAAACATCTTCACTGTCGGATGATGAGCCTTTTATATCGACTTGTAAAGCGAAATTTGCTTTATTTCGACGAGTGCGTAATAACTAAAATAAAACAAACTAGATTTCTTTAAAATAATAAAATAGAAAAGAGCTAACTTGTTCATCAACAAGAATTCCTGAGTCAGCGCTTCGTTCAAGTGTTGCTGAACGGCTCGTTAATATCGTTTGATTATTATCATTTGAAGGAAGATAATAGTTTTCATCTGTATATTGTGTTACTGTTAAACCTGATGTATGATTATTGTGATCATTGAATTTTGTAATAAAATCTGCTCCAGTTTGCATTGTTTGTTGATGATCGGATGATGCTGTTGATAATGATGGTGATACTGTTTGCATGTGTCTTTGAATTCCTGAATCATCCAACGGCACTTTTGTATTTGCACCATTGATTGTTGTTTGTGTACCATTATTAGTGATTAAAAAGTTCGGTATATCATAGGATGATACTTGTGTTGATGATGTTAAATGATCAAAATGACATTGTGAACCAAATTCATGTTTTAGTGGTGGACTATATTGACATGAACGATCAACTTTACCAGGAATTGCAGCGGTCGATGTACTTGATGTTTGATAGGATTTTTGATCAATTAATATCGGTGATAATGCAACATCACGTGTAGACTGAGCTGGTCTTTTCGGCGTATCTACTGTTTCCGCATTCCAATTGTATGTAGCTGGAATTTCAATATGTTCACTTGAACGATATTTCGTGTCATAAGTTGTTGGTGCTATACGCATTTGAACTAGATTAGGTTCAATGGAAGAAACGAACGTTTGAGCTTGTGTTGATGGTTGAATATGCTTTGTTGCTTTAAATGTATTCAATGATGGACTACGCCATGTTGTACTACTACCCTCAATAACTGTACTATTGTGCCATGTATCAATAACTTCAATTTTATCTTTTTTATTCGATGGCGTTGGTGTACGAGAACTATTGAGAAGATATTCTTCATGTTGATCTAAGACAACATGACGTAAATGTGATGCATTTGAATTGAGAATGTTGCTATCGAATACACTCTTGGCTATTGGTTGAGCTATGGGTTTGTCACGAGAAGGTTTAAAAGGAGTATTTGAATAAACAGAACCTTGAGTTATAACAATTGATTCACATATAGAATTAAGCATTGTCGATGGACCATCGATATCGATTGATATCATATCAGACTGAAAAATAAAATAAGAAAAATTGATAACACTGTAAATAAAGATTCAGAATGTTTGAAATTCTCAAAATATGTTCAGTGGGACGGTAGAGATCGACAGTGGTAACCATAATAGTTCATCTTATATACTTTATAAGTGTTCTTGTTTGTTTAAAAGTGAATGACAAAATCGGTTTTTTTTCATGGCTATTATTCCAGTGGAGAAAAAAAGACAAGGAGGAAACGATGGACTTGAAGTAACTCAAAGTAATTACCGCTCAAGTAGCCCAAAGTAACCTCAAGTACCTTCAGGAAAATTTGAAGTTGAAAAGTACGTCAAAGTAACTTCAAGTCCAAAAGTCTGCCATTTTCCCCTTGAAGAAAGGTGCCAAATTAAATGTTTCGCCATATGAACATCCTAATTGTAGAAGTACTTTCTTTAAATAATCATAATTATGGTGGTTGATGCAGAGAAGAAGCCTTGTTTGTTATTCTTTGAAATAAAAGCAAACGTTTCTGCAAGAAACTCAAGGTACACAATCGAAAGAAAGCTTATACTTTTAACTGGCCGTATGATATTTAAAAATCGTTAACAAAACAAAAAATGCTTCATGTAAATATATCTAAATCTCTAAGATAAAAGAGAACAGTTCTAGATCAGATAATGCAAATCAACTAGACAAAGAAGTATTTTAAGGGCTGTAAAGTCAGATTTTTTCGTCTGATTTCACTGATGATTAGTATTAATCCAATCTTTAAAATAATCTCTACGATTGTAAAGTCAGTCATGTGAGACTTATTATTTTTCAAAATCAGTTATCAAAATCATAACTTGTCAACATTTATGGTTCATTGATTTGTCAAATTAACATAAAGATATATCAATTTTCTACAAGATCAATTGTGTCTACAAGCTCTCTATCACGCATTCATTTTTTCTTAATGAATTGCATCCGATTTACGTAAGATCTCCGATGAAGTTTTTTTTATTAAATCTTTTCCCTTCCCATTCATTGGCATAAATAGCAGTTTTAGGGCTGTTATGCAATGGATTAAATATTAAAATTGATTTCAAACTAAAGATTACGTTAAACAAAAAAGTTGAAAGGTTTCGTATATGAATTTCAATGGTTTCATAATTCTTTCTCATTTTCTCTTTTTTTTTTTTTGTTGTAGACCTATTCTAAATATTTTTGAAAACAAACCTCATCAAAATGTTCCGGATTAGTCCCAATAATTGGCACTTCAATATCGTCGGCTGAATGTTGATATTTTCTATCTTCTTGTATTGAATTATAACCGTTTGTATATAAAATTGAACTGAAAACTTGATTTAAAATTTTACGACCTTTATATGGCAAACGAACATGTGGATCTCGTGCCATAATATCAGGTCCAGCTGGTATACGTTTTGTTAATATAACACGTTGATCTGTACCTTGTCGATCGACATAACCAATTTTAAAGCCATTGCCTTGCTTAACAATTTCTAAATCAGATACTTTGTCAACGCGATGATTTTGATAGCGTGTTAATGGTAGAGGTGGTTCACTGATTCGTCTCGTCAGCGATGACGATGATGACGATAGAACAGGCGCTGGCGGAAGAGCAGGGGAAGGTGTTTTTGTTTTATGTTCAGCTAAATGTTTTTCCAGATTGTTTATAATATTTGATGATATTGGAATACTATCAGTAACAGAAGATGTAAGAAGTTGTTCGTATACTTCAACTTGTTCATCTAAATCAAGTTCAAGATGTGTTGGTCGTTGTGGACGTTCTACAGGTTGTCGACTAGATACTTCATGTAATTCCGTCATTATTGTTTGTAAATTTGATATAGGTGGTGATTGATGGTAGTCAACAATTTTCGTTAGAAATTGATTATTTTTTACTGAATGAATATCTTGAACAATCGTTGAAAGTGACGAGACAGCTTTTTCTTGATTAAGTTTTTGAATCTCGTCCACGATTAATGTAAGTTGATCGATTTTCAATGGTGGTGTTGTTGGATATGATTCGTATAATTTCTTTTCATTAGGAGGTGTATGATCGAGAGAATCATTTTCAAAGCGACTTTCCTTTTCGCCTAATTCTGCTAATTCATCTGCTAAAGTTTTCTTCGGTGGACTTGATATAGTATAAGGATCTAATCGTGCTAAACGATAAGCTAATTCATCTGGATCGAGATGTGTATCATGTATCGATGATATTGATGTACGAGTAGAATCTACTGACTTATTGACTTGTTGTTCATCCATATGTTCAATGTAATCTTCTCGTGATGAAGCACTTAGTGAGTTATTTTCATTGATTTGTTCAATAAAGGTATTTTCATAGAGTTCATTTTTTATTATTGTTGATTCAATTTGATCAGTAGTGAATATTTGAGATTGTTGTTCGGTAGATTGCAATGAAATAATCGCTGTTAAGTTATCTGTAAACGTAAATAAGCCATCTTCATTATTTTGTTCGATGGATAGATCGTCAGTATAGATCGGTTCGCTTATTGATTTTTCCCATGCATCATGATCGATCTCAGAGAAATTTGAAAGTTTTATAGGCTAAAATACATAGAAGAATATAGGAACGAAACAGATGTATATAATATGAAACAAAAAAAGAAAATGAATAAATGCGTATTTAATGTATGTCTATTGCTTTATTCCGAATGTGTGTTTAAAGATGTTTGACATTGAATTTTGATGTAATGTAAAAAAATGAGGATCAATTATGATTCTATCCATATGATGCAAATAGAAGAGAGAGAGAGAGAGAGAGAGAGAGAAAAGAGACAAGTGGTTTTTATTTTATTTTGAAGATGCATTGAAGAGTTTGAAATTGATTAGTAATAGAGAGAGAGAGAGAGCGAGGGACGTTTTTTTTTATTAAAATTCGATTGATATGATTTAGAACTTGAGAGTACTCGTTTTTTTTCTTGTGTTGACAAAATTCAGTAATCGAAGGCAGCCTGTGAAAAGAGCAGAGATAAGAAATTACAATATCCATGCATCGATTCACTCAAATAGACAGATCTTTCTCGTAGAAATAACATAAATACATAACAATGTGATTGTTTCGTAGAAAATGTTATCTAAGAGACTTAAAAAGATATAATATCGAACAAATTACCGAAAATATACAATGAAAGCTATGCGAATACTAACGTTCGTACAGAAATCAATGTGTATCTTTACACTATGAGATGAATGTACATTTTAATTATTCTATAATAGTAACAACTAATAATTTGGGGTATTTGGCGAATGAAAAAATAAAAATATTCGAATTTGCGTTCTTTCTTTTGCTACTAACCGCAAAAATTTACAAGCTGTTACTATCGTCAAATTACTCGGCTTACATTTATCATCCCTGTTGTAAAAAATATGACACTAAATGCATCAATATAGCATCGTTTATAAACGTTTGTTTGTCTCTTAGTTGACCACTGAAAAATTATCTATGAAACCCTATCCATGTATTTGACTTACTGAATAATAGGTCAAATTTCTCTTTTTTATTTTATTTTATGACTCAAACAATAATACTTGATTGTAGTATCTGTTTACTTTGACCGTACGAATAAAAGAAAATCTTATTATTCACTAAAATATCAATCTATTGAATAAAATTTATGCACAGCTTTTGTTTTTTTTCTTCTTCATATAGTGCTATTTATAGTCTAGGCTTCAGCGTATTTCATTTCATTATGAATGAATTATACTCGAGATATTAATTCATATTTTACTTTTTTTTTCTGTATAAATACGAACCAACAAAAACATGTCGATGCATAAAACACCTGCTATTCGTTTTCCAAAATAAAGAATTCGTAGAAAAGTATTCTTACTTGATTTAGTTCTGATGGTGTTGCTGAACGACTTTGTATTGGTGTATTTGGTTTTGATTGTGGCGATGAAACACCTGATCCGATTCTACCGTGATCGTCGTCTGTTTCTTCTTCACTATTATCGACTTCAAAAATATCTTCTTGATTAATACTAATTGCAGTTCTTCTTAAATTCTCATCGAAATCTTCACTATCATCACTAGATTCATACTGACTTTCGCCCGAACTTGGTATAGTCGATAATGAATGCGGTCTATATGAAGATAGAATAGCTTGTGTATCTCTTGGTTGTACGGCAGCAGCAAGTGCAGCTGTTGCCTCGTCGTCGTCAAAACCCAAGGACATACACACTTGTTTGTCTTCATCACCAAATATTTCATTCTTTTGTAAACTTGTATTCGGTAAATAGTTTGATATGTCATCTATAGGATCAAGATCGAAATCATCATTATTCTCTAAATGATGTGGATAATGAAATACATAATTTAGTGGCTCTTTTATAATAGGTGATGTTATCTGATTTGTTGGTGGCTCGTGTTCATCGGAAAGAACATTATCTTGTTCATATGATTGTATACTATCATCATCAATATCAAGTAGATTATCTTCAGTGTCGGAATGTGTCGATGATGGGCCGATACGATCAACAAATGGTTCCGAGATAGCAGCACCTTGTAAAAGGCCAACATTTGCTGATTCGTTTGTTCTCGAAGTGTTTGTTGCTGATTTATCTAATGATGTGATGTCAAATGATTTTGATTTTTTCTTTGTAAATTTATCTTCATGATTTTTATTTGTGCTTGAAAATATATCACCATGACTACGAGATTTTTCTATTTGAGTTTCATTCACGTTTGTATATGAATTTGAAAGACCCATAATATGACGTAATTTATATTCACCTAGTTCGATATCATCTTTATCACTAAAAGCAAGATCAAGTAATGAAAGCCACATTTGCTCAAGAGTATCACGTGTTATATCTAAGTACGCATAGGCATCTAATGTTGTTAAAGAATATGATCTTTCACGTAATGGTTCTCTCATTGTCGTATAATTTAACTGTGGACATGAGTGAGACGGTTGAATTGCTTGTAATGATAAATAGAATTCATCATCGTCACCAATATTTTGATGCTGATGAAATATACGTGAATCAGGCGATTCTTTACTTTCAACAATAGTGGAATGTTTTCTTATTGTACTAGTCGGTGACGGCACATCTTGTAACCATTCACAATTATATTTTTCCGCTAAATGTATTGCTGCTGAACTTCCGAATGCCGGATAATACATTCCTAGATTTAAGGAATAGATTTAGTTTTGTTGAGTGCTTTGGTTTCTTTTACCTGTTTGTTTTTCTTTTGGTATCAATTGTTCCGAAGAACTTGATGATACTGTTCGTTCAGCATGTTCAAGTCCATAGGATGTAGGTTTCAATTGCGTATTGATAGTTATACACATCATGATTGTATTATTTTCGGGAATATGTTCAGAGACCATTTCATTCTTTTCAATATAATTATTTGTGTTATCTTCGATTTCATTATTATCAACTGCTACAATGAGAACAAAACATTAAGAATCAAAAACTAAAACTACAAAAGAAAATTCGACTGAAAAAGAATGAAAAGAAATGCGCACGTATTTTCTTTTGCTTCTTTTTTTCTAATGAAATAAATACCATCATATCAATATATACTAACACAAACACAAACGTCTATATACCTTTTGTGGTATGATTTCTCTTTTTGTTCTTTTATTTCCTCGCGTGGCATGCCCATGTTTCGTATCTAATTTTTAATATGTTTATATACGATATATATATACATATATATATTAAGTTCATTCTGTCGACAACTTCAACACGCATAAACTTCATTAGACTGTCACTATACATGAGGAGATGCATGAGACGAAATTGTACATTGATAGAAAAAGAAAGATCGATTGAGCGCGAGGTGAACTTTGTCGAAGGGTGAGAGACAAGATGGTGGATTAGTTAACAACCTCAATTGATTCATATTGAAAGCGCGAATGAGACATACAAGATGGACAGTGTCTTCACATATGTTGAATGATACAATGAGACAAAGAACGAAAGAAAAAAATGACAGAAAGGTATAGAAAGGAGAATATTCAAGGATAATTGAACTCGAACGACACTATTCAAATATGATATTATGAATCATTGAACTATCATCAAATTATTCATTGTGTTTAAAATGAATATATATATATATATATATATCGAGATGATACGGCACGCTCCCTTCAAGATGACAATCAGTTTGTATTAATCACTTATTGCATGATTTATTTCACCTTAGAATTAACTCTTGGGCCATTAGAAAAAAAAACATATCTTCTATAGAGAGAACTCTCGTCGTCAGTTAACAATATAACACAAATAAAATGAATAGTTTTAATTTATCATTGATTTTTCATGTTTATTCCCAATAATCTATGATAAAACTTCTTGCGCTTTACTTTCTATTTACTGTCATAAATTAATAATAATAAAGAAACCAAATCATTCTATCTTATATTTGAATAAGTTTAAAGTGCACGCGCGACTAAGTGCCCTCTCCTGATGATCTCTTTCTCTATTTCATGTGCAAGCTGCATAACAGCATATATGACCTTTAATATATATGCGAAATGATTCTGAATAACTGGAGAAAAAAGACGTTCAATGGACACGCCCTACGTATGACAAACCTCTTTTTTGATTAGAATGAAAGAGATAGTGAAAAAAAGAGAGCAATCAATTTCGTACATATTATATAATCATTATTTGAAAAGCGAATAGTGTTGAACGAATATTAATATTCAATCAAATTGTTTAATTTAGAGCAAAAATGAAAAACCAATCAGATATAAAGATATTTACTTTCACCTTGCTGCACATTTGATAAGGGCAATGATATTCGAGCACGTTGTTGTTGTTGTTGCTGTTGTTGTTGTCGATCATCATCTTCATCATAATCGTTGTGAATATCTTGAATATTAAATTCATTCGTTTGTAAACAATTTAAATTATCATCTGATAAGCCAAGTGCTGAGTCTTTTGAATGAAATGCTGACGATAACAATTGATGTGTACTGGATAGATCATCAGATGAGGATGCGGCTGTATTGATAGTACTCATTATTGGAATATGATCAGGTTGAAGTAATGAGTCATGACTATTCGCGTGTTGATTTTGTTGGGATTCCCGATAATGGAATCCTTCGAAGAATGAAAATGGTGATGGAGATGATTCATCTGGCATTACTACTTGTATAAGTGGGCTGTCGTTTTTGTTGTCACTCTCGGCTCCAATTTCAATATGATGTGTATCGTCATCCTGTTCTTTTTCCTTTACCTTTCCCACATCAATATTGTTCGTGGTTGTATTAGAAAGTGAAAATATTTTGTCATCTATACGAAAAAGATTTATATTAAGAAAATGAATTGTGTGATGATCGACAAAGTTACTTTGCATTGTTTCCCTGTTAATCACCTCTAGAATGATAAAAATAAAATATTTGTTTCTCTACACAATTAGTTGTTGTCTTACAACGGTCAGCTTATTTAAGTAGATAGATGCATGCAGTAGCTATGTATATATGTGCATATTTTCAAGTGTTCTGTCGACGCCCCGCTCGTCTTCATCTAATAGACTATTGTTCAAGCACTTTCGCATGGTTTACTTTGTGTCTATTTTGACTATTGTCAGACAATAAGAGCACGAAACAAAGAAAGAATATGTTGAACAGGTAAAGCCGGCGCTCATCATTAAACGAGCGCAGTATAGGCAATCGGCCCGTGCTCTTTGATTGAAAACAACGATCAGGTATCCATTCAACAAAATGCGCATGTTAAATCGATTATCATGAGTATATGCGAAGGCGTGTACTACTACTATATACTTTTCACTGTCGCATTTTTTTCCTATTCTTTAGTTAGAAAACATTCGAGTTCTCCAAAGCAAAAAATCTGTATGTTTAACAAACAGATTACATTTGTATCGTACACTAATCACTACTATGAAACCATTAAAAATAATATAATATGTATTTAATCTGTTATTTTTGTTGCTTACTTTATGCCAACAGTTGACCTCCATCATTGAACAGGTTGCCTGTCTTCTCAGGCAAAAAAAAGGAATGAAGAATGAGAAAAAGTATTAGGTGTATTTTTTTTTCTTTCGTTCTCTCTTTCACCTTACACTATTCCAGAGAGGGGACACGCATACATTCGCAGTGAAAGGAAATGGTTCTCACACGCCGTCTTTCTTTTTTTTTCTTCTCTTTTTTCTTTCTATTCTTGTTGATCGTTTCGCTATAATAGTTAAAACTCACCGTCATCACCACTTTCAATTGATGACAATAGTAATGATGTTGATTGTTTATTTGCAACTTGTGCGTCAATAGTACTAATGTTTTTACAATTGTTAACATTTTTATATGAGTTGTCATTATTGTTTTCATTGTTTAGACTTGAAATTGACATTTCTAGAGAGGAACCAAACATACACTTTTGAATTATAATTAGCATCTCATGGCAACCTTGATGCTAACAGCTGTACACTCTCCCTCTCTCGTATGAATATGTTTCCTGCGCTATTTTATTTTTCTGAGCGAAGAAGAACAAAAAAGATTACCTTTCAAATTTGCATCATCTTTTTGTAATTCACCATTTGGCGATGATTGTGAGCGACCATGCGAGGAATTCATTCGATTGTTATCATCGAACGTGGTCGAATATTTCTCCATAATTGTTAAATTTGGATGATTTTTATTATTTTCAATAACAGTTAAAACTTGTGATGATGAGGTATCAATTGTATGTTGCGATATATGTACAGATAAAATTGATGATGAGCGACTTGTTGAATTTGATTGCTGATTAGTTTCGGCAAGAAATGCTGTAAATACGCCATCGATCCAATCACCAAATGCTGGTAATTGTGAATCGATTTCAGGTGGTATTGGCGATGCTGTTGATGATGCTGATGATTGGTCAGGTGACAATTCTTGTATTCCTTGACCAGGATGAGTTTGATTTTCGAATTCAATATCGTTATTTGCAAGTGATAACGATGTATTAAAATCGCTATCAGCTGAATAATATTGTTCACTTGTATTCGATGGTACACGATCAGTTTTAGTCAATGATGGAATATCAGTTATAGCGGTTAAATAACTTCGACCTCCTTCACTATCATCTGTATATGATCTTAATTGTTGTTGTTTGATTATAAATGAGGGTTTTAGAGATAAATCATTCATATAGGGTGATTCAATATCAAGTAATGAATCATCCGATAGAGCAAATAAATCATTTTGATTAGTAGTTTCTTCGGAATATTGTTCATCGATTTTCAATTGAAATAATTTTTGTTCACTGGCAATATCAACACCGGAATCAATTGTTACTTGGGAACATTCAGTTGATAGAAATTTCCGATTGGTTGAATTTGTCTCCAGTTGTTCAGGATTCAAACGTGCATTTAATCGATCGCGATACGTTTGAATTGTTGTTGTTGCTGAACGATTAACACCATCGGAATAATCTAAATTAAATTCATCTACATCTTCATCTGTACTCGCATAGGAATTTAATTTCCGTTTTGATGAAGAATTCGAACATTCATTTTTAATGATTTTTTCTATCAAGTCAAGCTTGTCTTTTGACGACGACGACGACGACGACGACGACGACGACGACGGTGATGAATGAGTTTGTTGAATTTCATTATGTTTTACAGGTGACGATGCATCATTGACTTCACGATTAAATGATGAATAATCAGGTATGGTGGAATCTGTTTGTTTATTCATTAAAATTGTTTCAAAAACTAAAAGAAAATAATCAAATGGATCAAAACTTTTCTTTCAATATCTTTATCTATGCATTTATGATATTGTTTTCGTAAGTAAATAGGTGCGAATATATATATATATAAAGAGAGAGAAGATCAATCGGCGGAAATCAATAGATTATTGAGAACAATAAAAATGATGTTTGATAAACATCGGCTAATGATGTATGATAGAGATAAATAAAAATTCTCTAAATCATTATGCATAATACTTTCTATTCGAAATACTATTTGTTGTCATAAGGAATTTAACGAATTTTTTTCATGGATTAATTTTTTGAAATTCGATATTTTTGTTTTTTTGTTTATGACTAAACTGGAGAGTAGGTCGTTCTTACCAGATATTCATTGGTTTCTTCATGTATGATTAACAATGGAAGTATGAATGAAGGATTTTATCATGTTTACGATTTAATTTTTATGAGAAAAGGAAATGCGGTTCGAATTAGCATATTTTTTTGTTTTTACTTTAATAGTGACGACCTTGATTTTCGATATCAGATGGCGAAATTTCGATTTGTAAGGTAATGGATTTTTGAAAAATTATGAAAATATGACTAAAATGATTTTCGTAGCCTAATATAACCGGAAATAGAATGAGTAAAAAGTATATTCATAAGGTAATATTTCTAACTGTGCAATCACTGTTTGCGAGAGACTAATGTCATACGGCCGGTCATGGTGGGCAAAGAAAAACGTTTGCAGTCGTTTTCCGGTCGCCGGTTATCGATTTAAGAATGTTTGTTTTGTCTTGTGAACATGTAAAGTTCACGACGAGAGTACTATGATCTAATTTCTATTGTAGATAGATGTTATGGCACGATCCGGAGAGTATATATTTGCTCATAAGAATGAAAAATCGTGTAACATCCCTAGTGATATTATTTTATTTTTTGTTAAATCTTTGTCGTTAGTTTCCTTTGCTGGTTTATTGAAAGATTCAAGTTTTTTTTCTTTTTATCATACCTTCATGATTTTGATTCGTTACATTTGTGTTAGTTGTGCGTTGAAGAATGGGTGGTGCCGATCGATTATGTTGATCACTTGATGATCCTGTATCGGTTGCACTATCGGAAGTGTGTAGGAGTTCCTGTTGATATTTTCGTTTTATTCGTTGTTTGGTTGTATGTCGATTATCTTTTTGTAATTGATCTACACTATACCATTTCAGATTGGAATATCGAAGTTGTTTGCCATCACCTTCAATATTCCATTGTGAATTTTGAGTTTGATTTAATAACGATGGTTGACGACGTTTCGTTGTTGTTACCGATATAACATGTCCAATTGCATTCGTATTATGTCTAGCATCTTTTGGTTGATTTTCGAACGAAAGCGAAAGTAAATTTGATGCTGAACCAATATGATTTTGACATGATGACGTTAAAACTGAATCCGGTGATGCTCTCATATTTTCCCAATAATCTATTTTACCACGTTGTAATGTAATATGACGAGATGATACTGGTATTGAACGTCGATCTTGATCGATCATAGGTGATACTTGTTCAACAGTATATTTTGGATATGTATATAAGCGTTCATCGTCTTTTTTTGATGAACTACTTTTCCAGACGTAAGTAATTGTTTTTGTTAATCCAAATGAATTCGTTGGACGAGTATTATTTTTTAATTCAATTAGATAAACTGATGGTGGTATCGATCGTAATGATTCATGTTGTGATGAATCTTCTGTTGCTCCAATTGCCGTATATGATGAATGTGGGCGTTTCTTTTTCAATAAACGTTCACTTTTTTCCGATAATGAATCATCAGATATAGGAGGGTTTTGTGCAGTTTGAGTAGGGGAAGCTAGTCTATAGGAACGAGTCTTTTTTCTAGGTTCAATAGATGATGAACAGCTATTGGATAATAATGATGACGACGAAGAAGAAGTTGCTGATGACAGATCGTTAATAGGCGGCGATGATGATGTTCCTGCTGATTTCGATTTCGAATGACGGCCTATTTCAAAAAAGTCAATCATAGACCAGTCGATCAAAAGAAAAAACCTTCGCCACAGTAATGAAACAGGGGAGAAAAGAAATGAACAGAACCAGAACATTAAATCTACTACCATCTATCAAATGATAATGATGTTAGTCAATATATTCATACGGAGAACAGAGTGTCAAGGCATCATGAATATTCGTCATTTTCAATACAGGGTCATCAACGAAAATAATTACCTTTGATCATAAAATATCATTTTTTGTTTATCAATTATCGATAAAAAAAACCTAGATAAAGCATTGGACAAAATCTACAACCTTGAACATCAATTTCGTTGTTGTCTTCATTTTTTCTTTGTTGACACTTATCTTCCATGCTTTTTTTCTTCTTGTCTGTTACAACATAGCTCAATCGATTGGATTTTAATATGTTTGCTAAGACATCAGTACGAAGTTTCTTTTTTTTGTCTTCTTCTCATTGGTCTACGGTTAAATTTTCAACAAAATGACACTGCAAGGTTAGAAATGGAATAATGCACAATGCATCAGATGCTCAATCAGGCGTAGGTGAATGCAAACACTTGCTGTTGTCACCGAACATCAAGTAGTCATTGTACAAGTCTCGAGTCGTCATCTTAAATTCAATTAACGAAAATGAGTGCTGTAACACACACACACACCGAATTCTAGTTCACATGTAATGCATACTTAAACAAAACAAAAAAGTCAAAAAGATCGTTTTCATACGGTTAGGTAAAGGCACCAGAAGTCATATCGTATCGTATCGAATGGATTACGATAATGTTATGTTATTATCAAATACACTTGAACAATAGTTTGCCTTTTCCATAATAAATTATGGACAAGAAATTGAAGTAGCAGAAAAAAACGAATCACGTACACAGCACTGAAAATGATTCTCATTTGAAAATCTTACAAAGAGGTGTTTTTTTTTCGATTGTATTGATATCGAATACACAATGAACAAGAAAAAAACTTGATTAGCATTGTCAAGAATCTCAAGAAATGTGTGCAAAGTTTGTTTGTCTGAACATTAAGCAAAAAGCGAAGAAAAGAAAATTGTGATCTTCTATTGCTTATATATGTATTTACTTGAGGATGTAGTTGACTTATATTATGATGCTACTAGTTTAACTACTATCTAAACATAATAATCAATGATTGTATAATGTCCCTTAGGCAAATAATGATGATCCCGGTTTTCTTTTTCTCTGTTGCTATGTTAATGAAACAGTATTCGATTGAACTGTTGTTGGTTTTTTTAAAATTTCATAGCTACTTCTCACATTCATGATAAAGTATAATGAGTCTATATAGAAACACGTTTTCGTAACTTGATATGCACGTATATATTTTCTGGTATACTCCTCAATAAAAGGAGTTTGACGCATGCATGTTTTGTCTCCTAATTTGCTACTTCGACATTTGATCTTTAATTGTAACTCATTAAGATAATAATTTCAACACTTGATAATAACTCATCACTGTGTATAAATATACATATATCAAAACAAAAAGAAAAAAATTAAAATTAGATTCTTATCTTTGTACTCTATTGCCGAAACAAAGAGGATATTGTGTCTCATATTTTGTTTTACTTATATATATATATTTATGATTAATTACGAGCGTCTCGTGCAATCAAGCCAACAAAATCTATATATATATATATATATACATATCTTAATAGTTCACTCACCGCGTATCGCAAGCATTGTCTTATTCACCAATGTACCAAGTGAAGGAAACATTTTGAAGAAAAACGTTTTTTGTTCAATCACTTAAAAATATCTTATAGGACAGACGATTGATATATCGGTTAATGGCACTTGAATAACATATTACGTAGTATTTAAGTAAAACAACAACAACAACAGCATTAATTTCTTTTGATACAAATCTTATGTATCAAATGTAACGTTCGATAGGTAATAGCATTCGCTTGTCGTCGTTACCGCCCACCGAGTAATGACATCAAGATGTAGAAGAAGAGAAAAAAAAGGAAAGAATGTAAAGCAAAGCTCTCCGATCATTGTACAACGTATATGTATTTTTTTCATTCTCTCTTCGCTCTCTCTCTCTCTCTCTCTGCTTTGTTCTTTCCTATTTGTGTCATCTAGTATAGGAGACTTATGTCCACATACGTACTGCGCTTACGATCACTAATTATAAATCGAATTCTCTAAGATCATTTTTTTTTATTCGCTGATGATAATCCGTTAGGTAAAATATTGATTAAAAAAAAGGCGAGACAGAGTTCTCTTTGTTTGCTTTTCTCTGATCAATAATTCAAATTCTCTAATGAATGAGAACAAATTTTACTAATCGCCAAGATTGATTTGCGTACCAACATTAGCAAAAAAAAGGAGAAACTAATCAAAGACAGACAACTTGTAATAGTTTCTCTAGCCAACAGCTAACATATTCGTAGACTGACTATGTGTCTGCCCGGAAACGATTACCGATAATAATAAAAATGTATATGTATACTCTAATTATTTGTTCACCGAACTTCTCACACCCACCTTTTTTTCTCATCGGTACTTTTTCTTTTTTTTGTTAAACCGACTTTGATTTTTCTATATACACAGCTGACGAAAAGGCATATTTGCATATATATACGCACACATGATATACCGCCTAAGTAAGCGTAAGGCATAGACAATATTCTTTGTAAATTTTTCACTCGAAAGTGATTTGCAAAACATATGCATGATAAACTTACACAAAATCCGGTCAGGTTCAAATCTACTTTGCTTTTTTAATTGATGGCAACCAGAACACAAAGATGACATAGGTTTTTACTTTAATCAAAGTTGTTTGAAAGAAAATACCGATATGTATCGGTTTTATTATCAGTACGAATAATTTGTTTCTCTTCTGTGATTGCGCGTGTCAATTGCACTGCAAATAATATATGTGTAAAAGAATAAAACAAAAAAAAAAGAGGAAAAGAACTATTGTATACTTTCTGTCTATTACTAATATGGACATTTATACGACACTTTTTCTGTTTGGTTTGGTGATGATCGTTGTGCGTCTATATATGACAGACATACAGAACACCATTGAAAGTAGATCATTATTGAAGAAAAAGAAACAGAATGTGGAACTCAATCTGCTTGTAAAAACATTCGTACATATTCTACAGTTATTTTGGCTCTCTGGCACAGAACTAAATCATGCGAAGTTGATTAAATTACAATATCGATATGTTATTTTTTTTCTCTTGTTTGACTTCGCATGTGTATAGGTTATGTTTTTCGAATTATAATTAATGATGTAAATTTGGGTGTGTTAAATGACATTCATGATCGAAATAAATAAGGTTGACACTTTTAAGTATATTTTTTCTGCTGAAAAAAGCAACGAATTTGAGTGAATATTTCAGACTCAATACTACACTCTATTTGTCTTTTTTTTTTCGGTGAAGTACATTGACTCAGTAGATGCTTGATGGTTTTTTTCTTTTCTTTTCTTTTCTGATGCATAACCCATCTCAATGTTTTTATAATATACGAAAAGGAAATCGATTTGAATATTTACTTGGATACATACTTTCTCTATGCCAAAATTTTCGACGTCGTTTTTCAGACGATGATTCACTGTGACTATGCGTTTTTAACAATGATGACATCTTTGTCTTCTTCTTCTTCAATAAATTTTGCTCATCGATGTGATCTAATTGATTTGTACCGTTTGTGGTACAATACAACATCATAATGTTCTTCTTTTTCTTTTTCGATGATATGTCCATATTATAAAATTCATTTTCAGACATTGTTGGAAGTTTTTGACAGGTATCGCCCTGCAAACTATATAATAAAATAAAAGAATTTAAATTTATGAATAAAATTTGAATGATAATTATTGCTTTATTGATTAAAGATTCGTAATTATAGTCGTACAAGTTGTTGCCATACGAACCCGCGTGTGCCTTTATTTCTCTCTCTCTCTCTCTCTCTCTCTCTCTTCTATATACCTCAATTTTAATATAAGCAGATACTACACTGGTTTCTTGTTTTTCTTCTCGTCTGAAAATCATTCTCATTCGTTTAAGCTCCGATGAATAATCCGATACTTTTTTGTTTTCAGCACACACTTATGATCGAGAGAATAAAAAAGAAAAAAGAACAGCCAGAATATCGGAATCCTTCTCTTACGACTACAACAGATCAGCGTAATTTTTGAGAAGAGGAAATATTAGGAAATCAATCAAACAAGGTGAAATAGCAGATTATGTTACCTGGTAATATGGCCATCTTCTCATCGAAATCATTCGAAAAAGAAACATGAGAATAAATAGAGAAACAAAACGTAAATGGATTGAAGTTTTTTTCTATGTATTTTCTATGTATGTAGATCTAAATATACATATTCTACCTTCTCTCTTGAAGAATTTTCAAGTATCTACAGCATTTAAATGTGTCTATAGCAATGGCAACCTTGAAGCTATGTAAAGTAGAGAGTAAAAGTATTTAAAAAAAAAACTATGTGTTCAGCTGTCGATTTTTTTTATAAATTCAAAGAATTATATTTATTTAAAAGCCTAACACTTAATGTTACTATGTAGAGTGATTAAGACTTTAATTTGAAAGAATGTTCATCATTTCTGTTTTTATCTAATCGAACTAAAAAGGTTTTCGCCTTTTTTTTTCTTCTTGTTTTGTTTATTTGTTAACATGATGATCATGGCACTTATCGAACTCTCCTACGGGTAATACTTATTGATTTGTTGGCTTGTATTGGTGCTAAAGAGAAGAGCGAAAAGGAAACCATAGAAGACCGCGAGGAGATGTTTTAAATTGCCTGGGATTACATAAACTCTTGTTTCATAAAGAGAAATACAGTTATTCTAGTACTGTGGTCATTTAATAGATACTGTAATATCATAAATCTATCATTATTCATAGTTTTTTACATCGAATTTCTATGATCTATGCCAATTGAATGTAATCTATGCCGATGAGTTTTCTGTTAAAACAATCAAATGAATTCTACTAAGTCGAATACGAAGAGAAGAGTTTGTTTTAGAAGGCAATTTGTTATTTCGAATTTCTAGTGATGCTTGTGTTTTTCTTTCCTATTTGAAGACTAAATAAATTGACTTATGGGATTTAAATGAAGAAAATTTAGGTTCGCTAAAAATAAAATTACAATCGATAGTGGAAAATCAGAAGTCGTATAAATCAAAAAAAGAAAAGAAAAACAATGCATGAAATGTTTGGATGGTTCAAGTTTTTATCATTTTTATAAGACTCTCTACAACTTATTAATCCATTACACCGATCGGAATAAGTTTTATTTTTTAACTTATTGCTTTTAGCTACTTAAGAGATCGTTCTCAAACAAAGCATTTCAATGTATTCATCAATCTATCAACAACAATGGATATTTTTCTTTTGATCATTGAAAAAGAAAATTTACCTATCATGATCATGATCATAATCATTTAAATCTTCATCAGTTGTTGCTGAACTTTGAGTAGAATATGTAACTAATGGTGTACATATTATATGTTGATTTGATATTGGTCGAGGAATTTTCGTTTTCATATTTGATGATCGACTACTATTTATGGATGATGCTGGAGAATATTCACTTGTTGTAGCAACTGATGAGGATGTTGATATTCGAATCGGAATTTTCGATGTTGTCTCTCGTCGTTCAATTCGATAAGTTAAAGAGGGTGATGGAGTACGTTCAACTAATTTATCTGTTAATGCTATTGAGGGATCATGCGAAATCGCACGACGTTTCGGTTTATTAAATACGCGTCGTTTACTTGTTGATTTAGTTCGTTCATGCTGACGATATTTTGGACACGATGGATCATGATTTCGTTGGTGTTGGTGTTGACGTTTTGAATGATGGGATGAATTTGATAAATCTTTCAATGATTCACATCGGCATGAAGCACATCGTGGACACAATGATACTGGTATTCGTTCTTGTCCCTGTAATAGTGGGTCACACCAATCACGAAGTGTTCCAGCAAAAAGTGTGTGCTCATTTGAAATTGTATTAAATAAACTACTACTTTCAATATGATTCGATGACTCTGACATTGATTCTTCTCTTGTAGTTGATTCAATAGTAGCTGCTTTACAGCCTAAACGAAATTGATATGTAAACATCATAGACTGTAGATTGTTCATTTAAAAGAATAAGAACACAAAGAAAAGAAAATGAAGAACGATTGAGTTAGTTACAATACAGACAAAAGGAGAACGTATAACACATACTATACAAGCGTTATCATTCACTAACGTTATACGAGTTCAGGGTTAAATTGAACTTTTCGACACCTATTCAAACGTCAATAGTATAATTATTAGGACAATTATTTTTGTTTTGCTTCTTTGTCAGCTGTCCTTCAAAATACTTAACCTATCTAAACGGCGAAATACAAATAGACAAAGATAGTTTTTATTTGGTCTACATGGTAAATGCCTCGAGCTAAGGCCGGTATAAGAAGAGAGAGAGAGGGAAAAGTAATCCTCTCCCTGGAATTAATGCTTTCAAATGGGACTTGTGCATCGTTAGACATTCGCAATGTGTCGGCGAAACAAAAAAAAATTGAAACACAACTAACACCATCAAACGGAAAAAGCGAGAAAGAGTGAAGAGAAAAAAAAGGTATAATAGATGACACAATGCTCTCGCTTTCTCTCTCTCTCACTATCAAATGCACAGACTCATACATCATCGTCGTCGTCGTCGCAGAAACGGTTATTAAATAAATGGAGAAGAAGAGAAAAAGATCGGACAATGACAGATAACCCCTTAGGTGACATTTAAATTCAGACATCAGATGGGTTGACAAATCGTGCCATTTTCTCCGCATAGTATTTAACTTATAATACAACGCATAAGGGATAAACAGAAAATTGCATGCAAGTACCTCAACATGCACACTCATACGTCAATAAGAATAACCAATTAAAATGAAAGGTGGTTACGCTTTTAAGAATCATTATTGATCAAAATGAGTGTTAATACGTATAGGTCATTTCTTTAGTCTGTCTAAGATTTTTCTCGTTAATAAGTCTAGTCTAGTTTCTTTTTTTTCTATTATTTCCGTTATTTTATTCTGTTGTCTGCTTTCAAACAAAATAATTTCCGAGCGACTGTCCACTAGTAAGATGATGGATTGAGATAATGCATGTCAATTACAGTACGCACACTTACGATGTCACATGTATACATACGTATATGATTGAAAATGACAATTTAAAAAAAGAGTTTTATGTCTAAAGTAAATTATCTAATATATACAAAAGAAATGAAGAAAAAAGAAAAGAAATTTCATTAAAAAAAGTAAATCAAAGGCTCAAGATGAAAAATGCTATTCAACACTCTTTAATTCGCTTTCTATCGCATATGTCAAGTGCCTGATGAAGACAATAAGTGTACTATTGATATTTAATTCAGAAAGAAAAAGGTTCAATGTTATTTTTGCACGAGAGAATATTTATCATCCGAAAAAAATTTGATTTGATTAATCAATACTTGCATCTACTTATTTATTTTATCATATCTTAGGCTTAGCAATGAATTAAATATAAGTGTCTATCTAAAACAACAGGAAATGTTAGAACGACGGTAAAATTCTCTTCCTCCTTCTGCTTCTTATCACAGAGACTACTACCTGATCGATGCTCATTTGATGATGTGAGTAGTCCGCATGAACTGCATATAGTGAGCATGACGTGTATGTTGATTATTAATGTCGATGTTTGATGATGAAAGGAGCTTTGTTTTTTCAAGTGAATGCGGGTTTGTGTTTAAGATAGAGACAACCTTTTTTCTTCTTCTCTTCTTTTGTTACGTTGTCAAAAAAAAAGGAACAACGAAAGATTGAGTTGCTGTTTGTCTACATGCTGTATTGATACTGATAAAAAGATACCTTACACCTGGTCACATTTTTTTTTCTATTATTTCGTATCCTATAAGAGTCAAAAGAAAAGAAAACTATCTCTATGAATGACTGTTTGTTTTAAAGGCAATCAGCTTTGTATCAATACTCATGAACATCTAAGTGCGACCTCATATGTATAAAAAAGATTATTATTGTTATAATACAATATTGAAGAGAAAGGAGAAAAAAAGTATTCAAATTCGTATGTTACATGTACACAGACTGAATAAGATGAATGATTATCGAATTTATGTGTTAATGTTAATGTTAGACAATCTTCTAAATCGGATATTCAAACTTTACTTTCAAACAAACTGATGAGCTGCTCGTCAAAAAATTTTAATTATCGAGAAAAATGAAAGTGAAAAATTGTCTTGAATAAATTTTTATTTAAATTTTAAATAATAAATAAAAAGAACATAATTCAATCACATTTTCGTATGTGTTATGCTTCTTGATCAAATATAAAATGAAAAGAAAAAAAAATCTTCGTTGCACACTAAATTCTTACACTGAAAATAGAATTAATGCTGTTTTAAGAGGGATAAAGATAGAATATCAGTTATCTTGTATAAATAGTGAAATATTTTATTTGACTATCGTAGATTTCTTTAGTAATTTCAGTTTTTATCTCTATATTTCTTCTTTAAATCTTTGGCATAGTTGCAAACCCTTAGTAAATACATAAATCAAAAGAGAGTTTAAAAGACTTCTCTGTCCTTCTGAAAATAGATCGTATTTTTCAGGTGTTTACAGTTTATATGTATAAATTAATATCAAGGTTTGTCTATGAACAATATTTTACTTTCGCTTGTAATTGAATAATGTATTATAAAATTTATTGCTTTCATGCATTATATTCTAAGGACACATTGACTTTTTTTCTATTTGTGATATCAACGATTTATCAAGTCTGTATTAGTTTAGTTCTTATGAACTATTGCAAAGATCATCAGAATATTCGACCTTACAAGTTTGTGTGAATTAAAAATTGTAATACCCGCATCAATGTCATTTGTTATTTGATTAGCAAAACACATGATGATTTATTTCCTTTAAATATGAAATCAAAAAGAAAAAAAGTTTCATTTTCTGTTTTTGTTCTTATTTGACGCAATGACTATATTTAACGTTGTGATAATTGACCAGGAGGTGAAAAGAAACCACCAGATGCTTTACTTGCAGCACGTGATGGAGCAACTAAATCATACAGAAATTAACAAAATCTTAATCAAATTAAATACTTACGACCAAATATTTTTTGAACATTCTAAAAGGAAATAAAATTTTATGGATGAAAATTGTTTTTATTGTATTTTACTTGTCGAATAGACATGGTGCATAAAACATATAGAAAAATGAATGAACAATCAGTAAAATCATCGCCAGATAAATTTCTATGCGATAATCCACGTATCCAAAGAATTGGTTCGAATGGAAGTTTAGCAACAACACGACCTTCAAAACTAAAATATTCAATAGGAATGTTCTATTCGTTTTTCTTATAAAGATTCGAACTTACATTGAATTAAACATGCCGAGTAATGCCATAAATGTAAAACTTGATGCAAACATTGATTTCATTTTTACCATTGATAAATCTCGATTATTAACTTTTAATTTTTCTTCTTGTCGTTCTAAAATTTCAGAGAAAAACAAATATACATCAATAAAGAAATATGTTATTTACCAAGTTTTCGTTTTTGAACTTTATCTGCTGCTTCACTAACAGTTTCTTTTTGACGTTCCACTATTGAATGCAAAGAAATTCATCATGAACTAATAATTTTCAAAGCAAAAAAAGTAAAAGGTTCAACTTACATCGTTTACTTGCTTTTTCAACTTCACCTTTCAATCTTTGATACTTTTCTGTTCGATAGACAAGCAGCCATGTGAGACCTAAATGAATCAAAAAGAAACTACTTGTAAAAAAAGAGAGCTTTTACAGTAGCAACAAAAAAACCTCACCTTCACCAAGTAATGCAGTCGCAATAGAAATACAAACTATTAAAATCGTGTCAGAAATCATACTGAGAAACAGTTGATGAGATGGACAAAAAAAAATAGAAAACGAAACAATATGCGATGCGTAATCTATCTACACAGCATCGAAAGACATTGGTCTAAACACATCACCATTCATTCTCTATTTTATGACAGATAGCGCTAGATTGCAATATGCTTTGGATGTGGGTGTAGCTGGATGGAGAATAGGGGTGGTACTTTATCTTTCTGGAGAAGTAAGATGAAGTAAAAATTAGATAATGGAAAGCATATAGCTGTTTATTATTGGCTGATTTTTTCATTATGACACATTAAAGAGCTTCCAATATGTCAATATTTGTTTTAAATTACGGACTTGGCGTCATAAAAACTCGGGCCATAATTACATTAGTGTTTTAGAATTGATATGAGCCCTGATTATTTCCAAGATCCTCTTCATTTGTCTAAAATCCTTTTGATCGTCGTTTTGATATTAATCTTTTTAGTTCGATAATACTAAATACTTCGAATACGAATATCAATTTATTTTCAAAGTACAGTTGGATAATAAGAAACATATCAAGCACTCCCAGAAAGTCTTACAAAACCAGTTGTCAAACATAGGATCACATGGTGCAAAAGTCTTTTATAGGTGAGAATAAATAGGAAGCTACCAAATATTCGATGTTTTTTCATGGATGATAGTCAAGCACTTAGGAATTTGCAAGATGATGGCAGTTGCTTTTCGTCAAGACTTAGACGACGCATTTTAGTTGATTAAAAATCATTCTAGTACATGGTAACAATAATTAAAGATTATTCATACAGATTTAAAATCCATTAGGCAGTATAAGAAGAGCAAACAAGCAACCGTGGATTAGGGCAAAAAATACCGCTTCATACATCCGTAAACATACATGAGCCGATTGGGTAATTCTTGTCAAACCCTATCAGATCAAATAAGATTCCAAAGCAAAAGAAACACACAGTAGTATGTAATGCAGATCTTGTCTGGTCATATATGATCATACACGATCTGTCGTTGCCCTTTTCTGTTTCGAAAATTAATTAATCGAACTTCGTATTATGAAACAATGTGGATAATAAATAAAATTATGCTTTATATATCAATTTTTGATATTATTGAACTACAGTATTGAGTTTTAGCGTCATAAATAACTGTTTTTAAGACAGACCATCAACAAGACATTGATTTATCTCTTAAATGTAGTCATAAGTCAGTTTTTCCCCTTCAAATATATTCAAGAAAAATATGGATGTTGCATGGCTGTGTCCCATATAATTATATTTTGTAGGCTTGCCTATATACTTCGTGCCCCGCAAATGACTTGACTAGCGTCTCACCATATATAACAATCCAAAGAAAGTTCACATTGATGAAATCGAGTGCAGCGAGAAACACTAGTTATAAGCATTTACTTTTCGTTTCACTTTCATCAAACTCAAATTGATTGAATGAGAATTTCAGAAAAAATCAAATAAACTATTATAACGCATACCCACGTTCTCGTGTCATAGAACCCCAATACATATTCAGCTGCAGCCCATTCCAATTCATTATTTTACCCAACAGAATACATTTCAAACACGCTTGCTTTCTTACGAAATAATATTAACATAAAGTGCTGAGTTTAGTGCTAACACATTTTCGTTTTTACTATAACTGAGCCATATTTATGGCTAGAGACTGATTCCCTCACCACTAGACACATCAGCTTAAAAAGGGTGTGGGTGTGATTGAGTTAAAAATACAGTCACATCCACACACTTACACTCTCCGCCACCCACACTCACATACCATTAAGTAAAAAAACAATTTCCAATCAATTAATTCATTTCATTTTCTTGTTTTTCTTTCAGTTCAATTTCCACATAGACCATTTAACACTAAATATATGTATTTTTTTCAATTTGTTACAATTAATTGAGATTGTATAATTCGTTGTTTTTTCTTCTCGTTTTTTATTGTAAATTTTTTCATTAGTCCTTTTTTATTTATGTTAATTTTCTTTTCAACGTAATTTTTTATTTAATTCATTCATTTTTCTTATTGTCAACATATAAGAGAAAAACAAGATGCAATATTATATTTAGCTTTTTTCTTTTCCTTCAATCGAAAGAGAGAAATAAAATTTCATTTCTTTTTCATTTATTTCAAAGCAGAAAAAGAAACGAACAAAAAAACCAATTCACATGCCTGATTCGATAGAAAATCGTTGAACACGATGATTATTATAATCGGTGACATAGAGATTGCCATGTCGATCGAAAGACAAACCCCAGGGCCAGTAGAACTGATTTGTTCCTTCTCCTTGACCATTTCCACCCATAATTACAGTACCTCGTTTCGCTCCTTGAATCCAACGCATCACACGATCATTCCCCTGGTCTGCTACATAGAGAGTACCCAATGTGTCGACGAAGAGTCCATTAGGCCGATCCAATTGTGTCAAAGCACTCCCTTTACCTTGACCTCCAGCTACCATGATGCCTTCTTTTGCACCTTTCATCCATTTCATTACACGATGATTTCCGCAGTCTGATATGTAGACATTCTGTTGTTGGTCGACAAAGAGATATCGCGGCGAATTGAGTTGATTGAGATCACTACCTTCGCCATTTCCACCCGCTACGATAGTGCCATTTCTATATCCCAATTGATATCGTCTTACTTCATGTCTTTCGCGATCAGAGACGTAGAGATATCTCTGCTCATCTATAGCCAATCCGTAACATCGGATGTTGTCAATGAGTATTTCTCCTTCTGTTGTACCCCTACGACGAGACCATCGTACTACGCGTCGATTGTTTTCATCACAAATAATGAGACTATCCGTCTCTTTATCAATCAATACATCAATTGGATACCTCAATTGATTCAATCCATTTCCTTCGCCTTTGCCACCAGCAACAACTTGTCCATTCGTGGTATCATCTTTCTTCCATTGGATGATACGATGATTCATCCAGTCAGCAATAACCACTGTTTGATCATCATCAACAAAGAGACCATGAGGACAGTGCAGTTTTTTGGTGCCATTGCCTTTCCCATTACCGCCAGCAATAGTCACACCTTCCTGTGCCCATTTGGTATTAGCAGGAATATTAACTAGAAGAAAACGTAAAATCAAAGGAGATCGTTCTCGTAGATGGTAGTGTGAAAAGAACTACTCTCGAAAGCATTCTTAGTTAATCCGGTAGTATATGAGATCACTATCATAATTTCGAAAGTATAGAGGAAAATTCCTTTAATAGATGTTTTTTGTCGAAAATTCGAAGAATTATACAAAGATTTGAAAGAGACAAATGAAAAGTTATATTATGATTATGTCTAGTTCGATTGTGTATATCCATCTAAATACACACCCACATCCAAAGAGTTCATTCAAAGCAATTAACTATTCAGTGATATCTTTCGTCATCATAAAAAAGATGCTATTTTACAGAGAAAAAGTATAATGACTTACCACAAGTACTGTTATTATTTGAAGCTAATGGTTGATCATTATTATCATCAATTGCAATTAAGTGTACAACGTATGAACCATTCAATTGAGCCAAAGGATCACCTTTTACACGAAATTCGGAACCCATTCGTAGAATAACTTCATCTTCATTTTCATATTCCGTATATCCAGAAATTTTTTTTCCATTCATAGTTTCAATTAAAAATAGAGTTGAGTTTTGAGTGCCTCCAAGAAAAGTTTTAATAACGTTCGGTGATGATGAACATGAATTAACACTCCACCACGTCACAGTTTGATTTTTAATGAAATTCTTACCAATATCAATAGGTATACCTCTCCATACTGCTTCTTTGACAGTAGGCAGCTTATCTAATGCTGTATCAAATAGTTTTAAGTACGGAAACCATATCTTTAATGCTTGCCGATTTTCTGATCGTAATGCTTTATTCAAAACACGATACAATGTAGTATCGCCCCATTCCATTGTATAAATATAGATCGCAGCTGATTGATCTTGTGTTAGTCCATGTTCGGATGGGAAATGACAGTGTTTTTTAGCTATTTTTATAAAACGAGGTAGTTCTTCAATTTCAGACTCGATAGGTTCCAGTGCTTTTTCTATTGTAACAGATTTTTCAGCGTGATAGCCATAAATAGGTGGAAGTCTTTTATTTGAAGCGTCAATATCACCAAAACGATTCATTATACCGATGTTTTATCTACTGTTACAGATTGATTACAAATTCAAAGCTATTGAAAAAGATATCTGAAATAAGTTGATTAAAATAAATATGATATCAAGATATTATTCTTGAATGCACAATATCTGGAAGGTGAGATAAGGTGAGTGTGAGTTAATTTCTGTACAATGCTACCAATTAGCCACACTCACACCCACTTGTTGTCCAAATGGTCTTTGTTGAAAATACCGATATTAATCAAAACATAAAACTCTGCTTCGTACGTACGCAAGCAGCGTATGACTCATTGCAAATTAGAAAACAAGTTTGAATAAAAAAAAATCGAACACGGTGTTGAATCTATCTATGCGGGTGAAGTTACGTTTTCTACTTTTACTGTTTCTATGTCTCTGCGTTTAGAAATTTTCTCATTCTTACTCTCATTTACATTTAAAGTTTACAATTATAGCTTTATTTTGAGTAATCTCAGCTTTAAAAAATAGGGGTTCAAATATGGTAATTTGGGTTTCTTGTAATGTATAACATTTCAAATAGTGTCTTGTATTTTTCGAATCCTTCCGAATAACTTACCATGACCGAGAATTAAAAAATCAATGATGTGTTATGGTTGTTGTTGTTGTTGAAAAGAATTCAATTTTCACCTGATAATGTTTATTTGACTTTTTTCAAACGTTTTTTTTTCTTACCTTTTTTTTGCATAGCGACATAATTCAATGCAATTCTTTTCTTTTTTCAAGCATGTACGCTTTTTGGAGGAGGACTGCACCATGACAACAATAGACATTCAAACCAGTGGCGGAATCAGGGGGGCTAGGGGGGGCTCAGCCCCTCCCCCCTAGCGAGATTTTATAAAATGCATTTTTTTATATAAATATGTAGTAATCTTTCCAATTTCATGTTTTAGCCAGTGTCGCCCGCTATGAAACTCAAAAACTCCTGCAAGAATCAAGAAAAAATTTCAAAATCTTCAAAAATTCTCCAAAAATCTAAAAAAGCTTCCGAAATCCGAAAAAAACATAGTGAAATTGTCAAAATTCCCAAGAAAAATCCAAAATAACTTTCAAATTCTCAAACAATTCACGGAAATTTTTTCCGGGGGCTTAGCCCCCTGAGATGCTAGGTAGTCAGCAAGCTCGTTACAAAATAATGATTTCGAATGATTTAGTGAAAATGCTCTTGATAAGTTATAATAAGTGGTTGAATATAGTTTACAGTTGTATGTTCAATACTCAATGTAAAACAATAAATTAAGATCTATTCTTATCTTTTTATGCAACAAGAACAAGTAAACTATATATATACAATAATTAATCTAACTTCTTCGAGCGCCAACGCGAAACGAGCTTTTCATCGAAATAGAACACGAAGAACTAACGTATCAAGAAAGACAACGAAAGGCGAACTAGAAATCAGAAACCAAACAATCGACAACACAAGTAACGACACACTGTGCCGTTACAAGACTCTCCCACTACAGAAGAGTTCCGAAGCTCCTGCGACTAAAATTTGCAATAAGACCACGAATGTTGTATACATATTTTTCTTTTTGATTTTTAAATAATTCCGATTATTGGATTGTGAATATACGAGAAGAATACTAAGTGTAGAAAAACATCATTTGTAAGAAGAAAAACTTCATTCTTGAACTTCGATGTTTGAACGTTTTTAAGTAATTGAATATCCGTAACTGAGGAGCAATAGAACAGAAGTATTAATCTTAGATGTCATTAGTTAAACAAGATCAGCTAAGTTGCCAATTGGACAATACATGTTAAATAGTTTATTTCACGATCGAATATAACATTGGCAGATGAGTAAATGAGTATGCATATATCGGTGTAAGAATTATCAAACAGATGAAGAATTATTCTAATGTAAAATAAGTCAGTTTCAGATAACGAGGAGAAATAATTTAATTGTTAAACACATGAACATCATTGATCATTCACGACATTCGTTGCTGTGAATGAATAATAAGGTGTAAGTCGTTCTATATGTATTGGAGATAAACGACGATGAGAAATAGTATGTTCTAATTCGTAAGTAACTGATGATAGTTTAGTCATGATTTTATATGGACCTTCTCTTCTAGGTTGCATTTTACCACCACGCCATTTGCCCATCGCTATACCGGATAAGCTTGCCACCCACACTAAATCGCCTAATTCAAATTCTAATGGACGACGATGAATATTGTAATTACGAGTTTGCGTTTCATGAGAAATATCAAGTAGTTCACGTGCGATTTTGTAAGCAGGTAATAATTCTTCTAACAATCGTTTACGATAAGTAGATAATTCATGTGAAGATGGCAACTGGTCAGTAACAGGAGGTGGCGATAAAAGTAAATCGAGTGGTTGCCGTGGATGGCGACCGAACATAAGAAAAGCAGGTGTATTTTCTGTTGACTCGCTTGGAGCAGTGCGTAGAGCAAATGCAATTTGTGATAATTTTAAGTCCCATGATTTTGAATCATTATGCGCAAGTGACGCTAATAGAGGTTTTAATGTACGATTAACACGTTCACTTAAATTACTTTGTGGATGGTAAAGAGGAGTGCGTTGATGATGAATACCGAGAAGATCACATAATTGAGTAAATACTTTCGAAAGGAATTGCACACCGTTATCAGATATAACACGAATAGGAAATCCGAAGCGGCATATAACTTCGTCGAGAAAAACTTGAGCAATTGTAGCTGCTTTAATAGATTGAAGTGGAAATAGTTCTACCCATTTGGTAAAATAATCGACTACCACTAGAATAAAGCTATTACCTCGCCGAGTTTTTGTAAATGGTCCAGTGATGTCAATGCCGACTGTATGCCATGGTTCTGAAACTATGACTGGTTTCATCAATCCAGCTGGTTTTTGATTAGTCGGTTTGTATTGTTGGCATAAGATACATGCTCGTACATAATTAGCAACATCACGCCGCATATGAGGCCAATAGAAACGAGAAATTAGTCGAGACAATGTTTTACGACGACCGAGATGAGCAGCTGTGGCATGGTCGTGAGCCAATTGCATGATTTGTGACACTTCTGACGATGGGATGACAAGAAGTAAACGTTGAGATGATGAAGATGTAATAGGCTGTTGATTATCAGATGAACAGCGAGTAAGAAATATACGATAAAGACTTCCATCTATTACTCGATATAAACGGGCTAAAGTATAAAATTTGTTAAGATTTTCAACTGTTGGCGCTATTTGATTTTGAAGATAATTGAGTAATGGTAAAAGCGACGAATCTTTCCATTGGGCTGCACGAATTTGTTCATATAAATCAATATTTTCAGCAAAATGAATATTGGCTATAGTCGTATCTAATAGTTGAGCAGATGTTGTAGGAGTAGGTAATAGATAAATCGGAATCGATAAATCTTGTGGAGGTAGTAAATCATACCGAAAATAATCAAGAAGTAGTAAAGCACCGGGATCAGTTGAAGTTAAAAATAAATGATCGATAATATTATTATTGACAACGTCAGATGTAAGTGTAGATATCATAGAAAATTCATCATCATCATTATTATTAATAGTAACATTAATAGGATAACGAGACAATGCATCAGGTGGTCCATTTTCTCTACCAGGCCGGTGTTGAATATCAACATCATAAGCAGCAATTTGAATCGCCCACCGGGCCAATCGACTATTCAGATCTTTGGTTGAATGAAGCCATTTAAGAGCTTTATGATCAGTTACAGCAGTAAAGCGAGTACCTTCGAGATACGGACGATAATAATTACATCCATAAACAATTGCTAAACATTCACGTTCTGTTGGACTATATTTACGTTCAGATGTAGAAAGTGTACGACTAGCATAGCCAATAACATGTTCTCGAGAAATACCATCATCATCCATTAGTTTTTGAGCAAGAATAGCTGAAAGACCGACATCAGATGCATCTAATTGTAAAATAAATGGTTGATCAAATCGAGGATAAGCAATAATTGGAGCTTCAATTAAGCATTGACGTAATGTATCAAATGATTTTTGACAGTCTTCAGTCCAGTTAAAAATTTTGAAATGAGAACAACGTGTAAGCGCAATTAAGGGTTCAGCAATTGTAGCATAATTCTTAATAAAACGACGATAATAGCTTGAAAGGCCGAGAAAAGTACGAACAGCTTTTAATTTTGTTGGTACAGGATATTCACGTACAGCTGTTAATTTGTCAGGATCTGGTCGAATTCCTTCTTTTGAAACGATATGACCGAGATATTTCAGATGAGTTTTACAAAATTGGCACTTATTTATTTTGAGTGTTAAACCACTTTGTTGAATTTGTTCAAGTACAAGTTCGATATGATGTAAATGATCGTTGAAAGAAGATGAATAAACAATTATATCATCAAGATAGACTAGTGCGCATGACCACTTTAAACCACCTAACACTAAATCCATCAAACGTTGAAATGTAGCTGGAGCATTGGTTAGACCGAATGGCATTACACGAAAACGAAAGAGACCAGCATGACATATAAATGCAGTTTTATCACGACTAGCTGAATCAAGTTCGATTTGCCAAAATCCACTTCGAAGATCCATTGATGTAAAATATTTTGCATGTTGTAATTGATCGAGAGTGTCATCAATGCGTGGTATTGGATAAACATCACGTACGGTAACAGCGTTTAATTCACGAAAGTCGATACAAAATCGCAATGTACCGTCTTTTTTTGGTTGTAATGTTATTGGTGCAGCATAGGGACTATTACATGGTTCAATAATACCAGCATTTATCATTTTTGTAATTTCAGTAGAGATTATTTCTTTTCGTGCAGGTGAAACACGATACGGACGTAATTTAATTGGTTTAGTGTTACCAGTATCAATATGATGCTGAATTAGAGAAGTACGTCCTAGCTGATCTTCAAAGCATTTATAGTATTTAACAAGAAGCAATTTTAATTGTTCACTTTCATTGATTGTAAGATCAGTATCACTAAGATTTAAATCGGTTAGGAAATCATATAGCTTAACAGTTGATGTATCATTCTGCTCAGTAAATAGTGTATCAGGTTTAAGGCTAGAATGAAGAGAAAATATTATCGAAGCTTGTAAGTTAGACGAATTCGGTTGAACATAATTGGATAATTGTATATTTTGTTGATTAATATCAGTAGAATTGTTACATGAACAATTTTTATTCTGAGGTGATTTATCAAATTTATTATAACAATTAATTCGACGAGAGAAATCAGTAATATTGAACAACGATGTTGATGTTGACAGCAGAGGTGAAACGCAATTAGAATTATTAACATCGTCATCATATAAATCTGCAATAGCCAAATATTGACCAGGATAAATGACTTGAGATTTTGATGAACAATTGATAACTTGAATCAGGCAGCATTGGTTTTTAATACGAACTAAAGAGTTAGCAGCAATAACATGTCGTCGAATACCACTAACTGATGCTTCCCAAGCATCTGATGAAATAGAATGTGGTGTTTTAACTTGAATAAATGCAACATGATATGGTGGAATACTACGTCGTTGAGTAGAAATAAGTGGTATGTCAATGCGTCCTGCATTTATAATATCGGATGAAATGTCATACTTGAGATCAGGCATAGAACGTATCCACATTTTATTAGCTTGAATATCAAGTACAAGCCCATTAGTCTTCATAAAGTCATTACCGATTAAAATGAAATGTGTAAATTTTTTAGCTAAAATAGCTTTATGTGGAACAATAATACCAGCGATAGCAATATCAACTATCACCCATCCAACAGGATTAATAGAACTACCTTCAGGTCCTTGAATGTCAGGACCGATGTATGGTGTAGGTCTAATAGATTTATCACCAATAATAGACCAATGTTGAGAACTAATTATAGTGCGACCGGATCCTGTATCAAGAAGTACAACACCACGAATACCATTGATTTTGGCTTCAGCTATCAAATAAGATGCAGATGATGAAGCGGGTTTAATGCCATTGAAAAAGGATGATTGTGTATCAGAATTTATATCGCTTGATGTAGTTGGTGATGTAGATGAAGCTATTGGTATATCTAAATTCGTATATGGATCAGTAGTAATAGATGTAGAAGAAAGAGCTTGAGATGATGTTATAAATGGTTCACTCGATGATAAAGAGGGTAAATTATGTGAGGAGATTGATGTCGGAATCGGTTGCTCCTCTATGGCCGACTCCCCTAAATGTTTTTTGACATCGAATATTGGTGTTGATGATGCGGTTGCTCTTTTTGTTGATGAATAGATTCATATGGATCTGGTTGTTGATAGTAATGCTCGCTATTACTGTTTTGTTGATGATATTGTTGAGAATAATGAGGCAATAATTTTGTTTGAGGACAAGATTGCTGTTGTTGTAAATAGCGATCTTTTTTTGGATCATAATTAATACCATTTGGATTAGAATAACAGTAAAGCCAATCATGAGTTGCACTTGAACAAAAAGAGCACCATCGATTATTATTTCGGGGTCTTACCGTCATATTTTGATGAAAATTTTGTCGAGAGGTAAAATGTTCGTGGCGAGTTTGAGATGATCGAGTAGGTAATGTTATTGAATTTGTAAATGTTCTGGAATATTTATTATTGGTCGGATGATTTTGGTTATGTTTGTTACTTGTGATGCTAAAATTATTATTATAATTATCATTTGACATTTGCTCATTACAAGTTGTCGAAGATGATGAATTTTGCTGAAAAGTATTTGACAAGTTATTAATAGTTGTAGGCTTTTTATTAATGTTGTCTTCTTTATGTGCATCACGAAGTTTGTCGTCAATTTTTTGTCGAACAATATTCGATTCAATTTCGATTGCTTTGTGAACAAGATCAGATAAATTAGATGTTAAACCAAGTGTCATTTTATCACGTATATCTTTTCGGAGTTTCTGTAAAAATTTTCTTTTAATATAATCCAAAGATGTTTGCGGTTCGATTTCCGACATTAATGCTTTTAAACGTTCAAAATAATCTGCAGTTGGTTCGTTATCACCTTGCCACAATGTACGTAAACAGCCATGTAAAGATTCAATTTTCTCTGGAGTTCGAAATCGACTTAGAAATAATTGTTTAAATTGTCCCCATGTACTAACAGGTTGTTCTTGATGTGTTTGAATATACCATGTGAGTGCGGTTTCTGATAAAGATTGTTGCACAGCTCGTAGTAAATAATCATCATTATAACCAACAAGACTTGTTGCACGTAATTCAAATTCAGTAACAAATTTCGTTGGCATTTCACACTCTTTACCACTAAAAGTAGGCAAATTGTGTGCGAGAGACATAGTAAATGGCATAAACGATGTCGATGCTAATGTATTTGTAGCTAAACCTGTTGCTTGAGGTTTAGCAGCAGCAGTCATTGGTGTAAATGCAGATGTATGAGAATTATTACATAGTGGTGTTGTAATAGGTCTCGATGGTGCTTGTAGAAAATTATTATACATATTTGATTGAAAATGACGAATTTCAGTTATCTCCTTTTTGAGATCATCAATTTGAGTATTACGATATTCAAGTGATAAACTTAATTTATGTAATGCTTCATGTAACATACGTGTTTGATTAGCATCAGCTATTGTATCAGGATGATACGATGGTGGTGTTTGAACTGAACGAGAATTAAAAATTTCATTAGGATGTTGAATATACACTTGTCGATTTGATTCATTAGAATCAGCATATTGATGAGTAACAAATTCAGGCAAACAATCATGAACTGAATTTGGTCGAGAATATATATGTGGTGAGTATGGTACAGAATTAATGACAGGTTTCACATGATTCAGTTGATTATTTAAATCATTTATAACTTTTTGCAAATGAATTATTTCTGATTGTTGATCCTGTAATGCTTTATTTTGATTAGCAATTTGTTTTTCAAGAAAACGAATCGGAGAATTCGGTTTGCAAACTTGCTCTAAGTCCGTCGATTTACAAGCCGAAGAAATTTGTTCGGAACAAATCAGATTAAATCTTGTATTTGGTGGTTCTGATGCAATTTTTTGAAACGATGATCTATTAAATATTGACTTTGATGTTGCTGAGTCATCAGAATCATAATTTTTATCAGATTGGTTTGGTGCTAGGTCATCAGCGATAGACATATCTGATAAATGAGAATGATAAGGACAACAAGAAAAATATTGTGAGAATGGTATTGTTATAATATTGATGATTTTTATGTTGATACGTCGAGAAATATTTCAAAGTCAATTAAATAAACATATATTTGTATATAATCAAACCCAACCCAGGACTGCGCCACTTGAGATGCTAGGTAGTCAGCAAGCTCGTTACAAAATAATGATTTCGAATGATTTAGTGAAAATGCTCTTGATAAGTTATAATAAGTGGTTGAATATAGTTTACAGTTGTATGTTCAATACTCAATGTAAAACAATAAATTAAGATCTATTCTTATCTTTTTATGCAACAAGAACAAGTAAACTATATATATACAATAATTAATCTAACTTCTTCGAGCGCCAACGCGAAACGAGCTTTTCATCGAAATAGAACACGAAGAACTAACGTATCAAGAAAGACAACGAAAGGCGAACTAGAAATCAGAAACCAAACAATCGACAACACAAGTAACGACACACTGTGCCGTTACANAACAATAAATTAAGATCTATTCTTATCTTTTTATGCAACAAGAACAAGTAAACTATATATATACAATAATTAATCTAACTTCTTCGAGCGCCAACGCGAAACGAGCTTTTCATCGAAATAGAACACGAAGAACTAACGTATCAAGAAAGACAACGAAAGGCGAACTAGAAATCAGAAACCAAACAATCGACAACACAAGTAACGACACACTGTGCCGTTACACCCCCCCTAGCCCAGAATCCTGGGTTCACCACTGATTCAAACGAAGAGTAACTGACGATTAATGTGATTGCTTATTTCTTTTCTTAATAGTAATAATATAAAAAAGTTGTTTTATATATTAGAAAATAAAAAACAACCCTCTAAATTAACATCACTAACATTTCACACAAACAACAAACACTATTAGACAATTTACAAATATGAACTATTGTAAAATTGATCAGAAAAAATATATTACACTAGGCAAGAGCGGCTGAGCTGCGATTCGGCCTATATTTCCTATAATTCCTATATTTTCAAAAAAGTCTTATTTTTGTCCTATATTTTATCGAAGAAAGTAGAAAATTTCCGAAAAGCTCTTAATTTTGCTATTGTCTTTAGACGAAAAAAAAACTTTTAATGTGTATCATCATGTGTTTTGGGCAAATCCTTGTATTATAGCGACATTTGTTTCAAAATACAAAATAGTTCAAAAGAAGAAAAACATTCACGCAGTGATCATGTACCAGTTTTTTTTGTGAAGTTTTAGTTAGACATAAAAGCTGTATATATATATACCACTGGAAAAATAAGTTTCACTATCTATTTTGAGGATACTGTTACCAAAAGAACATATTTTATTTTAAGTAACCACATTTTTTGAAAGCTCGTGAAATTTTACACCATCCTGTGTATATGCATTTTCATTTACTCTTATTTATTACCAGAAAAAATTGAGTTATGATAAAATACAAAATAAACTTGTGGAAAATAATAAGCAATGAATGCTGATTATCAGGACAATAAAATTAGGTTGAGATTTTTTTGGGAAGTCATGTCCGTAATCTGAAATGGCTCTTTTTATTATGAGAAATAGCATTTGTTTTTTCAAAGCTTATGATTTACTTTATTGTTATTTATCGATTTGTGAAAAACTTTTATAATGATCCTCGAATTGGTGACTTATTTCAGTAGAAAAGTTACATAAGGATCTTGGCTATGGTTGAACTGTTTATAACAGCTTCATTAAGACGATTTTCAAGCAGAGCTGTTAAAAAACACCAAAACAATTGAACAGAAGCGGTGTATAAAATATTCTCTCTTTTTGTCATTTTTATCGAAAAATCTTATATTTTTGACAATCTTGATCCTCTAAGGATCCCTGGGTGTGGGTGTGGGTGTAGGTATGAATCAGTGTCTATCATCCCGTCGCTCCACACCCACACGCATACACTTATTAATTTAATAGACAAAGAATTCATCTTTTTCTATCAATTGATATAGATAAAAAATAGATAGGGTTTTAATATTATGACAATATGATGCTTCTGTTGTCGATATTTTTTTTAAAAATCTGCCCACACTTATACGTACCCTATTCTAACAAATCCATCTCGGTATGATCGCGGTGAACAACTTACACGGATTAAACCAGAACGATCAATGTCAACTGAGACTCTGATTGAATTATTAATTCAATTAATAAAATGTATTATTAAAAGTGAAGAAATCTATGCAGGAATTAAGACATCATATGTATGCTAAAGATAATCTTGAAACTACCTGAATTAATACAAACTGTTAAACAAAAAGGTTGAACAAACCTTTTAACGGATCGTAATCAATCATTATCAGGTTGATTTTTTTCTCAACAAACCGATGCTGAATTACAATATCATATTCGTTCGAATAGTGAACTTAAACTGCAACCATAATGAAGATAAATGACTATCAAAAAATTAATCAATTTATTTGAGCTCTCCAAATCTCAGCAAGCTAAAAATCAAATATGAATTGGTTGTTATATTGATGATACAACATCGATTGTTGAAAATAACTGTGTAGAGCAAGCTCCAATAGGAATTAAAAATTTTACTTACTCAATGCCATAGAAATCTTGAACAAGAGCCAAAATAATTAATTGAACTGTTTTGGTTTTGAATAACGGGAGAAAATGATTCTATTCAGAAAATCGAAGAACGTCAATCAGCTGAACATGTATAGAAATTAGCAACTAAAAATGGTCAACAATTAACAGGTAACTTCGTTTTCCTCTCAAATAAATTCAATTCTATCATGAATTTCATATATGTAGATAAAATCAGGTATTATTGTACCTCTATTCGGTTTCGAATCCTTAGAAACAAATTTTATGAATTCCATGGTGGAAAAAGAAAAACACAAAAATTAGAGGATCGATTTCGTATGTTATACAATCAACTATGTTTTATTCTTACCTTTGTTTTTGTTTAGAAGAGCTCTATGATCATGTATGCGTGTTTGATAGGAACTTATTTATTTTCCTCTGGTCAAATATTTATTTATTTCACATATTCATTCCTTAACTCAACCGAATAACTGATTATAAATATATTTTAGTTTATTCCAGTGAGTACCCCTGGTTATGATGATCCAAGAAAAGATCGTTCAGGACCAGCTGCATGTCAAGGAATGTCGTTTTTATCGTTTAAATGTTAGGTTGATCTAGTTTATTTCTTAATTCTAGGAAACATTGTTGAAATTGTGTGATGAATTACGACCGAATTTAATATTGACAACTAGTGGAACGGGAAATCAGCCTAGATGATATTACACCAGAAGTATGTGTATTTGTAATTTTTTTATTCAATAGACTCATTTTTACTTGGGGCGACGAGTTAAGTTACTACAAAAGAAATTCCTGATCTAACACAAACAATGATTGCGAAGTCATTAGCAATTGCTCGCATGATTATGCTTTTGAGGTGAAATTCATTCTGTCTTACATGAGCCAAGTTATCTTTCGTTCTGTTGAAGGAATGCTTATAGTTTATTTTGTTCTATAACATGCAACATATTTGATTCAAAATCGGCTTGCTGAAATAGCTATGACATACTAATATGATAATCAAATGTTAGGTCGTTGATTAGTTGTCTACAATGTGAATAGTAAACGTTCAGATGCTGGAGAAGAAAATGTGAATTCAAACTTTTTTAATTCAGACTAATATATCCAAGGGGGAAAAACTCATTCGGGCATTCCCCGCCCTTCCTAACCATTCCAATATATTCCTAGTTATTCTAAAATTTTCTCAAATGGGGATGAACCCTTTTTCTAAATGAATCTTAAGAGAGGGTCCGTGGAACCACTTAGCAGCTTTACTAGGAGTCGGCCGCCGGTGAACTGTTGATTTTCGATTTAACTATCTTAAATCGAAGGTCTAGTCATACCATAAGTGAATCCAAAATATCAGATCTTTCTGATGTGCCTGTGAAAAATACTAGCGTTAATAAGTTATACACCATTTATATTTGGTCAAAAAGTGAAGTTTTTAGGGTGTCATTAGTATTTTGTCCGTTCCTCTACATTTGCTCATTCGTTTGAGTTCAAAAACGTCTCAAAAGATAGAGAAATATTTTCTCTACAAAACGTAGTGATTGATTTGTTTATCCAGCATCATATATCAGTAGATAATACCAATATATAGACAAAAATTACGATTGGTTAAAATGGGAACTTTTCAGTATTTTGACTATAACCATGCCGGATCATGCCATCCCAAAATAGTTCATATATTACCTGAAAGCCCTTGAAATTCTACATCTTCGATAGTATTGCTTATTTAGATAAAAGTTGAGCAAAATAGTTACTCTACACCACAAATGTTGACATTGAATATTTTTCTGTATTCAATCAGATCCTTGATTAGTTGACTATATTTTATATGATTGCTCGAATCAAAAATATGATTTCAGATTCGTGATCAGCACAAAAAGTTGACCATAAAAGGATCATTTGATTAAAGACAAAGTTATCTAAGCTAAAAAATGCCCACAGCGTAGCAATAATTTGAAGAATTTTTTCGAATACTTTCTGGTATGTATATCTAATCATTAAGTCAGAGATCTAGAAATAAGAATTTTGCTTTATTTAGAATCTCTGAAATCTTAGCTTGAAAATCTGCTATGTACATTTCTCGGTTCATGCTTTATTGTTGAGAAAATTGGACTTTTCTTGATGCTATCGAAAATCGATATAAATGTGTTTAAACTGCTATCATTTATTTTAGAATCAGCGTATGAAACTACGTGGAAGCATTAGTTTTTCGAAAATTTTGCGTGTACCCCACCCTAGGGTCGTTTTTTGAAGATTTTTTTTCTAAAAACTAGATTATGCGTAGTTTCATATGCTGATTCTAAATCTGTAAATCATTTTGCTATCAGGATAACTGGTGATGATAGAAGCACCCATAAATGATAGCAGTTTTAACGCATTGATATGAATTTTCAACGACATCAATAAAGTCTAATTAACTCAACAATAAAATAAAACCCGAGAAAACTAGATAGCAGATTTTCAAGCTAAGTGTTCAGAGATTATAAGTAAAGGAAAAATCTTATTTCTAGTTCTTTTAGTAAATGATTAAAAAGACATACCAGAAAGTATTCAAAAAAATGCTTCAAATTATTGCTATGCTGTGAGGGTGTGGGTGGGGTGTGGGTGTGTGGATGTGACTGTATTCGTAACTCAACCACACCCACACCCATATTCACAAGTAGTGGTATTAATCATTGAAAATCAATAGATTTTCATTGATTGAAAACGACGCATTATCCGAATTCAAGTACATAAATAATATAGATGAAATGGAAAAAAAATCATTTCAGATGTGGAGTACTTTTACTCTAAAAGTACAGCAGGGATTTGATTTCTAGGTCCCCGAAAAACATTTTGTTTGTCTTGAGCAAAGTGATTGTATCTTTTTGATGATCAATTTTCAAAAAAAAAATTGGAAACTCTCCTTAACTCTGACTAATTTTGTAACAATCCTCTGATCAATCCCTTAAGTCATTGAAAGTCTTGCTCTCATCTAACCTTAGCAGCCTGAGATATCTGTGATTTCGAATTATTCTAAATCTTCCCCATTTATACATACTGAATGACTATTTTTCTATAATATCCAAGTAACTTTCAAGGATAGGAAAAATCATATAAAGCAGACTAGTTACATAAATGTTTTACATCCAATTTGATTTCAATAGTATTCAGTTAATTCGAAAAAAAAAGATACATTTAGTAGTAGTAGTAGTATTTAAATAGTCACCTAGCTGAGCGACCAGTCGAATTCTTTACTATCTGTTTTCCTTTATGCTTGGAATCAATTTTCTAAACAGTTTGTCCAGTTTGCTCTTTACAATAACTAATATATCTATGTATGCATATTCAATCGCAAAACTACATTTAGTGAAATTATACTGACTATAGTGAGTTTCCCAAGATGAACCCCACGGATTCCAATGAACTTTCGTCCATTGATACTGCACGATGTTATAGTAAAAATAGCAAAAGACTTTGAATGCATAGCACTTTCTTGAAAAATCATACTCATTTTTCAGATTTTCTTTTTTTTTTGAGTTACCAGAAAGTGAAATAATTGGATTTTGCTCAGAAATTGTGTTAATACGTAGGCCGACTGAACACTCAGACACCATGAAAATTTTAGCAATAACAAATGTGTTCTTCGAAATATACTCACTTTTTGAAGGAATATATTTAAAAGAACATGTTTATTATTGCTAAAAGTGGGTTCATAGTGTTTTAGTGTTTAGTCTGTCTATTGATTAACAAATTTTCGAATCAAAATTTGTTTATTTCACTTTTTGATAACTCAAAAAAAAAGAAAGGAAAAAATCTAAACTAGATGGTATTCAAGTTTCACTCGAATACGAATGCGATGCGAAGCTTAAATCGGATCTACTACGAAAAATCTTGAATTCGAAGATATGTTTGATTATTTTGATGTAGACACGATGAATTTCATCGCTACGAAAACTCTATCGATACTTAGTGATAGATTCTTAAAGAACGATTTCGATTGATTGATTAATTATTTTCATGATTCATTATCTTAAATCAGCTGTAAATGAATAGACTATAGTGACTAATATATGTTGATGACGTTACTTTAATTATCTCGCAACGAATTTCTTTCATTTTCGTCATTTGGAAGCACATTTGTGAGTGAACGGAATATCAGATTGAAGAATAGAAAAAATATGTCAGAAGTTCGATCTCGATACTTTCATCTTCCGTCGTTTCAATGAGTTTTCTATGATTTTCAGTACTCGAGATCATCGGGTCGTAAAATGATGAAAAAGATGCGTACGTCGAGAAAACAAAAGAAAAAGAAAACTCGCGACGGACTACAGAAATGCTTCTGCTTCGCATTAAAAATGTATTGGAATCTATGGGAGTCAGCTTGGGAGGCTCCATCGTGAATTAATTCTATTAAAATATTATTTTATCAACATAATGATGGATCTCGTTGTTAGCAAATTACTTGTAATTATGAATATGACAAATGTTCATGTGTGTCAGTAACAACATAATGTGATGAAAATGAATAAAGTCTGATACATATTGGAAAACGATTATACTATTTTCAACAGGCTTCCTTTAGTCAGAGCACTTCGACAATAACGATAATCATGTTTCTAATGAATTTTACAGCTTTTACATCGTTTGAACTACTTCAAGACACTAATTCCTAGCCATTCGAATGGCTCGGAATGAGTTTTTTTCCCCTTGAATATATCACTTGTGGAAGGTCAATGTTTAGGTGCTAAATTACTCGATACTATTAATGTTGCTATTCAAATTGATGATACACAAGTTCATGAATGGTATGCAACTAAAACAAATGGTGTCGATGAAAAAAGTATTCGTGTTATTTCTAAATGTTCATTGAATCAAGAGATATTGACGATGATATTCAAATGAGTGAATTTGCTTTACAAAAGAACGTTCCTTTGGAACTTGCTGATCTAGGTTTACTTGCTACAGTTGGACCACGAATAATACATTTTTATGATAAACTATGTGTAGTCGTTCCTTCAACTGATAGTGGGAAAATTCGTGATAGTAATAAAATCATGCTTATGAGAGTATTTAAATATACAGCATACTATTTACTTTCAGTGTGACATTATATATAATACGTAACTTTGATTCGTATTCCGTATCGTTTTAAACAGCTATTTCGAGAATTTATTCTAATGAAACATCGGTTATTCAAACATTACAATCTTATCATCCAATAATTCATGTGCAAGTATATATACATATATACTTGAATTAACATACAAAATGTTTTATTTGATCATTTAGCTGAATCAACTCATTAACTATCTTGATCCACGACTTGAATATATTCGTGTCATTATCATTGAATGATCAACAAAATTCTCAATTTCCATACCACGCACTGTTTCACCAGATAATCAATATAGTTCACGTTTACTCAACGCTCGGCGTTGTGAAAACTTCGATGATTAATTCAAATCTTTTGTTTGGAACTAGATATGGATTTGAAATTTTCACTATGGAAAGAGCACTGAAAGATGTACCGCTCCTAAAAATTTCAGCTGTCAACATTATTGCGTTTGATCAGAACCGTCCTCTCAAAAACTGTGTTTTTCACAAC